GTTATGGAAGCATGCTTTTAACTGCAGCTTTTTGTTAATACAAGTCTACATTCATTTCTCAAAAATGACTGAAAAGTGACTGAACCAGAAATAAGAATTTTATATCAAAGGGCGTGGTCATTTGTCAAGTGACGGCTAAATATTCGTACAAAAAAGCGTAAAAATTGTAAAAAAGATTTTTACAGTACACTTATCACAAATTCAAGGCGATTTTACGTTTTGTTAAACTTAAAATTCTTAAAGGAAAGAAGACACCTTATTAATTTGGACAATGACGTCATAATGAAATGCCCCAAAATACCAAAAAAATTTTTACACAAGAGGATTGAGCTTGGCAACAGTGATTTTCGAAATCAGCGCACTCGAGTCAGTAAGAATAGCTATGTTGCCAAAAATCAGACAAAAATGCCCGTGGGTGTTACATGTTAGTTCCCTGCGTACGCAACTGTATCAAACTATTTACAACAAAATCTAAAGCCTAAAACTGTTTACTTAGAAATTAAAGCCGACTTTTCAATGCCCTTTTAAAAGTCAGTCAAAACTTGAAATTTCCCTTGTGTGACTCTCCAGAGACTGTTCCACAATGTTAGAGCTTTATAGCAGCTGGACTTTCGAGGTAGCTCTGCCTTGGAAAAAGATGTCTCAAAAGTAAGCTTTCTTTCTTCTTTGAAGAAAATAACGACAGACACACCATCGCATGGAACACAGTTTGACCAGCACGTGCATTGCACAGTAGTGCAGCCTACAGACCAGTCAGTGATCTGATTTCCAACATGAACTTTAGGCTATAAACCAGTGAGAAGACAGATAATGAGAACAATTGAATAAAAACTAACGTTTTTCCCATAAGGCACCCCTCGGTTAACAAGAATTCAGACTCAGTTGTAAGGTTATTGCAGTAATATATACAGAATAATTATGACCTATTAGCGTAGAAAGAGGTCATTTAAAACTATGACATACTTACCATTTGAGAATTTTTTCATGAAGACGCTCGCACCAGGAATGGAGAGCCACCGAGCTATCAACATCTCCTGTGGAAAGGACACCAGTGCTTACAAGATGACTGAAGCTCCCTAAGATGTGCAACACAAGCCATATGGAAAAGCTTGTCCAGCCAGGCAGACCAGGGGCAGACTATTACATTGACACCCCGGAAGAACAGGAGGGTGGGTCATCAACCATAGAAGCATCAAAAGAAATTGAACCGGCACCTCGGGCAGTCGCTGCCCAAGATCCTACCCTCTCTTCTGGAGCAACGGAAATTCCCTCTTCTCCTCGGCCTTTTCGTGCTAGACAGCCTCCCTCCTGGATGAAAGACTTTGCAAGTTCTGTCTTCTCACGTGTTTCTAACTTTATCTCGAGTTAGTATGTTTGTTTTAAAAGACATTGAACACTGCAGCTACACACCTGGACATTCGCTGTAAGGTATTATGAAGCTAATATATAGATTTAGCCACAGCTAAAAGCGGAGCTCCCATTGATAAATTTATAACTTAAATCAAACAATAATTTTGCATTCCACAAATCAGTTAACTTAAGGGCACATTCATGTGACTTTTGAGGGAAAAGCTAAGTGATTTTGGAGTGAAACAAATCTTGTATCGAGTTGATATAGCCTTATATGTACACCCAAAAAGTAGTCTTCGGTCACATTTAAGAGCAATAATGGCTCTTGATCACAGTAGATAAGGCGTGGAAAACAAATTCTTGGAAAACAAATCAGGCCGAATGTTTTGCGTTCAACAAGTTTACAAATTCTTGCCAATAAATCTGGGTGCGTGCAAACCATTTTTTAATTTTTTTTATACACCACATCTGAGGAGAAAGAGTACTATGAGGCGCTGTTTTTATCATACAGACCTCGGTACAAAATGCAGTATTTCACAATTTTTCAATACTCAGGACCATCGGAGCACGCGTGGACTTTTAATTAGCGAAACCGTTCAAAAAATGTCCAAAATCACCTCGTACGGCCAGCCGGTTCTAACTTTTGACAAGCGCCAAATTTGCGAAGAAATTTTAAAAGAGTTACGCTTCAACGTGAAAAAGAATTTATTGAGTCTATTTTTTATTAATGGTTTTATAACGATGTGTAATCTTAAAAAGCTTTTGATACGCTCGGCATTTTGAGTACTCGACCCCACAAGCTCATGTAGCTTTAATACTCATCGTTTTAAAATAAAGACTATCTATCTATCTATCTATCTATCTATCTACTCCTGCAAGCGATGTTTATGAACGCCTGAAAACAAACGGCAAAGCGATGAAAATTACACTTTTGAGGGTACCAACAATCAATAAAGAAATATAATTCGGTAGAACATTTACGGAGACAACAATTTTTATTCACGAAAACAAATGAGTATTTGTGTCTCTAAGAATCCTCAAGTCTTTACTAGTATTAAAGCTTAAAGATTAAGTATAAGTTTTAAGCCGCTGGTTTCCAGGTGTTTGCTTTTTTCAAAGATGAACTCACGACAAGAAAATCGCTCAAAGCTTTCTTTCTACAGCCACAATTATAACTAAATATTCTTCGGAAAGTTTTTTCTTTCTATTTACGGTGAAATATTGACTAAAGGCTTTTTAAAGTTCTGTAAGCTTAAGCTTATATCAAACCTCATACTAGGTCAGATCAGTGTCTCAGTCAAATCTTAATACAAACGTGCATAAACTAGGTTCATAAACTGCGCCGCTGGACTTCATGAAATAAGATATAAATACAATAATTACTCAGGCTTACCATATTTCGAGATGCAGCTCCTTAAAGCTATTAAGTAAGGCAAGGATCACTTGAGCCTTCATAATTTTCGTACGCATCCAGCAAGGTGAAAAACAAAAACGATGCCTTCCGAAATCAGATTATCGCCTTTGACAAGCGACGCATTTCTCAACCAAAAACCAAATAAACAAACCAGCCATGAATAAGAGAACACTCTTGATAGCAGCTGTATTTCATTTTTTACATCCAGTGGAAAAAGACAGTTAAAAACATCACAAGTTGACTCAAAACTCTGTCAGCTTGAGCTGTCAAAGTAAACAACTTTCAAGATGAGTATAAATTTTACGCATGAAAACGGTCTTCCCCGCCTGTATTTTAAAAAAAACTGGCTGAATTTTTGCGTCTGAGGTCAGTTTGAAATCAAAATCGTAATAGTGCGGGGCGATACTGACATAAAGACAACATATTTAATATGAATAAAAAAAAAGTAAACGTGAGCCTGCGATCATTTGAAAACGAGAAAATTGTCAGCAGATAACTTCAAAAAATACTCGACCTTGATGGGTCGACACCTGAGCCCGCGATACGGTCAGGTGATAATGGTCAGCGGATACCCTGTTTTGACAGCTATCAATTGATGACAACATTGATGTGCAATCAGCTTTCTCCTGGGCTCCCAAAGTAGCTAGAAAGTGTGAGAGTAAACATTGATATGCCTGTGGTGCGGACGGACGGTCGGTCGGTCGGTCGCTCGCTCGCTCGGTCGGTCGGTCACGTGATTACCAAATTTTCTGGGATGGGTAGATTTACTTACCCATGGTACTGCGCCAGAGCTTCGCTATTACTACGTTACTTTGTTTATGTTTTAAAAGACATTGAAAACTCTAGCTAGACACCTGGACATTAGCTGTAAGGCATTATGAAGCTGATTACAAAGTTGAGGGGATGGACGAGGGGATGTAGTATACCGAAAGTGACGCTTTCGTCAAGTGTTCGGGTGCGAGACCTTGTGTTTTGTATGATCCGCCACGATGCAATGTTGTTAGTTGCTAAGTCTTCGATGTGTTTATTGCCGTACCGAGTTGCCACTGAACAACGGTCGAACAAAAATCGCTCTAATGCAAAGGAGAATAACACGGTAATATTTCAATATTTTTTTCATTCGACAAAGGGAAGGCAGCCTTCATAAAACAATTTCTTTATTTATATTTGAACGTTTAAAAATAGTTGCAGTTTATTGGCGTACAGTACAAAGAAAATATTTACCAGTTAGTTTAATTCGGATTTTTTTGCCGTGACATTTAGACAGGTCAGCTCCCCCTTAACGTTTTTTTGGCCTGCATTACCTTAACATAAAGATTAGTCCAGCCATTTGATGTTTCTTGACAAATCCGGCTTATAGCTTTTCTTTCTTCATGAAAGTGGTAGATGGGTACCGTTCAGTGGACTCTTCTCCAATTGAAGAGTCCGCAGATAATCATATTGGCTAAAGACACCGTGAAAACGTTTAACAAGAAACTCCAGTGGCCACTCAGGGCCAAACCGATGTAGGGTATTTGAGCTGCTTCCCGAGAGTGTATTGAGCCTCTCGCTGACAAAACTAGGAGAACCGTAAAGGTCGTCCCAATGAAATGTGAAATCCAATGGCCTGTCTTTGCTGTAAAAAGCACGTCCTAAGACATCACAGATATTTTCACAGATTGAAGAAAGGTAAAAATAAAGAAATTTTTTTTCATATTCTCGAGGGTGAGTTTTCAGCGCAGTTTTTGCATCAAAAAATGGTTTTGACTTTATATAATACAATGATTTCATACAGGTAAAGTATTTAAGCTGAACGTGTCGCGTCATCATTACGGCGAGGAGTTTTTCTTGAAACTTCTTTCTCTCCACCTCAGTATCCTCTATACTCAGGATAAAAAACGTAGAGCTCTTTGTAATTCTCAAAAAGTACTGATTTAGTAATCTTCCATCTCTTAAACACCGTTTTATGTTTCTTTGGAACCTCGACTTATGTTGATATGGGAGCTGTCCCACAGCTTTTTGTAATTGTATTAAAGATAGCAGAGACTGATGCAGAAGATGTTTTAATTCAGCTGTTAATTGTTCTTGAATCTTAAAAGGAAGACCGGATGAACAACGCACCATAGGTCTCTCACTGCCATACAACCCTTTAAGCGATATTATAAAGCGGAATTGTTCAGGTCTCAATTCTAAGGTAAACTCCCCATAAAAACGTCTGTACATTATGTGATATTCGGCATCCTGCCTTGGATATCGCATCTCGCCTCCATGTCCTTTAATTATCTCGATGATCTGTCTCCAACGATCGTAACGTTGACTTGGGATATTATTTTCGAAAAGTTTTGCTAGGTACATTGGTGTTATTCCGTCTGAATTAGGACAGTTCACGTTTAGGGCGTGCAAATCACTTTCCTCGAACAATACTTGTATAAACTCCACAAGACCATAAAAAGCTGCTAAGTGATAAAAAGTAAGTTCTGGCTTGCTAGAGTCACATCCCATTTGGTATCCCTGTCTTTTGATTGCATAACGAAGAAGATCAATTGAAGTTTCTTGGGCCTGTATCACTTTATCTTTTTCAGTACCTTCTCTGTGAATTATGCGAAATTCCCACGATCGCCTCTTAGTCCCTGCATAAAGTACAGCCAGTGTTAAAGCATCATGTCCATGGGGGCTTAAAACAGAAGAATTCGCCCCATTTGCAAGGAGATAACGAACTGCTATTAGATTGCTTCCTTGTACTGCTCTGTGTAGCGGTGTAAATCCCTCAGCATCTAGGCAGGAACTTAATAGGCTATGTTTTTCAGGGTGACTTTCAAGAGTTTCAGCGAGAGCACCATTTTTTATTTAACAAACCAAGTTATCATATCCACTGCATTCTTTGAGGTAGAAAAAATTATTATCTTTAATTGTCGGGGTGCGATAGCTTAAAAGATGATACACTGAATAGTTGAAAGGCCTTCCACATTCAACTGGAACAAAAGGGACAAAGTTTTTGAGAAGCACATCTATAAATTCCCCGCCAGTTTGAAGGTAAGTTATAAGGGGTGTTCGCCCAAGGCTATCTGTGCATCTTAAACTCGCTCCCCTTAGTAATAGGAGTTGAACGATGTAAGGCTGTTGGTTAAGGATTGCCTGATGTAGCAAGCTACCTTCTGCCTTATTGCATTTCCCAAGCCAGGGGCCACGACGAAGAAGAAGAAAAACGGCCATTTCGTGATCTCTTAAAGCCTCTTTCAAATCTTCTATTATGGTCCCTGAACCGAAAGGTGTAAGAGAATGTAAATGAAATGGTACAATTGGACGGGGCGCATTTTCAACAGCCAGTGCCAGTGGTGTCTTCCCATTAACGTCTTTTTTCTCCAGTGATGCATTCATCTGAAGAAGAACGTTAACAGCGTCAGCTAATCCATTCTGGGCAGCAATGTGTAACGCTGTTTGCCTTTTAGTATCAACGGCATCGATATTAGTGTCTGTAAAAACTAACCTAATAAGGATGTCTAACCAATTTAAACGGTCGGTACTTTTTATTTGCTGATTGTCTGAAAAAAAGCCAGACAAATGACCCTTTCGATCTCTTAGAAGTGGAATCACGGTTCCATCACGAGCGATGTAATTGCGGTACACTATTGGACTAAGTTCACTCGATTTGATATTTCGGATTGAGTAGTGCAGTGCCGTCAGGCCGTAATCATCAACAACCGACGGGTCTACCTCCTTGTAGAGGATATGATTAATTGCCTCGACTGCTCCACAAGCTGCAGCGCTATGAAGAGGTGTAGAGCCATTTAGAGTTTTGGCGTTGATGTCCCCCCCGACAGTTGGATGAGAAAATAAATGAATCAAGCCACTATGATTGTGGCAAGCAGCCACATGAATGGTTGTCGCTCCGTTGCAGTCACGGTCATTAACACGAGCACCTTTTCTAATAAGCGATATCGCCAATTGCCGGTGGCCATACCTTGCTGCAAGATGGAGAGAAGTGTAGCCACAATGACATACATCTGCATTGTATTCAGTTTGCTCCCTATAACTAAGCTGTGATGAGTCGACTTTTTGCCAGTGTTTACACTTGTAGTGTATCATCTGCGGTTGCTTCCCAAGCAAAATATCCGCAATCTTTCTTTGGTTTTTTCGAACGGCTTCGTGAAGTGGAGATCTCCCAGAATAATCATAACAATTTAGTGCATTTTTATTTTCGGAAAGAAGGCGAGAAACTATCTTCTCGTATCCTGAGGCAACAGCAGTGTGAAGAGAAGATTGACATAAAATTAAATGTTTGTCATCATAAAGTCGACTTCGTCCTTCTGACATTTGATCCAGCCAGTAAAAGTAGCCATCACATCTTGGGCATTCGTCTTTGACACCAGCGTCTAAGAGGAAATCCACTACTTGCAATCTATTGTTTGCAGTTGCGAGATGTAGAGCGGTTTGATCTGCTATTGCGCCTGCCTCGTACAGAATTTTAACAACTTCAAGATGGCCGTTTTCTGCCGCTAACTGTATTGGGGTCAGGTTAACACCATTCAAAGCCGAAACTGTAGCATTTTTAGCAAGAAGAAAACGAACAACGCTTACATGTCCTCCTTGGGCTGCGGCATGGAGCATTGAGGAATCAAAGAATTCAGATTGAATCTGATTATATGGCGTGTCTGTAACGGGACCACAATATGATTGAGAGCAACCACTTTTTACTTCTTCAAAGACGGCTCTTGTCTTGTCTTTATAAAATGCAATGATTGACTGGGCTTTCTGTTTCACATCGGCACCTCTTTTCACCAACAGTGCAAGGTTATCTACAAGACCATGCTGTGCTGCCAAAAACGCGGGTGTAAATCCACGCTTATCAACGCCATCAATGCTGCTAAAATGTCGTAATAACAGTTTCAGAACATCTGTACTGTTGATTGTAGCGGCCAAATGCAGCAGAGTTCTGTTACTAAGCGGATCTGACGAATTGACGGTCTGAGAGGGAAAATTAAGAAATTCTTTGATGTAGGCTTTTTTCCAACCGCCGAAAGCAATGTGTTGGGCCAAAGTGAGAATATATTTCAACAGAGTACTTTTATCTCCGTCTTTTATAAGATTGATGTAGTAGCCACAGAAGATCTCGTGTCCATTCTTTTTACTCACAAAGAACTTCTCGTTATTTTCGTTAGTCAACCAATCAGCTAGTGACAAGTGATAAAGCGTGATTGTATTGTTTTCTCCGTATTTCAGAAAGTGTCCTAGCTCTTTCAATCTATTCTTGAAATCGTATTCTTTGTGCAGGTCAGTCTCTTTCATTCTGAGTACTTCAAAGATTTCTTTTTCAGCCAGTGGTTCAAACGTCGAAACCAATAATTCCAAAACACGCCGAGCAGGACTAAAGCTTCTTTGCCGAGGATAAAGTCTTTCAAAGTAACTGCGGTAGAGGTCTGCCAAAGATTTTGGCAAGGTATACTCATTTCCTAATTCGTGTCTCGAGTGTTCCCAGTGGTTAAGCAACTCTTTAACGAACAGAAAGTTTCCTTGGCTTTTGCTAAGTAATGCAGCTGCCAACTTTGTTGTACTTTCGATACTGTCATCTCCGAACCAGGACGTTATGCGGTGCAGTAAAGGACTAGGTTGATAGAGTCTTGTCATCACAAAAATTTCAATGTCCTCCAGGTTTCTAGAATCTTCCGGATCAATGACTAGGTTCGATACTTTTGTTGAATGCAGTAAGGCTTCAGATTCGTTTCGTGAAGTCATGATGAGCTTTAACCAATGTGGAAACCGATTAATTTTGTTGTTTAGGAGGTAAACAATGCTTTGACCTGTTTCACCTTGTGAAAGACACTCATCTAGGGCATCCACTATGATAAACCAGTTGCTTGTCGGTTCATTTTTTAGGTTTCTCAGCGGAGTAAGGATACTTTGCTCAAAACAACCCACAGGATCCTGATTCTGGATACAGTCCAGATCAAAAGAGCGTTGAATGTAAGAACTACTGGAAACGAGATAACCATACTCGGGCAACCTGCGGGCTATCATCTCCGCTAAATTGCGAACAAACTTTCCTGCCATTTGTGTATTTTTGTCTGAGTACTTACACAAGTGGTAACCGAGAATATGAGCATGGATTGTAGAGCTTGTTGTTCGAGAACAAATGAGTTGAGAGGCCCAAGCGGATTTACCCGCACCAGGATTTCCTATCACTAGCACCCCGGCCACGTTATCATCCTTAAGCGAATCTTCGACCTCTCTATACAGCCAATGGCGCCCGATGAAGGTTTCCCCGCTAGCTGTTTTCAAGTACTCTGTCAAGCTGATATCTTTGGTGTCGATTGGAACTCCGCCTGTTTCCGCAGGACACCCTGTAAAGTTGAATAGTCAACACAATTGCTGGAATAAAGCAACACGGACCGTTTCATTTCACGTATATTATAACCCCATACTGCACTGGTAAACGACTCAGGGTTTTATTCTACTGGGATCTCCAATGAAACGTCTGTAGCGTGACACAAGATAAGAAGTATGAAAGCTAAGGTCAGCAGACTATTTCCCTTTTATCTTGTGCAAGGTATAATTAATAAGTCAATAGAAGGCAATTCTTATTTGGAACATCCTAGTACGTTTACCAAAAGGATACAGAGGCAACCTCTTACAAAATCACCAAGATGCCTGCACTAATGAGGTGGTGGTTCTATAACTCCCATTAAAATCAGGTCGTTCCATTAAGGAGATGTGCATAAGGAAAGGGTCGTCTGTAGGTTGTAACCGTTCCTGTTAATACATGCATGCATTTTGAGATATTTGGAAGGTGAATTAAGTTGTGTCTTCTTATTATTCCATTCTTATTGCGTTTTTGTGATATTTTTGTAGTGAACATCAGTTTGATTAACTTTTGTTTTTATCGTTTCCTAACTTTGCAGGATTCTATGCTAACAGAAACATAGATTTATATCTTCACTGAGCAGCCAAGAATTCATGTACACGGCCTTACTGTTCAGTTTCTCGACGCGCAATGCTCTCCCATTTTAATTCGATGACCACGTACCATAACTTTAGGGCTAATTTTCATGAATTGCAATCTTAAAATGGAAAACTCCGTGCTTTACTCACCGTCTTTGTATGACCTTGGATCGAGAACGGTGATACAACTACACAGCAACAGCATCATCAGCAATGGTGCGAACCGCTGTTTCAGCATTGCACGAGTGCACTTGATAAGCTTGTTGAACAAAGTCAGAGCACCACTTTTAACACGGTTGGGAATGGTGATTATGACTATTAACATATCTTTTAAGTTTTGCAACAATTCCTGCATGTTATGTAAGCGTCCCTCCAACTGATTTCGAAGTCTGGACTCTTCATCGACCTTTCTCTGTAATTCTAGGAATCTTTCTTCTATTATTTCTTTATATTGGTTTACAACTTGGGCCTGAAAATTGTTTAAGTCTGACACACATTTGAGTGTCTGGATCTCACGTAGAGCTTTTTGAGCATCTTGGTCGTGAATTAAGGAAGGAACCTGAAGAAAACTTTCTATGGATGCAAAGGCGTTTGCCTTGTCCGCTTCGGTCAACTCCAGCTTCGGCACATGTACCCACTTGTGATTCCGAATATCACGGACGTCTTCGATCAGTGTTCGAGGAATTGATCGAAAGTGATCACACCAGTCCATCAGGTTCAAGATTCCAGTGACGTCCATATCATCTACGCTCTCTACGGCGTGTCCTCCCAGATCTGGAAGAAAGAGTTTGGCTATCTCCCAAGGACCCAAGACTGGATCTCTCCACTTTGCGGGATCACTTTGTTTCCAGTTTGGCCTGCCTTTATGATGATGACTTTGCAGGAAGTTGGCCCATGCACAGCTTCTTACGTCATGGTACTGATTTGGTCTTCTTCCAGCGACGACGACACAAGAACAAGGAACAGCTGCTGCAAGTGTTGCAGTCGCGTATGTATAGAAAGCGTTCATCTCTCTGTTAATAAATGGGCGAAGACCATGACAAAGTACTGTTGTTAAAGCATGTCCTAAGGCAAGCCAATTTTTGTACTCAGGTGTAGTATGTTGTTCTACTGAAAACTCTGGCGTAGAGGAACTTGACGCCGCCATGGTTAAGATTGTAAGGTCAGCCACTTAACTCCACTTTTATCGTAAGAGCAATCTTTTTCAGATAATCTAAACGAAAAAACATAAGATAAATTTAGCCAATCCTAAGAGCGCAGCTTCTGCATGAGACCGAACGTTCACTTGCACAAAGTTCCACCAAAGAATGGATCGTGAAAAGTAATGTACAAAGTACTAGGAATCATAATGGCCACTTTTCGAGTAAGAAAAACACAGAACCGATTTATAACTACTAGCCTGGCAATTTCATTGAACAGGCTCTATAACTTATTATTGACTCATTTTTTATTTCTTTTTTAAAAAAGAAATTATTGATGATCACATTTGATTAATCACTGACATTTACAATCACTACAAATAAGAATTTAATAAACAATAGACATTTACTTATACGATCAACAGACTCAAGCTAAATTAATCGCTAAATTATAACAGGGCTAAAAAATGATGTTTGTTTGCTCCTACAGTCCCACAAATAAAGCTTTCCAATAAAGTTGTGAAGACAATTTACGCAATTGTGTAAGAAGCCTGAAAAAAATTCAGGACTGAATTTTTTGTTTTGAAAATTAAATACATAAATAAATTAATTAAGTAATATACATTTTTATTCAAAAAGTATCTATCTTTACTGGAATTAGAATATTCGACAGGCGGACCTCCCAAAAGCATCTATCTATGTTTACTATGGGTCCGTTTCGATCCTACATCTGATGCGCAGTAAAAACGCCCATTTTTACAAACTGCACTTTCAATCCAGCCAGGCTATGTAGCATATGCAACGATGAAGAATGGAATCTTTTTTATGAAGGGTCTCCATTAATTAAATGTGAAGTCTAGAAGCTACTACTCCACGGAATCTTACGGTTTCTTAAAACGAATTATATCGGCTAATGATGTGGTATCTGACGCATTAAAAGCCCAACTGGAAATTCATACAGCTGTGATCAATGGTTGTGTCGATATTACATGTTTCGATGACATTCTAGACAAAACTCTCAGAGGATCATGATCTGCAAACGTCTGCTGGTGAATCCTGCCTGTGCAATCAGGCGCAGCAGGAGAAAGGTCGTTTTTAGAGTCTTGAAAGTTATAAACATGGCTCTGTTCAACAACGACGCAAGAAAGGTTCAGTAATGTGACAGTACTAAACAGTTACAAAAAGATAACAGACAAATTTGCCGACGTAGCAAATAAATTTGCTGTTCGTAACTATAATTGGAAAATAAATTTGCCGGGGTGTATTAAGAATCCTCACCCGCCACACTTAAAAAGGGTTGTCCCTGCAACCCCCTACCCTCACTTTTAAAACTGCTCCGTCGGCCCTTCTCAGTTTATTTGGTACCGTATTTATTCGAATAAGCGTCCAACCTCGAATTAGCGCCCACCTCGAATAAGCGCCCATCCCAAAGGCAGAAAAAGTTAATAAGCACCCAGCCTCGAATAAGCGCCCACCCCACCCCACTCCCTCCCACACAAACTCAAATAAGACATAATAAAAGACCCTCCCGAAGACGGAGTTTTCTTCAGAGTATTTTACAGATTGGGCTGAAACCTTGCTTTGTTACTTCTTCGCTTTTTGTTATTACCATTTATTATTTTGTAGCAAAATAAACATACTACACTTGCTGAGAATGGCGAAAATTTAATAAGCGCCCACTATCAAGGTCAAAAAATTTAATACGCGCCCAGGGCGGTTAATCGAATAAATACGGTAATTCCTACAAACTTTCAGTCCCATGCAAACGCTAGTATTTTTACAGGATTCGCACTGTGGTATTATCACTGAGCCCCGGTGCCTGTGTTAAAAAAATACGGATATTTTTCACAACTGAGTGATCATTAAAGTTCAGCGAGTCTGTTCATCTGTCTCTTCCTAACACCCGACATTTCAAAGCATCCAGTCCAGGTACTTTCTTTACTATTCAGTGACAAGTGTCCTGTTATGTATTTAAACATCTTAAGAAAAAAAATTGGCTCAGTCTGTATGAACATTTTCCTTACGTTTTTGGTAACGGTCTTAATATGCTTCTGAAAGTATAAAAGTACGTACTATGCATATTAAATATACAATATATGTACAATTGCCTTGTTAGTGAAATATAAAAAGCTTTTCTCCTCCTGCCTTTAGTTGGCGATTTGCCTGCCGTTTCTTTGTGTTTTCATCTCAGTTTGCTGTGATTATCAAATCTTAACTCTGATTGATGCTTTCGTAGTTTGGGAACAACACATCAAATTTTCGTTGATCACGACTTCGAACATTGGGAATACCACTCTATATAAGGCTAAATAAATCCCTGGCCGAAGATTTGAGGAATGTCTGGTGGGCAGTCTAAAACCGCTGTAAACAATCAAAACTTCATAGACGCCAAACAGAATCGATGTATTTTTCTGGCAAACTATACGAAACACTTTAAAAGGTAAGCGAACGAGGGTTCAAATACATACCGTTATTTTTGAAAAAATGAAAGCTCTTCAGTGATCCTTTTAGGGCCTTCTGCAAATTTGACCCTATCCTGGAGTTCAGCTGCTGCTGAAACAAGGGATTCTCTGCTCCGTATTAAAGCTTAGGGAACTTTTAAGCGAAGTGAAACCAAAAGCGATTAGAGTATTATGCAAATATGGAACACACCCGGGGCGAATTGATGAGGGGTAACGAATTCAAATGGAATCAGCAACCGCGGCGATGACGACAGTTACAGACAGTGGCGCGGGAACTGTGATTGGTCCGCTTACTGAGCCTAAAGTCACAGATCTGTCTTTAAGTAGTAATAAATTGCGGCTAATGTGAGAATGAAGGGGGGTACTTTTCACTCCAAACATCGTATCAGTCGAGTATATTTGATGAATGTGAACATTTTTAAGCCGGGGTTGTCAGAGGGAAGAAATAGCTGAAGCTCTGCCACTCAAAACCAGTCGATGAGTACTCACAAGGCCTTTCTCCCAAGAACTAAGACTGCACGACGACGACGAAGAAGGAGAACTAGAGGAACCTGGATGTCAACAGGATTGTTATTCTTTGCTCACTCTCAGTTCACTGAAACACATTTTTCTTAACTTGTTAATTTTCCTTTTTCTTTTCTGCTCCGAGTCTTTGACAAGAGCAAAATGCTTCGTCTGCTGGCTCAGACCCGGAGGGAATAATATTTTTCATAATATTGCATAAAGATTACTAACTTTGTCAATGCATGAAATGTGTGTTCGGCTTATGACGCCACTTTGAATCCCGGGGGGGGGGTACTTGGGTTAATTTTTGCTGAGTATGTGACGCTAGCCCATCAGAGCCCCTACCCCATTACAGTCTATTCTGTGGCCAATTATAGATCATTATAGACCCCATCTTCGTCACTTTTGGGCAAATATGTAATTTTCGCGATAGTCACTTTCTATTTTTATGAATTGACCCATTTTTTTAGATTGAATGAAGAACACTGTTTGCTAACCGTAAATATATGAAGAACTGTCTTACCCCAAAAGAATCCGAAAATGTGCGACCCGATTCCAGTAACTCTATTGAAAATGCGACCCCATTATAGTACAAACATTAAGCACAAAGGACTGCAAAGGACCGCCAACGAATATGCCGGAGAAAGTAGGATCTATAAAGACCTGATCAGCAAAAATGATGTCGACCCCATTATAGTCAATCCAGTCGTGAAAATGCGACCCCATCCAGTGGCACATCCCCATTACCCCCTTATAAGGTATATTTGTAAAAACATGAAAGGGGGCCTGGGCCTAAACCCCATTACTAACAAAACTGTAATTCATCTTACTTCGTAAAATATCAATCACTAGTAAAATCCAACTAGTGGTCTATTATCAATGCTGCGTTCTGATTGGTTGAGCTACTACTAGACTATATGTTATAGCCCACTAGTAGCGAAAAGCGCGGGCTTTTTTGGCGGCAAAAAAGGATTAAAGTCTAGCTTTAACTGGCTAATTTTTTTTTATTCTCGATAGTTTAGACCAACTAGTTGGATTTTACTAAAACAAGTTTTCCTCTCGCCCTCATGGCCTCTGAGTCAATAGCCCATTCGGGCTCGAGGAATAATTGTCAAATAATTAATCGAGACGGAAACGACGAATTTTTTTCTTACGCTTACGTTTTGCCTTGTATTTGAGCAAATCTTATGCATATCATTGGAGCTGTTACCGATTTTCTCCAGGGCTTTTCTGCCGGTAGAATTTATGCAAAACCTACCGCAGATAGAGGCTATGATACAGCTAGTCTCGTAGTTTTATTTATCTCTGTTTGGGGAGAACATCGATATAAAATAGAACGGAGGACCATAAAATTCAAAAACTTTTTAATTTGAACAATCCTTAATCATGTCTATATTAGCGGAGTTTTTAAAACATATTTTCAAAGTTGCGGTTGTACAAGACCATAAACGTGGCGTATAAATAAATCACACTTTCCAAAACTTTACCGTCCTCAACAAGTGTGACTCGCTCCTTTGGGCCTGGATTCTAACTTGGAGATTACAGCTTTGTGTACATATGCAGAACAGAAAAAAAGAACAAGACCGAGCGCACTCGACTAATACATTCAAAGGACTCTCAAAGTATGATTCGTAAGAAGGGGATCGCTTGTCAATCACTTGAACAGTCGCTGCTTCAATGACGTTGCCTGGCAACCGACTCGAGTCTTCACCAGACGCCCAGAGTCCCTACAGTGTCGCTCGTTCATAACTGTTCTTGCACAACTGCTTGCCCGGTCCTCTTAATCATCGCTATCTGTTGGATCTCGCTCGGCTTTCTGATTGAATATCCAGTCTAAGTAACCGACCTGAAGTGGTTTCCACACTTCAAGCAAAAAAAAGGACAAAAGGAAAGATCAGTGTTTTAAAAGATGAGAGAATTTTGTTTGTGAAAATTATGTACAAACCAAACCCTTTCATACGTCTTCTCTCAAAAATATTATTTTGGTCTCGTAGGACAGTATTTTGTAACAGTTCCTTCAAATTGGAAAAGAAAATAGTTTAAACATTGTGATATTCACAAAGTTTCACTAGAACCATGTCATTTTTTTCTCGGCGATCGAGAATCGTAAAAATATGCTTACGCGCTTTTGCCCGATGGGCTTCACGAATGAATGTTTTCTTCGAGGAACTTTATGAACATTCAAGAGACGACGTTCTAGATGAGAAATTGTCATTTTTCGCTTTGTTTATTTCCATATACATACAATTAACCTGCTGCGCGAGAAAGTCAGGGATAAGCTCATTACATTACAGGCGGCCAAAAAAATAGAAAAGGCAATTCTGGTAAATAAAAATAGAAACAAAATCAGCTTTGCTGTAGTCTTCGGACTTCTCGTTCTTGTTTCTTTATATTTTGGCTGATTTGATCTCTTTTCTAGAGATCCAGCGTTTACAACCAGCAGGATCTTCGTCCACGGTTTTTGCAGTTAATTTAATCCTTAAATAAAAATAGACATTTTTTCTGAGGGACTGGTCATTGTTTATAGGGGGCTGGTGCAATGTAAAATATGCCATGCTTGATTTTTGCTGACCCCCCCTTTTACTTTAACATGATTTTTGCTGACCCCTCCCCCCATCCCCCCTTGTCCTCCGGCATGCATGAAACAAAAAGTATGTATTTATCAAGTCATCATGTCCAACTGATAGACATTCTATTTAAAGCTACCTTAAATTTGGATTTGAGTTGCTCTTCGCCCAGACCGTGTGTAGACAATTGTCGTATTGACATTAAAGTTCTCGGTACTCTCAATCATTTTTTCTTCTTCAGTCGACTCCTCTTTCTCTTTCGCTTCTTTGTACTCATTTCTCCAAAGCAGGGAAACAGCTTCCAGGGCACAACCACCCAAAAACATTTGATGAAAAACTTATCGGCAAACTTATAAAAGTTAAAGAAAGGGTGATAGAAATAGAAGAAAGCCTTAAGGGAAAGTTAGAGAAGATATCAAATATGTTCCAATATGCCCCCCATGTGAACGCAAAAACCAAAAAGCATTCTCAGAAAGAGAACCGAAGGAAAGCCAAAAGAAGGAAAGTTTCGAGAAAAGCTGCCAACATACAGAAAGTGCGAGAGTTTATTTCGAATGCTTCTGCATCTGAAGTAATTCAAATCCAAAACCTAAAATTGGAAGTTCTATCTACATTATCATTGTTTCAAGTAAAATATCTACAACTTATGTATCTCCTGTCTACTGAAGCTGCAAACTTGATTAGTGAATATGTAGACAATTTTCCAAGAAAAGAAAACACTAACCTAGAACCAGATAATGCCCATGATGATGACAGTAATGATGATGATGATGATGATAAAGACAACAATGATATTGATGATGATGCAGACAATGATGACAATGGTGATGATGACAACAATGGTAATGGTGATGATGACAATGATGATGATTATTAAATATGAGGACAACAACAATGATGATGATGGTGCTGGTTATGTTTACAGTAGAAATAAGATCAATGTTGTAAGATACTGATTTGTAAGTGTTAATAAAAGGTGTTGTATAAAGCTATTTTAATAGGCTGTATTTGTTGATGGCATCCAGGCACAGCTTTTAACATTTTTGCTGGCAAAACGTTTGCATATTTTTTAATGCCCCCCCCTTCAAGCCGTGCATAAAAAATGGTGGCCCACCCCCTATTTGCACCAGCTCCCCCTCCCGATAAATAATGACCAGCCCCTCTGCAGTTTTCGTCTCTTTCGTTCTCTCTCGTTTGTGAACGTTTCTACTAGTAAGAAAGCTTTCTTGCTTTTTTCTTCTCTCTAAATAGCATAAAAAGTTTACTGTGGCACCAAAGAGGCCTCAAAGGAGTGCTCTTTCAATGACCTAACTCATACCTCTTCACAATTTCCGCACCAATGATGTCGTAAATATGGTAAGCAATGCCTAGCTTGGAATGGCCGTCAAATTTCCGAGAGAGCAGATCCTGTTAAACAAAAAAACAAAACCAATTCATCTACAGTAACAGACAGTAATAAGTATTTGGACATTAGCAAAGTCCATCCGAGGGCTTTTATATTGAGTGTAATAAATAACTACGTCGACTTTTACCGGAGTTGCGGGACTCAGACCGGTTCCAATCGTGTTACAGTATGTGGACAAATTATTGACACGAAATGGAAATGGGGTACAAATATTCCTGGGGGTAAGAGCTCGGACATTAAGTAGTTTTAAGAAGGCCTTGGTGACTAAGTATTATCCTATATATCAGCACCAACAGTCCAACATTAAAACCTTTTTATTTGCTTTGCATCTGTCAGTTTACATATCAGGGCCGAGTTGTTCAAAGCTGGGTTAAGATAACCCAGGGTTAGTGCGAGATTTGAATTCAGATATGAAAGCTTAAAAATCCTTTCAGTTTTAATTCTTTTTGTCGACAAGTTGCTTATTGAAAACTTTAAAAATAACAGAGAAAATTATCCGAGAAAATTCTTTTAAACACAAGAAAAAGAAACCTGGGTTAAATTTAACCTCAGGTTAAGCGCTAATCGGCCTTCGAACAACTGGGCCCAGAACAATAAGTAGCCTGAGTATCAGGCTTTCCTAAGGGGCTGGGGGAGAGGAGATTTCTCCCTTTTTCGCTTCCATCTTTCCCTTTTCCCCCAGAAACGCCTGATACTCAGGCCAAACAATTAGTGAAAAGAACAAAAAAGTGTCGTTTGTCCAGACTTTGGTTCCTGTCAGATTTCGATGTTTTTTGTGTATGTGTGTGTGTGTGTTGTGGTTCAATTTTATCCTTGGTTTAATTTTTATTTTCTTTCGTTTATAAATCATTATCATACATTTCCATACCCAAAAACAAAAGAAAATAAAATTTAAACCAAGGATAAAATTGAACCACAAGATGTATATTGCAACTACAATTGCTTTATCCTGCCCAATCCAGAATAATCTTGTCCAAATTTTCAAAAATTTTCAAACTGTCCGTCAGGTTGAATGAAAACAAGTCAAAGGTTCTCCATTCAAAGACGGGTCATAGGTAGTCGCTAACAGAAAAGTTATGCCAATAACAAACTGGGTAATTATTTGTACAAGAGTTCAAATGTACCTAACATTATCCACTCTCTCTAAAGAAATGTGTTTGGTTCCATGTGTTAGTCCTTGGTTCCATTAGAAACCCTTCACACAATACCTTACTTGTGAGTTCTGTTTCATTGACATAACTCTCAATAATATATCAGACTTTCAAACTAGCCCTGAATATTAAATGGGTAGTTTTTGTTAAAGTAGCAATCTTATGTACATATACAATGCAAATGTATCAACGTGTCTTAAAAAAATACAAATGTAAAACTATTACCCTCTCAAGAATTTCACGGTACTTGCGTTGTCGGATCATGCGAATAAGTGCTTTTCTTCCTAAAATACAAAACAAGATGAGGAGAGCCGGATGGTCGACCAATACAAATTACAAAATGGGGATATATTTATTACAAAACTAGAACTTTTAGGCTGTCACAAGCCTTAGATTGCACACTGTAAATAAAGTAAATGTGATAACATTTTTGAGAGCTAAAGCCCATTTTTCGTTTCAGATTAAAAGCACTGAATTTTTATGTTAGAGAATTTATTTTGACACAAATTTAGCAACTCTAAGCATGTGCAAGGAGAGAAGCCATATTACTCGAAACTATGACGTATACTACCATTTGAAAAGTTTTTCATGAAGACACCTGCACCAGGAACGGAGAGCCACCAGCTATCAACATCCCTTGTGGTAAGGACACCAGTGCTTACAAGATGGCTGAAGATAAAAACAATCAGGGTGATAATGAGCTGTAAATACAGGATAACCTCTACCATTTGAAAATCATTTTTTCTTTATTGAAGACACTTGCACAAAGGAGTCATTTTGGAATACGGAGAGCCACCAGCTATCAACATCCCTTGTGGATAAGGACTGGAAACCAGTCCATGATGGCGGTCATACAAGATGGCTGAAGATAAAAACAATCTGTTTTGGGTGATTTAATGAGCTTTAAATACAATTAACGTGAATTGGAGTGAAAAGGTAAGGACAACCTCATGAGTTTAAGTGAGTGGCTCCCTGTTTGAGCGAAAAGCTTTTTAGGTTCCCTCCGTAACCTCCGTGGAGTCATCTGAACACCACCCACCATAATAATTATGGTACATCAACAAGACTACATACGTGATATCTTCTTCTGACAGTCTAAATCTGTTAGATACATCCTTTTTACTTATACTGACATCTGAATGATTTGGGAGAAGGCTACTGACAAATTTATCTGTTAGAAAAAATCAGAAAGGTTTTAAAATAATCAAATGGACAAAGCATTATCATTAATGTTAAAAACAATACCCAGGCAGATATTTATTTATTCCTAGATTCATTTAATAAAAATCACCACTAAAACTACAATAAATTTTTGTTGTAATGTATCAGCCAGTTTTTATCCATACATTGTGGCTCAATGTCATTTTATCCATGGTATACCCCTAGTTTGTCCTCAATAACACTCATCATCAAACACACAATCATAGTACTGTGACAAATTAGTAAAATCCAACTAGTGGTCTATTATCAATACTGCATTCTGATTGGTTGAGCTACTCCTAGGCTATATCCACTAGTAGCAAAAAGCACGGGCTTTTTGGTCGCAAAAAAGGATTAAAGTCTAGCTTTAACTAGCTAAAAAGTTTTATTCTCCATATTTTTGACCAGCTATTTCGATCTTACTAAAACAATATTCCTCTTGCCCTCATGGCCTCTGAGTCAATAGCCCATGAGGCCAAAGGCCGAATGGGCTATTGACTCTGAGCCCATTCGGGCTCTACGAATAATTGATAAATAAACTAAACTAATAAGGTAAAACAGAAAAGGGGAAAACATGAAATGGACATATGTTTAATTTCTAAGAACATGCATTTTGTATTAACCCACATTTTCCTTCATCTAGTGCTAACCTATTGTAAGAAGAACCTTTGGATCACTGACTCTTGACTTGACATGAGAAACATAGTCCTCAGTAAGTACAACACCAAACTCGTCAGATCCTGAAGTTAGTTTGAAAAGACGAACCTCATTCTCTTCCCAGAGATTATTCTGAAAACAAAAAAAACTCAGTTACTTATTCATGATGAAGCTCAAAACACAATGTTGTTTGTAAAACATAAGCCTTCCAAACACGTTTAGGTCATACAAACAAGTTGATGTACACAGGATGAAAAGGAAGTTAGCAAAAAAACTTCGATACCATACACTGTAGAAAGAATCTGAATAGATAAAAGGTTAGAAAACAAGACTACCGTAAACTGCCGCTTATAAGCTCTGGTCTTATACATCTTCATAAGGGGTTTAGTAGGGCTTATAAACAGAGGGGCTTATATCTCAGCGGGCTTAATATAACTGGTCTAGAAAAAATGCTTTGAAGCAAGCTGTGGCAGTGCTGACCAAAATACCATTTGCATTTACTGGTTTTTAATTAGGTTTTAAAATGCCATAATACATATTAATCAAATTCATTTCAGTACAAGCTAGAGGGGAACTTACCGGTATAATTGGATGTATTTTTTGTTTACAAGTAGGTAGGTCTGTAACTGGGGGTGGGCTTATAAGCGGCCATTTACCGTATGGTAGGCCAAAACATTTTGATTGGGCTCATGGAGGAGCAAACCTTTTCAATCTGAATAGCGGCCAAATATTTAATTAAAAAATAGGAAAAAACACACATGATGATTTAGGGTTAGTAAATCCACTTGGTGGTTCTTCGTCTACCCGGACGGTGGTCAAATTGGAATTTGGAAATGATGGTTTCTGAGGAAGGGGGAAAAACTGTAGTAGCCGGAGAAAAATCTCTTAGAGTAAAGGAGAGAACCAACAACAAACTCAACTGTGGCAAATCATTTTGCCATAACATGGCCGATAGAAGTGAATGAGCTATAAATTCATCCTGACGAAAAATTAAGCTCGTCCTGAATTTCCGCTGTTGCAGTATGCAGACTTACCAACTGCCTGTCCACTGATGTCTTGTCCTTGACAACACAGTAGATCTGATGCTTCAATATAATGGCTGGGATTTTCCTTTCAAACTTCGACAATGGTACAATTGACTTCAGAAATAATATGGCTGCTTTTGTGTCACAGGGTATTTCAAAATCTGGATTCAAAAAAAGTAAAAGACAATGATAATTACTAATGGTGAATACATAAGATTGAAACGAGTAAACAAATAAATAAAAAAAAACTAGTGATTGTAAGCTCTTTCACCCAGGACTTTCAAGAGCTGTCATCAATCTTAAGCTCACCAAAATCGCTCTCAGTTGATTTTCCAGGACTCTTGTCGCGTGACTCAATTAAGGGACGCTTATGAGAACTACTAGTCTCTGGGAGAGGATTTAAAAAAGACCGAGGCCGTTTTAAACTCATCGATTTATAGAGGAAAAAGAGTGTTTCTTTCTTTACACTTTGTCAATAATGGCAGCTACCATTTATTTTCGCTTCCAGTCCCTCGCAAATGCGTAAGCCTCAGTCCGCAAATATCGCGGGCCTTTCAAGATGGCGAATGACTTGGAGTTCAAAGGAAATTCAAGGACGTCTTTCTCTGGCAATCATTCCTTACTTAGAAATAGGGTCAACGTCGAACTGCTCAAATATGCTACTGTTACAGAAAAGGCTGTCTATCTTGTATTCAAAGTTACGGATGAACGCTCTGGTCGGCAGCGTACAGTGAGAGTATTCATGTATCGCGAATAAACAGGTCTTCGTTTGCGATCGATTAATCATTCACAGGTAAATTATCGTTCTTGTCGTCACTAAACCGAACCGTAGTATTTAATGTCAAAATAGAGATGATCAGAGAATTTGTTTCTCTTGTTTGCTTTATCTTGGCATCTGTAATCCTTTGCTCTTCAGGGGATCCAAGAATTCACACATCTCACGGGAAGCAGGAGGAAAGACATGATGGTAGTAGACATCCCGTGTCAAGTGATCACAAAAGCCACTCTCGAACCAACGAGGAACGAACTCATGATCATAAATCAGGAACGCTGTCCAAGGAAAAGGACAGCGTTTTAAACTTTGAAAGAGTTCTGTTTGATCGCGAAGAGCTGAAGAACTATGTTCTAGATTATCTGCGCACACATGGTTTCGCTCAAAACCCAAAAACAAGGTCTAAGAAATCACTGGATCACAAGCAGAAATCAGCTGGCAGGCATAGCGGGCGTCGTGACAAGTTAGAATCACCGCAATCGAGTTTTGGGGGGGAAAGGGAACAGAATCATCACAGTGCCCCCGAGGACGAAATATACTTTTCGCGAAACAGAGAGAGTGGTAATCAAAATCGAGCTGGTGGGCATAGTAAGCGTCATAAAAAATCAAAATCATTAGGAACTAGAAAACGCTCACATGGTCGTGAAAAAGAAAATGATGCATTGTATAAGGAGAAATCTGCTGCAAGGTCAGGTCTTTCGTCAAAAGAAAGGCGTGGTCATCATCAGAAGTCCATTGACAAGAGTTACATGTATCCAGGAACCAAGAAGGAGAGAATGACAAACACAGATATTACTCAAAATAACCTAAAACATGTTTTGAGGTCAGATAAGCATGAGAATCAGAGGAGAAAGGACAAAATTTCCAAAACTGAGGCTTCAAGTTCCTCGCTAGAGCACAGGGGTCATTACAAAAGCAGGAAAAGCTTAAATAACAGGAAATCTAACAAGAGAGACTTCATAGCAATTCTTCCAGCTCAGTCTTTCAAACTTGAAGGTTTTGATGTACAGCCAGTTCATCAATCTAAATTATCTCACAAAAAACACAAAAGAAAATCAGACAAAATGCTGAAGCGTGTAAAGCCGAAGAAGCATAAATCTGAGCAACATTCTGATGAAGAAGAGCATGTAGCTAAAGACAAAAGTGGCTTTAATTCAAAATCACATACAAAGAAGAACGAGATCAAAGCACAAAGACATGGAGCAGGTTTAAGGAGCAGTGTCTCTTACAAGAGATCCAGATATAGTCACAAAAAGCAGAGCGAAAGTTCAGCACAAGCTAAAAGAAAAGATTATCTGCCCCCAAAGCATCATAGTCGTGAGAATAAAAAGATTTCAGCTCGTAAACGTAAGAAAACTTCAAGACATCGGGATACACAGAATAAAAAGTTTTCTCCCTCTTGGAAATCCCTGGACAAAAGAAAGATTCCGTCTTGGTATGATGATGCCAAGTTTGGAATATTTGTTCACTGGGGTTTGTATTCTGTCCCAAGTTTTGGGACAATGAACAGTGAATGGTTTTGGTACAAGTGGAAAGGCAGGCGGCAATGGCAAAAGTATTTGAACTTTACTAGGAAAAATCATCCTTCAGAATTCGGCTACAATGAGTTTGCTCCATATTTTACAGCTGAGTTTTTTAATGCCACGCAATGGGCAGAGCTTGTGGCCAGATCTGGGGCAAGGTATGGTGATTAACTTAAAATGCACTTCATTGTGCATTCCAGGGTGTTTCATTAGCATACTAATCGCCTAGCTAGTCTTAAGACAAGTCTCCAGCTGCACGTAAATTGACTATGTTCGAAAATTTTACTAACAGGTGTCGTTAATAATTGGATCAATATAACATTAAAAATGTGGGGGACGAACCAATTGTACTCGTAGTTCTCTTTTAAGACGGATTTACATAGCGCAACTTTGTCGCATGCGATGTGCTTACAATAATTCTACGACGCGGGTCTCACATACAAAACATGATGTTGGATGAAAAGTTTGTTCGTTTAGCCTTTAAAAGTACCATACAAACAGTCGTTGCATGCTGATCTTTCTTTCAGGTACTTTGTGTTTACCAGCAAACATCATGAGGGCTTTACCAACTGGAATTCAAGTGTGGCATGGAACTGGAACTCGGTTGACATCGGTCCTCACAGAAATATTGTTGGTAAGTCAGTAGAGATTCATGTGTGCTTAGACGTTTATTTGCGCCAGATCGCCACTTATATTTTTCAGAAGAGGGAGAACCGTGAACGGCGAGTATAAGATTGCAAAATGCCAGTGCACAAACTAATCCCGGCATGATAATCTCTGTCCTACTGTCGTTGCTGATACGAGCAGCTGTGGAAGCCTGGATTAAGAGCCTACTCAACAAGAGACGGACACTGAGAAAAAACTGAAAGCGCCTGCCTGCGGGGAGCAGAATAATTTGTGTTTATCACGTTCTTTAATTGTTTTGCCTTTTCCAAGAATGCTAATCGTTCCTTGGAACTAAGCTGTCTGAAAAAGCCGTTATTACCTTATTATAGGAAATTAACGCTCCATGAAATAAACGCGAATCGTTAAAATTCGCGTTAATTTAAGTCGCGTTAATTTTGTTGAGTGTTAATTTCTGCGAGGTTAATTAAGTGCAGCGTTAATTTCTGCGCTCTTAATTTCCAGTATTTTAACCCCAATTTTGGAACCTGTCCAGACACTCTTGACCTTAAAAAACATTAACTATAAGCTTTCTTTCTTTCCATTTACCCTTTATTTTTCATCTTTCACAAAAGCTAAGGCGAAGGTTTACAATACTTCGAGTCCATCTTCATCGTTGTCGCTGTCAAAAGTAATGTCAAAATCTTCTCCTTTGATTTCGGCCAAGATAATCGCCTTAATTTCCTTTTTATGAAATTCTACTTCCTCTTTCGCGTTAATTTTCTTTATATAGGAAGGTCGTTTTCCATTAAATTCGCGTTAATTTAAGTCGCCTTAATTTTCAATACCTTAATTTCAAGGAGCGTTAATTCCCATAATAAGGTAAATCAACAATATGAATCCCGTCCCAATGGTACATGAGAACAAGAAATGGTTTTTTACCAATGTGCCGGCCGACAACAGTCGCTCATTTCTATGCATGCATGTTTAAAATGTACGTTACTTCTCATTCGATAATCATTTCATTTCTCTACTTATTGTTTTCCAGACGAGCTCGCCAAAGCTTTTCGCAATCTTTGTAATCCAGAAGTGAAGTTTGGTTTGTACTACTCCCTGTACGAGTGGTTCAACCCTCACTACTTGAGAGACAAAGCAAACGGATTTAAAACTGATGAATACATCAAGGTAAGTAAATTTCATAGACGATACGTTTAACTTCTAATTTCACTGTAGTCTTAAACTCTGAGGTTCGTTATCCGCAACTCTAATTGTTTATGCCACTCTCTTTGCCCGGCGACTAATTGATGAAACCATGAAAAAAAAAACAGTAAAAATCAACCAAAAAAATTAAAGGAAACATTAAGCCAGCTTTAAAGAAACTGGTCATTGCAAGGCCCAGTAGTGTACATAAGACGCGGAAAGTCCAATTTTTTTGTTTATTGTAAAATCATATATTTTATTTTTGATTCCGACAAATGGTACATTTAAATCTTTTTATCGGTGGATTGAGTCGGTTAATAAAATGATGGACATGCTACATGTACATTCAGTTTGAGAGTTTTGAATTTCTTTTGTTTTTTCTCTAGAGTGTCATGAATCCACAGTTGTATGATCTCGTTAATACGTTTAAACCCGATTACCTGTGGACCGATGGAGAATGGGAAGCAAATGACACATACTGGAAGAGTACAGAGTTTCTCGCCTGGCTTTTTAATAAAAGGTATCTGAAGTCAACACTTTGTACTTTGTTCTTCCAGGGAATTTGTTTGGATTTATTCTCGTCCTCAGCGCCTCCTGTTCCTCTTTGCCGGCGAGAGTCTTAATAGCAGGTCCTCGTGCTCACGACTCCGTTTAAATTAGCTCTGTTCTAATGCTAAACTGGATCTTACTGTAGAAATAAGTAAATAAATAAACAATAAATGTATAAAGAGTTTCCACAACATCAAGAAACATCCGCAAAGGGGGGGGCAGCAGTGAAATTAGAAGCGACATGAAATTATGCAGCTATCGCGTGTGGAAAGGAGCCCATTACAAACAGTTCATGCCCTTTCTCTCTCTTGAGTGCTGAAGCAGGTCACTGTCGTTGATTATAAGGCAATGTGTAGATTAGTAGATCCGCCCGCTTCGGATGCTTTCGATTTCCTTTACTTAGCAAAGAAAAAGAAATTAATATATGCCAGACCAATGATCAGTGTTGTTCGCTAATTCCCATCAGCTACTTGAAGTCGTGCTGGGAAGAGATTTGCTGCTATCTCCTTGGGCACTCTTAGTTTACTCTTGAGCACGTCCAGTCAAAAGTGCCTTGAATAGTGCAGTGCAAAACGGTATGTGTTGTGTTTTGCAGCCCAGTAAAAGACAAAGTTGTGGTGAATGACAGATGGGGGAAAGGCTGTCGGTGCCGTCATGGTGGAGTTTGTACTGGAGCAGATAGGTATAACCCTGGTCAGTATAGACTTTCTTTTCTCCTGTGACCGAAGTTGAAACATGTAAAATTCTTATTGCGAAGCCTCGATGTTGTTAAAAAAAGTAGTTTGTAGCTTCTAAACGACGAAGAAACATCAAAGAACAGACAATAAGTAGCATGAAGCAACCGACAAGTTTGAATAACCGTAGGCAAACGAAAATCACGACAGTGTTGCATGAGCGTTTAAAAGCGCAATTATCTTTGACTTTAGTCGGCATTACTATAACCTATACCACCATTCCTAACTGATAAACGTCAGTCAAAAAGTTTGATACGATCGATTGAAAAAGGGAATAAGAGTTTCACGTCACCTTATGTTCCAGAAAACTGCATTTTAAGTCATTTCACCCTTTCAGGCAAACTTCAAAAGAGGAAATGGGAGAACGCAATGACTATTGACCGACTGTCTTGGGGGTTTCGCAGAGATGCCAATCTTAACGATTACTTTAGCATCGAAGAATTGATTAAACAACTTGCCAGTACAGTAAGGTAAGCTTGAAAGAATTATTCACCTTAAGCTTACAAAACATGTAGTTTTGGATGAATACGTGGCGGCTAGTTGCTTCCTATCACAGGTTCTTTTGCCTTGTCGCGCGCAATCATTAGGAAGGATTTTGTGACGAGACCAAGAAGGTTTGTGTAGGAGGCCAACGTCTGTCGGGTTTGTCTTTACTCAGGAAGATGGGTGTTAGTAAATCGTGTTTTCAGGTCCCGTAAACATATTCAGTTAAATCAACGTTTCTAAAAAGGAATTTCTACTAAACTGCCTCTCAGGATTGTAACGCTCCCTTAGATTGTAGTCTGTTAGCTCACGCAGTCCACTAGTTCATTTATACACGAGCGAAAGTAGTGAGAGCCGAAGGAGAATTGAGGCAGATAAAGAGAAGCCTCCTTAGCCCTAGTTCCTTGTCAGCTCGCTCGCTCTCCCAGTCTCGCAATAGGGAGTTTTAGCATCGACGACGGCGACAGCAGCGAAAACGTCACTTTTAAAATGAATTCGCGTTTTTTCAAGCTTTGTCGCGTTTATTCCAATTTATCGAAAATGTCAAATCTAGGTGTATTTCCCTGGAGTTGATTTCTCGGGGACCGAACTCAAGTTCAAATAGAGAAAGAAAAAATCGTCGTCGCTTGTCGCTTGTTTAGGTCCTCCTTAAAACGTGAAATTAGGTATTTTCACGTCATTTTCGTGCAGGGAAGGCAAAGAATTGTCCAAAAAAGCGGGACGCTCGTGTAGAATTGTTGTTTTGCTTATCTAAAACCTATTGCTTTTCTGAAGTTCTCGTTGCCGTCGCCGTCGTCGTTGCTAAAGCTCCCTATTAATTGAAAGGGGCTTCAAGCAGTCTTAAAAGTCACTCGAGGAGGAAACTTGCCGCTTTTGCCAGTAGCAGTACACGGAGTATCGTTACACATGTACATCCACAAACTAATATAAACTAATCCTTATAACAGCTCAATAGGGGCTTTTCATTCGTAAATTGCTGTGTTTGTATGTCTGTCTCTTCTTTGGTAGCTGTGGTGGTAACTTACTTATGAATGTGGGACCCGCTTCAGACGGAACAATTTCGCCAATTTTCCAAGAGAGGCTCACGCAGATGGGAGACTGGTTAAAAGTAAATGGTGACGCTATATACAAAACAAGGCCATGGAGAGCACAGAATGATTCGGTCAGCGGCAAAGTTTGGTGGGTATAGTTTTTCTAACGTATAAAAAATGTCGCAAACTCATCGAATGTGGGTTGAGCTTTTCTGAACCATTTCATGTGTGAAACCATTTGCCTGGCCTGCAGCCTGCTGGTATTTTTATGATCTGTCAGAGTATAGATCATGGAGAATTGTTGTCTATTTGTTGAATGTCCATAATTGGTCTTTTCTTTACATTACCAGTACTTACTATCTCTGTGTTAAAATAACAATAATTACTAGGGTATCTAAAAGATAGTAATGCTGCGGCACATTCTGTTGATACTGGCATTAGTTAAGCAGTGAGAATTAAAAGAATCGAAAATGACATTGAATGTCCTATTTACATGTATAATTAATATCAGTCTATAGAAAGAACTCGTGGGAACGTTGTTAAGAAAATGATCAAGTGGTTATCAACTCTGGTTTTCCCACAGTAAATTGTAGGAAATAATAGAAATTCAGATTGTTTATCCATATATTTAATATACGGTGCACGATATTTTCTCTGGAAACACAATACTTTTCTTGCTGTTTGTTGCACTTTATTAAGTAACAGTTATTTAGCTATATATTTATTGAAAACAACAACACAAAAAACGGAAAAAAAAGAAAATAGGAATAACTAAGTCGGTAGGACTCGAACCCGGCACTTTCGACTCGACGCGACTACGCCTAACCACTGCACCACAGAGGCTGATTACTAAGTTGTTAGGAAAAGTCTTTCATTTTATTCCTTTTCCATGAAACTTCCGCCGGCAAGATGATCGCCAGCCGCATTAATCGAGCTATTAATAGTGAGTATACAATGTAAACGCATATTCCGAGGCAATGAATGAATGAAAGAACATAATTATGCTTTTCAAAACGCCGATACACGTCCTCGTCTGCAAAGTAGGACACAAAACATATGTTTTGTTATCTCGATTTCCACTGTTATTTTGAAGCGAATGGTCCAAATCACATCCATTTTCGGCTCATACAGTTTCTTAAGAATAGCATTGCATGACATTTTCTCACTTTCACATCACCTTCTAGCCAGCTGGAATTTGTATATCCCCCGTGTTGCGGAGTCGAAGAGCAAATGCTCATCTTCTCGTCACGGTTTAACACCTGGACGAGTCAAAGGCTCTTGAATTGAAATCCAATCCCCAAGTTAACCATCGTACTCATCTGAAAGACTCCTGCGTGTCTTAAAATTTGGTGAGACCTCTAACCGTGCTGTAGAAAATTTGTCACAAAGAAAACTCTGAGCAGCGAACGATGCACTCTCTCACCCACCGAACTTCCCCGTGTTTTTATTTGAGTTGTTAGTGGCGCAATGCACTCTGGTTAAATGCAATGCATTGTGGTAAAAAGTGTGGTTAAATGCAATGCATTGTGGTAAAAAGTGATGAATTCGAGAATTTGTCTCCCCTTATATATTTCCTTTAAATCCTGATTATGTTGCTGCTCGCTCCCTTCGGTCGCTCCGCAGCAATGAGGTACGAATAATAAGGTTTATGGTCATGCTTAGATAAAGTGTTCAGTGGAGTACAATAGCTGCTTTCCCTGAATATCCATCTCTGCGCTATGGTTTGGCGCGCCGTCAGATCAGGCCGGTGGTTCTCATTCGTTAAAGTAACAACAGCTAGCTGCAAAGGAGGGCAAACGAATATGCCGCACTAGAGCCCAAAAATACCAAAAGGTGAACAGAAATCTGCATGGCTGATTGTAGCACGCAAAATTCAACTTAGCAAGACAAAAATGACACCGATTAAACCCTAACAGAGCCGGATTGTAGCCGTTGACAGATGTGTCACCAGTTTTGGTTCGCCAGAACGGCATAACAACAGTCGTCTTTCTCTATACTTTAATCTTTGAGTTTTTTGAAACCCTTCGCCCCATTTTATCATACAATCATGTTGGTTGTTTACCATTTACAAAAAGTTTCCGGAAAATCCGGTTGGTAACGAATTTTTTGGTCGTTCCGGCGAGGAATTTCCGGGAGCAACGGAATATCTGGAAAGGTAGTCCTGTTTTTCCGGACGGAATGCTCCCAACGGAACTTCTTTAAATTTGTCTTTTTCTCAGAGCTATCTTTGACATCGGTTTCAGGCCTTCGAGGCCGTTTTACAGAAAGGGAATCGAATTGTACAAACGTTAAACGCGATTCCGGGGGAAATTTTTCTCAGTCCCGAATTTTGCTCACCATTTACCCAAACCATGAACTGACTGATTTGCAGGCGTGTATATGGAGCGAACGGGGTTAACACCACCCTGTGTTGGTATCCTTGATTTTTCGTTCCACTTCTTATTTCCTGTGTGTTAAAATCCTATGTAGGTACACTGCAAAAGGAGAACATGTGTTTGCTATATCACTCAGCTGGCCACGATCAGGAAAGTTGGAACTCGGGGACCCTATTTCCACGCCCCGAACAAGTGTTAAGATGCTGGGAACTAAAACATCTCTTTCCTGGATTCCAAAACACAAAAGCAAGAAAGCTGGTCTCGTGATACATGTTCCAGCGATTCCTGTATCCAATCTTCCTTGTCTGTGGGCGTGGGTTTTTAAGTTGTCACACGTTAAGTGATTTCGTTGTACAGCTGCACCTAATAGACGATATTGAGTCACTTCCACTTAATGGCGGAAATGATAAACATTTTCAGATAGTGAACGTGGTGAAAGCTAAAGAACTTTACACGATGTTGTTTAACTCCTCCTTTTTGTTGTGGTGATATCTAGAGCACTTGTGAAAGAAGAACTGAATTATTTGCAGGGCAGGTATTTCGCCCGTAGTTTCGAGTTCGTTAAACTTGACAAAGTAGACAAAAGTTAGACAAAGTATGATAGCACTCAGCCTAGCAGATAAAAAACACGTATTTTTTATGTCTTGGGGAAATGAATAAGCTGTACATTATAAAAAAACACAGTCACCAAATAGCCAAGTAGAACTTGAGCATGATTCGGTTTCCAGTTCGACTACACTGGTAGTCGATGAACTGGCAACATCGCACTGAAAGCGAACACTTTAAACGAAGGCGGAGCCGAGTAGGTTAAAATGGGTGCGAGCAATGTACATTAGTTTTGGTTTATTTTCTTAGCCTGTTTATTCTGTTATTGTTTATTATTAATTTTATTTTCTTATTTATTTAAGTTATTCTGTTATTATTTATTGTTTATTTTCTTTTCTATTTAATTTTTCTGTCATGATTGGTTGGTAAGTAACGAAATCTTAAAAAAGTGTTTGGCCACTTAATGCTGTTGTATTTTGTTATGAAAGCGTGCAACGGATTTTGCTGTACCGAGTTTACGCAATCACGGGGGCAACAGCAGAGAGTAAGTGTGAAAACAATAAGCTATTGCCATCTTTCAACGCACTTAATTTTTTTTCATTGTTTCATTGTTTTGCTGTGACTGAATTGAATCAGCAGCGTTTTCTTGAGGTTTTCATTACGAAAAGAAAATTGGCAGATTTGTTCACACAATTTCCTCAGAGACTGCTATACATTCCTCGTGCCAGGTGGTTACTAGAGGCAAGAGCTTTATCCTCTCTTGCTCCTGGATCAATCACTCCGCGAAAATTTCGTTAATCACATGAGTAATTTTATTCAAAGTAAATCTGTGAATAATATGCTTGCCTAGTCTTTTCCGGCGTTTTCCGAAACATGTCGGTAACGTGTCATATGTTAACACGTCACCTCTTCGCGCAGAGCATGTGATCCGACAGAACGAATCGGCCAAGGGAGAAGAAGACGTCAAACCTTGTGTGACAAGCGTGATCGTAACTATGTTTGAAACACAATTTCTGCCAAACTTCACCTTCCTAAAAACAGCTATTTTCTTAAAAAACCAGAACACAGTAATGTTAAGTGAACATCAAGACAAAACTCGCGAGTAATAGTCCTGTCACATTTGTCCAACAGAAACGTTTTACCGTCGCCTTCAATCTGCCTTCTTGTTGCGTAAGCTCACTATTCTGACGCCAGGGGACTAGGCAAGAGAATATGCTTTTTCCCTCCGCATGTAAGAAAACCCAAGACAGTCTTTTAAAGATGCTGGATTCCACGCTGTGGATTCCAGATACCAGGTACTGGATTCCGGGATCCCGGATGGACCAGGTACTCCAAGATTCTTGATTCCAGGATTCCAGTTCCAGGCAAAGCCCAGGCACTGGATTCCGGTTTCAGTGGAACTTGGATTCAAAACCCCGGAGCTGAATTCCGGATTCCATGATTGCAGGAGTCCAGTCCAAAGCCCCTGGTTTTCCCTTTCCGCAAGCAAAAATTTCCCGGATTACCTTACTTGGAGCGATTTTATAGTCTTCGGTTTTGTTTTTGTATACATTGTTATCATATGCCATAATCAGAATCTTAGTGCAGAACCAAATATGGAAAAAAAAACTGAGGAATGAATAAATGTTTTGTTGATGAACGGAATCCTGCTGATTACAATCGTTGGACAAAAGTATATTCATACTACAGGAGTTTCTGTAAAGCGAAATCTAATTATTCTCTCAGTTTTTCCTGCAGACCTCTTGAGGAGCCACCTCTTGAAACAAACAAATAAACAAAAAACAAAACGATAAATCTTGATCAAAGACAACTCATACAGGGGTCATCTTAAGGTGTAAACGCTTAAACAGTTTTTCTGACCATGCTACAATGAAAACACTTATTATTAATAGACATAATGGGAATCCTGAAGCGATTTTTACATTGCTTCTTAAGGTTCTTTCTCCGCACATCAATCAACTTTTATCGTCTCTTAGTACTTGCTCAAGTGGAGAAAAGAGAAAAATATCATTAGTCACTTATTTCATGGACAAATCTAACCAAACTAGGAGATGAATTGTTGTGACACGCACTCAGGCACCTGTTAACCTAACAATCATCTTCATTACTACTTTCTAGAAATACAATAATTATTATTTGACGGACAACAGAAGACGCCAAAAAGAATCATTTTAAGTAAACCGTTGACAAGATATCAAACAGCAAAGTTCAAGCAAATTTTCCTTATTATTTCTGTATCAGCTGAATCAGTCAAGTTAAGTTTGACAAGAAATTTCCAAGACGTAGGGTTAAGACGCTTTTAAGAAGTTTTTCTGCAAAATAATGTAAAAGGTTAATAATTAAAGATATAAAGAGTGTACTACCTTTATTAATCAATAAGATTTGATCAAAAGTTCGTCTCTCCACACAAATTTAACTGTAATTGTTGCCAGTGGATCATCAGTTGTCTTGATTTGCAATGGAATTGTCCAAAAACAAACAAAAATACACTTATGAGAATTCAGAGATTCCATCGCTACGGCTGCACGTGACCTCAGCTGGCCCAGCCATCTCCATAAAGCGACGCGAGAGCTTCCTACTCATCCCAGTTGCATAAAGCCGAGCCTCCAACAACCATTGGCCAAATCAAGCTAAAAAGTGAGCATCATCAGGGCTTGTAGCGTGCAGATTTTCTTCTCAATATGGCTGACGATGACATTGCCGCTCTGGTTATAGACAATGGCTCCGGTATGTGCAAGGCCGGTTTCGCCGGAGACGATGCTCCTCGTGCAGTGTTTCCCTCCATCGTTGGCCGTCCAAGGCATCAGGGTGTGATGGTTGGTATGGGTCAGAAAGACTCTTACGTCGGCGACGAAGCTCAGAGTAAGAGAGGTATTCTGACTCTCAAATATCCTATCGAACACGGCATTGTAACAAACTGGGATGAAATGGAAAAGGTAGGGTTTAACAGTGTAGGAAAATTCAACAGTAAATGTAAGCATTTTATTTTCAAATTAATTGGCTATTCTAATTTTCAGATCTGGCATCACACCTTCTACAACGAGCTGCGTGTAGCTCCCGAGGAACACCCAGTTCTGCTAACAGAAGCTCCTCTCAACCCAAAAGCCAACAGAGAAAAAATGACACAGGTATTTCCGTCTCAGAGGGAAACTAAGCAGTTGAGCTCTGTTCAACTTGCTTGTGAGTCTACCATTTAATAAAGCATGTTCCAAATTTGTGTTCGCTATTATTAAGAACCGGTATTTGCGCGTAAACTAAGTTATTAACTTTTATAGTGACTTTTTATTAATGATCAGAAAAAGTGTTGATTTAAGTGCGCGTGCAAAAAGAAATCTTATCGCATGGAAAAGTTAAGGTTTATTATATTTCTAGAGCAATAAAGAGGACCTTAGCAGCAATGTATTGTTTTAAGTAAACAAAACACTTTTCGGGGAGCGATTTGTTGCATTCCTTATATGGCAAAAAATACTACGGTTGGTCAGAGTCAAGCTTTTTCCAAACAACTTATTCAAAGTGAGAAAAGGGATTGATTTTGATTGTGAAAACAACGCTGTTTAACAATTAGCACATCGCAGAAGTATAGTTTAGTAAGATCCTGTAAGTAATTCTCGGCCACGCTTGTAAATAGCCAACTGGTTGCCTTCTGCCAGTTGGGGTTTTTAATCCTGTTATGTTGTATTTGAATTATTTGTTTCTAAATGTTTGAGTGGAGTGACTGTAAATTAGCTGGCTAACTAAGTGCACCTTCCACTATAAACATGCCTTTAACCTTTTAACCTTTTAAACAATAAAATTAGAAAGAAGATTTAAAATTATCCTAAAGAACGAAAATTAAAAACTTCAATTTCCAGGAATAGAATACAGAGTTCGATCAAGAATTGGCATTATGATCAGGGTATGCTAAGGCTGCCACATTCTAAACGGCAAATGAATGCTGCTTTGTCACAGCGCGTATTTTATTAATTGGACTGTGTGAACAAAGTATGTGGTACATTCCTCATACACGTCTAATCTTCCGTATAAGGACCTTCACAAATACTTTTTGTTGGCGCTGGCTTTCATTTTACAGTCATGCGAAAGTTTCTCTATAAATGAAATATACCTTTCTCTAAACTGAAACTAGTTTTATTTCCCTTTCCAACAGATCATGTTCGAAACCTTCAACACACCAGCCATGTACGTCGCTATCCAGGCTGTGCTGTCTCTGTACGCTTCCGGGAGGACCACGGGAATTGTCATGGACAGCGGTGATGGTGTAACGCACACAGTTCCCATCTACGAGGGTTACGCTCTTCCCCATGCTATCATTCGTCTCGATTTGGCCGGCAGAGACTTGACCGACTACCTGATGAAGATTCTGACCGAGCGTGGCTACTCCTTTACCACCACTGCCGAAAGGGAGATCGTGCGTGACATCAAAGAGAAACTGATTTATGTTGCTCTGGATTTCGAAAGAGAAATGGATACCGCTGCATCCAGTTCCAGCTTGGACAAGAGCTACGAGCTTCCTGATGGGCAGGTCATCAGAATCGCCAACGAGAGATTCAGATGTTCTGAGTCCATGTTCCAACCCTCCCTCCTTGGAATGGAATCTGCCGGCATCCACGAGACCACATATAACTCAATCATGAAGTGCGATGTGGACATCCGTAAGGATCTGTACGCCAACACAGTGTTGTCCGGTGGCTCCACCATGTTCCCTGGAATCGCTGACAGAATGCAAAAGGAAATCACAGCCCTCGCCCCACCCACAATGAAGATCAAGATCATTGCTCCTCCTGAGCGTAAATACTCTGTATGGATTGGAGGATCGATCTTGGCCTCGCTGTCCACCTTCCAACAGATGTGGATCTCTAAACAGGAATACGATGAAACTGGGGCTTCCATTGTTCACCGTAAATGCTTTTAACTTTTTATTAACTGTAAAGGTCATTTCTCACTGAAAAAAAGCTGTTTTTGTTTCATATTCCTGAGATCTGCTATAATTTTGTACTTGTGCCTTCGTTGTTTTGTAGTTTAGTTATCTGAACGTGTATTGTATCATTTACTTTTCGATTATGTAGTACTGTTTTTCCTGCTCATACCAGGCAGTAAGAACTTATTGTACACATACGCAGCTGTTTATATTAATTTATGCGTAATTAAATAGTAGCCAAGGAAAATACACTGCTTGTCCGATCCTACTAAAAGGCAACTACTGAAAATCCTCTTTCCATTTGTACTTTTTACTGTTCTCCTCACAGAAAAAAAAAGCATTCAGTCCTTTTCTTTTCCTTTTTAGACTCACTTCCTCCCTTCCCTCACCTTTTCTATCATAACTGAATTAACAAACGCATAGTGTCACAGAGCGATAGTTTCGGTACAATAAGTACTGTGTAACGTGCAGTCCCCTATTTTCCGCAAGATCGCGAGATTGAGCGCTTTAATACACCCTTACAGGCGGCCATCTTCTGCATCTTGGTTTCAAATGTGCCGTGTGGACTAGCCTGGGGATGCATATCAAATCTACGTAGGATGCAGCCCCCTGCTCAGCGATCTTATGGAAAATTTGGGGACTGTGAACAGTTTATCAATACTTTATCGAAAAAATTTCCCTGTCCCTTTAACATCACCTATACGTTTCGCTAATTGAATAATCAGTGTCTCTCTTCTATGATCTACTCACCTTTCCAATCATACTCAGAATAATTCCCTCTGTTGGTTCTTTCCAAATAGTTTCTCAATGATGATTTGCGGTACAGTCTGTTGATGAAGTTCCCGCCCTCACATTCTCACTATTAAAACTTTAGTGGATTCTCGTACAGACCTTGACCCCGCTTATATGGAGAAAACCGGTCTCAGCCCGGCGGGACCAGTTAAAGAGTTACTCACCTACCTGTGCTGCCTTGGATTTCCTTACAAAACTTGGCGAACCGTGTACATGAGAAAAGAAAGTTTGGCTCGGCTAGGAAGGTTACCCGCCCAGCCGGGTCACTCTGCTAACCGGGTTACCCTCCTAGCCGGGTCAACCTCCTAACCGGGTCACCCTCCTATCCGGGTTACCCTCCTATCCGGGTTACCCACCCTCCTTGCTGGGCCAACTTTTCTCCATACTTTGTCTCGCCAAGCTGGGTCAACTCGGTCAAGGCGAGACAATCATCAGAGCATGCGCGAGTGCTGTTCTCAGCAGCTCTTGGCTTGAGCAAAGAGGTCAACTTTTTTCTCATGTAAGCGCTCGTTTAACAAGTTGATTCGGCTAGGAGGGTGATCCTCTTAGCGGGGACAACTTTTCTCCAAGACAACACGGTCTTAGAAGGCCAGCGTGGTATCTGAGAAAGATAATCTCCTTCCGTCCCATAAAATATGTCAGTTTTCGCCCGTAATTCGATATAGAAGAAATATTTAAAGGTAATCAGTACGATTAAAATGAATCATGATTATGCATTTCTTTCACCATCTCACCTTTCATCAGCTGCAGGCATACTGGCATTAGGGACCTTACAATCCGACCTGGATGTCCATGAAAACGTCACTGAAAAATAGACTTAGCATCCGTTTAAACGTTTTCGCGATTATCCCAATTCGCCCTGTTACTTAAAAGAAGGGAATTTTGTTTGGAGCTGACGAGAGGGGACCGCGCCCGAATTCAGACAGAGATGGCAGAATTTATCGCCTTGCCGTTCCTGTTGTCAAGTAAACTTAAAATTTGGTCATTTCACGTCGTAGTTGTGTAGGGACAGCAAAGAAATGTACAAAAAAGCGTGATGCACGCGCAGAGTTGTTGTTTTGCTCATTAAACCTATTGCTTTTTGGACGTTCTCCTTGCCGTCGCTGTCGTAGTTTCGTAAGGTCCATATTAGCTTCGCTGCGTCAGCCCTACAGACAGTACTTTTTATGGATGAAGAAGTGACGTCACATACACTTGCAATGGACAATAATGGTTTTGAGATTGCAAAGCTGAAACGGTCATCCGGATGACAGTTTCTTACGAGACCGCTTAACGAGTTGTCATTCACCTTCCCAGTTAGAGTAACAATTTTCCTTGTGTGAAACACGTTTCAAAACGCATTTTGGAAAACCAAATCTCGAAAAGTAAATGTATTAGATTGTAATGAAAACTTTCTTTAGTGTTTTCTCATTTTTGCAGTTGTAATGGCATGAGGTCATGTGTATATGCCTAATAAAACAATTATTGGATTCAGTTTTGGCACAAAAGCACGAATTATCAAAGCTGATGGTTTGAAATATATGCCGGACCTAGATAATTCTGACTCGCCGTCGTACCCAACCTCATCCAAATAATGAGGTTGATTGTTGTGCTTTGTTTTTGTTTTGCCTGATCTTCAGGTGACTGATCTCCTAATTGTTCTGTAGAAAAAAATAGGAAAAAATATCTGCAGGCTGTAGGCTGACTCTGAATCTAAAAAAAATCCAATTAGCTAAGCTGTAGGCTGATAATCCAAAAAAAATCCAGACATTTTTTCTGGCTTGATGTCAACACTAGCTTAAACGATCCTAACTGATATATATTTTTTTATTATTATCAACAGCCTTCGGAGTAGATAAGTTTGCAAATGAATAAATACTTATGCCTTAAACACGTAAGTTTGTGTTAGTTTAGATTGACTTATTACCCGGAGAATAACAACTAAAGACTAAGAAATGGCTCCTGGGAACTTGAGAAATTTGAACCGGAGAGTTTTTGGTCTGCGCTGGTCATGCTCCGTCCAGATTCTCCGAGTGCGTATCCAAGTGTCCTGCAATCCACGATCTTGTGAATTCTCGGTCCACAGATTTATCCACGTGACAACTAAGACTACAACTATTTTAGCACGACTTCGATCTACCTACGCGAAAGTCTGCTACTGAAAATTGCCCGAGAAAATAAAGAGAAAGATGAATCAGAGAAAGTCAAACCACTAAATAATGCGGACAAGGAAAGAGTGAGTTAAATTTTGAAATACTCTAGTCATAGCTAGAAAATACTGTGATGAAAAATCAAGCTTGAAATATAAAACAAATGGCAATAGCCTTGGTTATCTCCAAAGTTCTCCAAGTAAACAGATATAAAAGTGAGAAATTCAGTAAATAACCTTAAAAGGTCACAGTGAAAATTTATTCTGCAGCAGCTTGTTTTCATTGTGATTAAACTCTCTCAACAAAACGTCTTTGGGCTCCTTTATTTTATAACCAAATATGGCTATAAAAAGATGGTAAATTGAAGCATTCTGACAACAATAAAGATGTTGATTGTAGGTGTTCATGCTGATTACTTCTTTCGAAAATATTAGAATCTATTTAACTCCAGCAATTAAAAAAAAGAATTTTTAAGAGACAGGAACTGAAAATCAAGTCCGATAGTTTTACTGGACTCGGGAAAGGAGATTAACTCTGTAATGCGGAGTTAAAAAACGCTTAAACAGTCATTCAGTAACTTTAATGAAAACGCACAATACTGGAATCCCACTGCGGGCTCAGTAACCAACAGAGTTTTGCAAAACATGTTAGAGCGTTTTTCTCTCCTCGATATCAACTTATTATCAACCAAGATGGTGAGGAGAAGATATGAATGTATCAGTTAGGAACATGTGCTTGGAAATTCTCCGAACGAACCATAAGCAAATAATATAGAAATTACTGTGAAGAAATGATTGCTCGAGCACGGTGCTACCTCACGTGATCTCAAGACCTACTGGGGATTTTCAGCTAGTTTTTAACCTTTATAAGACGATGCTAGAACATTTTGAGTTACTGCAGGTTTCTCGATAAAGTTACTAGCTAAGGACTTTCATAGCCGATTCTTGCTGTCTAATCCAGTTGTGTAAAGAAGAGAGTCAGTTTAAGTAAAAAAATGGCCGATGAAGACGTTGCCGCTTTGGTTATAGACAATGGCTCCGGTATGTGCAAGGCCGGTTTCGCCGGAGACGATGCTCCTCGTGCAGTGTTTCCCTCCATCGTTGGCCGTCCAAGGCATCAGGGTGTGATGGTTGGTATGGGTCAGAAAGACTCGTACGTCGGCGACGAAGCTCAGAGCAAGAGAGGTATTCTGACTCTCAAATATCCCATCGAACACGGCATTGTAACAAACTGGGATGACATGGAAAAGGTAAAAGCCCTTTAAGGCGATTTTCCAGCTGGCATAAAGAAATTGCGTCAAAATTACATTTATAAAGCGATGATTAACGAACTAAGAAATAAAAAAGATACAAGGGAAGCCAGAAGGCGAGAAAAACAGGTTTGACATTTTACGTAGGGATTCACATTAATTAAAGCCTAAACTGATCCAGTGAAGGACTTGACCCAGTTCTTGTTCCTATTTCAGCGTACGAAGCAGCAAAAAGTTTCAGTTAGAATGTAAAATAGTTTTTAACTAAAATAAACTAATTCAAAGTAAAATGATTTCTTCTTTTTCTTTTTTAGATCTGGCATCACACCTTTTATAATGAATTACGCATAGCTCCCGAGGAACACCCAGTTCTGCTGACAGAAGCTCCTCTCAACCCAAAAGCAAACAGAGAAAAAATGACAACGGTATATAAAAAACTAGAACTAAGTTATACTTTATATTTGTCGCTCATTTCATAATTTAGAACCTTAGGCGAGTAAAGCACCTTTTTTTTCAAGAACAAAAAGACATTCTGGTATGAAGGCATAGAAATTAACTTTGTTTATTATGAAATATTTCTAATATTTTTAGAACATCACTTGTTTTTATTCTCTAAAAGCCATCGCAAACGACCAAACGTGACGAAAAAGTTAGTTGAATCTTGAAATATTCAACTAATAATTTGATTCGCGTTTCAAAACTTTCAGTCCTATAGCTTTTTGGAGGGGGGAGGTATAGGACGGTAAATCTCCCTCCTCCCTACTTTTTCAGCCAATGTCTTCCTCCTCCCTAGTTTTTGGGGTAATTTCTCCCTCCTCCCTAAACTTGGTTTAAAAATTAACGGCGGACAACACATAACTCCTGCACTTAGTGGTAAAGGAAGTATAATGACCTTCAGAGCTTGTGACACACGAAGAAGGCCTAACCACCATATGTATGCATAAGAAGATTTTATGGAGGGAAAGCCCATACACCCAGTCCCGGGGGAGTCTTTTTAAAATCAAAAGACCGTCTGAAGTCGTACGCATAGTTTTCTAATCGGACGAGAGAGCAGTGCAAATTAAAGCCATATCAGGACTTGCTCGACGCGAAGTTCAATTACAACTTTAATACAGCCATTTGGAAATCACAAAATTCAGTCAGTACCAATTTTACACTGATCCAGTCAGGGCCGGCATGTTGAAAAGTGGAATCGGAAACGTTTTTATATCTCAATTTGTTGCCGAAACGGAACTGAAAACATTTAGAGCAAAAAATGGATCCGATTTAAAACAGATTTAGAACAGATGTGATTTAGAGCAAAAAATAGTGTGATTTCGTGAATAAATCACAATGTTGAGAGCCAATCAGATAGCAAGGATCACCAGTGATTTCAAAATGGATGTAATAAACAGATTTAAAAAAATTGTTATTAGGTCTTTGTTAGTATTTTTCTCCAAAAAATAATTATTGTCCAGTGAAGGACGACCATTTTATATAAAGTTATAAGTATAAGTTGGATAAACCCCTGACACTTGGGCTCTGACACAATAGCCACATCTGGGGGAGACGGAGAGAAGTAAACTGAAACCAACCTCCGGAAATAGTACTGATTGAAGTTACTAGGCAGAAAAATTCCGAGATGAGCGGAAATGTTTACATGGATATTTAGACAATATTTGCTTCTTCGAAGAAAGCATTCGTTGTGTCACCCTGTGATAACATGCAAAGCACGCACTGACATTGTTGAGTTACCTATATTGTAACAGAGCAAGCTTAGCGGTAGATGGTAATCACACCTACTTCATTGGTTCGAAAATCAGATCTCTCTGTAGTTGGTGAAGTAGCTACCCCAACCCATCTCTGTTAGCAAAATGTGAAATTAACGGTGTCGGAATCACGGCGCACCTTTTTAAAAGCCTAGTTCAATTTTCTTATAACAGGAACTTTTCTCTTTTCATCTAGATCATGTTCGAAACATTCAACACACCAGCATTTTATGTCGCTATCCAAGCTGTACTATCTCTGTACGCTTCTGGTCGAACAACTGGAATCGTGTTGGACAGCGGTGATGGTGTAACGCACACAGTTCCCATTTACGAGGGCTACGCTCTTCCTCACGCCATCATTCGTCTCGACTTGGCCGGCAGAGACTTGACGGACTACCTCATGAAGATTCTGAAAGAGCGTGGCTACTCCTTCACCACCACTGCCGAACGTGAGATCGTGCGTGACATCAAAGAGAAACTGTGCTATATTCCCCTAGACTACGAAAATGAAATGCAAACTGCCACATCAAGCTCCAGCTTAGAGAAGAGCTACGAGCTCCCTGATGGACAAGTCATCACCATCGGAAACGAGAGATTCAGAGCTCCCGAGTCCTTGTACCAGCCTTCCTTCCTAGGAATGGAATCTGCAGGCATCCACGAGACCACGTACAACTCGATCATGAAGTGCGATGTGGACATCCGTAAGGATCTGTACGCTAACACAGTGTTGTCTGGTGGAACCTCTATGTTTCCAGGGATCGCTGACAGAATGCAGAAGGAAATAACTGCTCTGGCCCCGCCAACAATGAAGATCAAGATCATTGCTCCTCCTGAGCGTAAATACTCTGTATGGATTGGAGGATCGATCTTGGCTTCGCTCTCCACCTTCCAACAGATGTGGATCTCCAAACGGGAATTCGATGAAACTGGCCCTTCCATTGTTCACCGCAAATGTTTCTGAATTCTATGACTGTCCTCTGCTAATTCGACCCACTTAAACTTGAACTTTGAACTTTTTTTTCTCTCTCTCCATTTATTTCATTATAAAAGTTCTGCCGGGATTGAAGGATTGATAACAGCCAGTGCAGTTGAAATCTCTCTCATTTACTGATCACTCACAGCCTGTTACAACTCACGGCACTGATTGTTAGAATAATTGCAAAGACCCCCACTCCCTGTATCTTAGGATTCGTAATACAAAGTTAGAACTGATTAAATTTTTTTTTCCATGACTTTCTAGTGGGTACAAAAGTGCGTTCTTCCCAGATTTTCACACAATAGCACTTTTCCACGAAAAAAAGACTAAGACAAGCATAATTATAAAACTACATTCATACATTTTCTTAATTCCGAAAAATGGTTCAACCGAAGGTTACACATGTATAATCTCTCATAATTTTAGGTGACTATCTTGCAAGGTCTGGAGAGCCTTCTCGAAGGCCGGAGGTCGCTCGGATATCACTTATGAGAGAGGCAGCTGTATGAAAAGCTGGCATTACTTCTGTTACGTTTAGAACCTATCGTATTTGATGAAAAATGATGAAATAAAAGATCACACTCCTTAGGTATAGAAAATTACAATATCACTGTTATAATTCAGACTGATAAGCGGTTTGAGTAAATCGCACTGCAGCTCCTCGCCCTGCTCACTGATGTAAACATACCCGGGCCGGGGGGGGGGCATTCTCTAAACAGGTAAGTGCCGCTGAACAGGCTATGGTTTTCAGAGTCTTGAGTCTTACCGGGTATACGTTTTCACTATTTAGCGTCTTCAACAAGGCATGTTTTTTTTGTGGTTACGGCCGGGTAGCGAAAAATGAGTAATAGTAGAGCAGATATGTGCTTGAATTGTTCACTTTCTGTTAAAAGCATGAAATTTGGCATGATGATAGTTTTCAAGGCCCTAAAAAAGATAGGATATGGTGCCATCGCTAAAAAGTCCGTTAAGTGCGAAAAATAGGACTTTTTATTATGGCGGCCATTTTAAACCGGAAGTGAAATTAACATTTTCTTTAAAACGTCTGAATTTTAGCAACCTGGATAAGAAAATGTCAGTTAATGCCTAAGGCAGCTGTTTTTTTCATACAAAGAGATATTATTTCAACGCAAATTGTCTAAAAAGTAGAATAGAGATGATATAAGTGGCCGCCAGCTAGACCGGAAGTAAAACTACCAGAGTCGGAACTAGACTGCAAGCAGTCTCTCTTTTTCTTCAGGTTTATGGCCATTTGCGTGTCTCGCGTTTTGCTCGACGGACTACAGAAAAAAGAGAGACTGCTCGTAGTCTAAGTCGGAACTTTTAAGGAATGAGTTTAATAAACTTCTGTTGTGCCTGCTAGTCTTCTTGACTTTAATATTTTCTTTATAAATGTAATGTATACGTTCAATTTACTATTTTCATCATGTATAATCCATTACTGAACTTCAGCCTACTTTGGCTATGATACGGAATATCGAAGAAGAGCAAATGGTATCTCAGTGACCTAATGACTTGATACTTCATGCAGGCGAGTGCTTGTAATCGAAAAAAGAGTTGGGGATCGCCTTTCACGATTGTCACTCTTCGGGGCATAGCCCTTCCTACGAGCGTACTTTACTAGTTCCACCCTCAGCAGGAGGGTCAACACTCTCCTCTTAGAAATATCCAGCCCCGATCTTGCAGACTTGGAACCGAGATGCTTGGTACCAGTGCCTGCTGACTCCATATGTGGCCAGCATGGTTCGGCGTGCCCTTGAAATGTTTAAGTAATGCAGGCCGGGTCAAAGAAACTACTTTTGGCTTCGTCAGTTGACGGCAAAGAACTACTTTTTCTATCGTATAGAAGAACGTGTAAGCAAAAACAACTCCGATTATTTCTGGAGGTGACCAGAAGTACTAACTTTGTCACATCCAGTGAATGCATGGAACGGAGGAAGTGAAAGTGTAGCTTTTTAGTAAACACTTTAGCAATCTCGTAGGGTGCAAGGTAGCGTAGATGTACATTAGTACCAAGATATATGATAGGAAGCTAACTTGGCTTCATGGTAGAGAAGCTTCATGGGTAGTTAGAACGGAGAGTGGACTCAACGCAAATGTCTCGGTTACAAACAACATAGAGAATTAAAAGAAGGGAATCTGCTTTGTGATATAGCATAACAATAAATGCTTTCTAGCGAATTGACTTCAAACGATGCAGGGAAAAGACTAGACGTCTGGCCCTAGACGACATGCGTTGCTCAATGTGTAAGGAATCTAAAAAACACCCGCTTGTTTCGATCTTTACAAAAGAACTAGCTTTTTCCAGTTTCTTAGTTTAGCTCCTGATACACGTTTACCCCAGATCTTAGTCTTCAAGCCGTTCTCGGCGCGACATATTTGTCACGTACTATATCCAAGAGAATACATTTTACATGCTTAGGGGATTAACGTAAGTGATGCACATTCGAAAAACGCTCTTTCCTTATTTTCTTGCATGTGGACTTTAGCATGATAGTCAGTGCTGCTCAGTCCATGATGATTAAATGGCATTCTGGGGGTGGTTACATTGAAGATTAGAGACTAACTCTTACTTCGGTCGAGAGAGGCGCAGATTCACTTGATAGTGATCATGAAATACAGCTGAATTAAACCGCCTCCTGTTTAGCTCCAGGTGGGTAAAACACCGGTCTACTGAGCGGGAAGCCACGGTTTCAAACCCCGGCCAGACCAATTATCGATCAGGATCTTTAAATAACTGACGAGAAGTGCTGCCTTTTTAATGTCATCTCCAAACGGTTAGACTTTCTAGTCTTATTGGAATAAAAAAAAAACTGTAGGCCCCTTCTCACGGTCCTTGTTCATATAAAATGCTGTGGGAAGTTAAAGAACCCAGACACTGTTTGTAAAGAGTAGGCTGAGTAGGGGACCCATTTACCTTCCAAACAGATTTCCCGGAAACTTTTTGAAAATGGTAAACTTTGAAGTGAGCAGACGTTATCGTGAAAGCAATTTCAATCCAATATGTACATGCAAAGGGTGTTATTTATACTCCTCAATAACAAAATGGTGGAGCTATTATACCTCAAATTACTTTGAAAACCGCTAAGCATTCTGCATTCTAGTTAATAATGGATCAACTCTTTTAACTCTTACAAGTTCTTCAAACTGGTCTCTATACATTTCCTTAAAAGAATAAGTTGAGATAATTTGATAAAAGAGAGAAAAGCATTTTCTCTCAGGTGATAATTTTATTAATTCTAAGAACCTAATCTCTTGACCTTGTATGGATATTGTGAGTCAGAAGAAGATTGATGTTGGTCACTATTGGGACTTAGAGGGTTAAGCCAAGTAAAAAGAAGTAATCTGTTTTTTGCTGGTTTAATTTGTTCGAATGTTTGGCCTTTCCTATGCTTAAAAATGTGAATCATTGTTTCACATTTGTTTTAAATGCACTACTGAAATGAATTGCTTTGAATGAGTTGCATTTTCCATTTTGGCCCGCTTTTACCTCTGGTTCTTTCATTTAATCAGCTAATTTGTAACACGGTTGACTTTTTTACATGACATAAATATCCGGAAAAACATAGAACAAACAATTTTGTCGTCATTTTGACCTTAACATGCTAAATTTCGTGTACTTTTAGTTAGGTGATATTTACTTCCGGTCAAAATGGCGAACATTTTAGTAATAACTCCAAACGCCGGTTTAACAGGAAAAATTTGCGATGGCACCACATCACATATTAATAGCCAAGATTAGTATACATAATAAACAATTTGATCGTTATTTTGGCTTAAAAAATGCTTAATTTTGTGTACTTTCGGCTAGATGATAAATACTTCCGGTCAAAATGGCGGCCGGTTTAATTTTCACTCCAAAAACCAGTTTAACAGGAAAAATTTGCGATGGCACCATATCACATTTTAATAGTCATAATTAGTTCTGTCATTCCTGAAAATTTGGTGCTTTTAACAAAAAGTGAACAATCCGGCCCCAAATCTGCACATATCCGCCCCACTATAATCTTTGCCTTGGCGGCACAGAGGTTCCGCAATGGGGTTCTTCAATCTTGTAATCCCGACCCATAATTTCGTGCAATCCCGTAATCCCGAGGGTTATTTTTGGCATCACACCTCCCGTGCATACTTTCAATCCCGAATCTCGCTCTTGTTTTACTTTAAAATCCCGAATCCCGAGCTTCAAATAAGGGAAATCACGTATCCCTTGTACCGCACCCACCCCAACCCCTCCCCTGACCCTTCCTGAGTACGCTTTTCCATGCAACATCGATCGTTGAAAGAATCTCACGAACACGAATGGTCAAGCATGAAATTGTGTCACCACTCAACAATCTGCGCTATCAAAAGGTCGCATCTATTTATTAATATATTGTGTTTAAAGGGATTCAGCAATCCTCGACAAGGATATTGTCTCCGATACGTGATAAGTTCACTGATGATATAATTCAAATTTAAAAGGCAGCACTGATGATGTTGCTACCTGCCTATTTGTATGAATTGTACGTAGGTTTGCACGCACCAAGTCCCACAAGTCGTTACCAAAAAAGGTCATGAATTTTCGGCAAGCGCAGTGGATTGAAGATAGAATATGAATATTGTTTGTTTCGCAATATAATGTCACGTCTCGGTGGAAGTGACGTCAGAACACTGAGAACAAAATTTTCCACCATGAACTTGCACTGAGTTTCATTTTAATGCACAGCAAAAACATGGATACTCAATATTTGGACGATAAACGAAACATCATATCATTATGCCCATGAAAAGCCCATCTCACTTAAAGATGTTATAATTCTAAGGGCGATGAACCAGCAAAAGAAACAAGTTGTCCGTTTGCAAACAACAAAAGAATGCCAAATTTGGTAATTTAAATTTAAGTGTTGTTTAAAAATTAAAGACAAAGCTGACCAAAGCCCGTGTCTGATGTGTAGCGAAGCATAGTGGCGGAGCTGGAGCCGGCGTAAGGCAGTTCCGCACAGGGAACACCCAGCTTTGTTGTTTAACACTGACAGGAAATCAATCCCTATATTGAATGATCCATCGTTACAATACTGCAAATTCCTTGGTTCACAGTATTTTCGACAAAAAAGTGTCGGTTAATATACGTTGGCGTATTAGTCGATGAAAATCTCTTCTGATAACTAGCCGAGCCAAACCATTCGACGATCTGTTTAATACTGACCTAAACTAAGATTTAATAACTACTTGAACATTATGACTAATAAACTGATATATTATAAATCTCTACCATGTTTAATAGTTTAATTTAAACAACATAACAAGCTAAAATGCAAATCAACTGTACTGTACTGATTGACAGAGATTCGGGTAATAAGAGAAAGTCGGTGATTTCCATTTATCATAAAAGTTTTAACAAGTAACGTTTTGCGTCCCAAATGAAACGGGAACAAGATCGTTTATAGGAAGAGCAGTCAAGCGCAGATTTGTTGATATTTTTTTTTCAATGATTTAAAGAAGAATTTGCATCTTTAAATATTTTCACTCACAATTTACCGCAAAGTTTTTGCAAAAAAATATGACGAAACAGTTTAGACGTGCTGACGAAAATGCAGGAATGATCTTTCAGTGTAACTTTTACCAAATTTGGCCAAATTATTCGCTGTCTATGAAAAGGAATGATAAACGTTGGATTGCGTTATTTCTTCAAATACAAGAGAGACTTGTCGCTACATTTGCATTATTGTTCGCGTGGGCGATTTGAGCCAATCAGATGAAAGCACCGGCAGCAATAAATCTTGGACCTCCGTAGAAGTTGATCATATTTCGAACAGTGCTGTAAGAAGCAAAGTAACAATTCTCATAGGTCTTTAGTTAATTTCTGCTTCCAATAATTCCAACGAAATGGCCGATGAAGACGTTGCTGCCTTGGTTGTGGACAATGGCTCCGGTATGTGCAAGGCCGGTTTCGCCGGAGACGATGCTCCTCGTGCAGTGTTTCCCTCCATCGTTGGCCGTCCAAGGCATCAGGGTGTGATGGTTGGTATGGGTCAGAAAGACTCGTACGTCGGCGACGAAGCTCAGAGTAAGAGAGGTATTCTGACTCTCAAATATCCCATCGAACACGGCATTGTAACAAACTGGGATGACATGGAAAAGGTAAATATTCTTGAATGTTGGAAATATCAAGTTGAGCGGTTGACTCACGATGAATTTTCCTTATTTTAGATCTGGCATCACACCTTCTACAACGAGCTGCGTGTAGCTCCCGAGGAACACCCAGTTCTGCTGACAGAAGCTCCTCTCAATCCTAAAGCCAACAGAGAGAAAATGACACAGGTAAACTCTACTTGCTAAATAAGCCTTCCATTTAAAAATAATCTTGCAAGTCGCTACAGATGTGTTAAAAGAGGGAGTGGTCGCTTTGAAGATATTCCCAAAAAAGAATGAAAAAATGTTCAGTCCTCAACTCGCGAATAGATGTCATTTATGCAGTTGGAGTAAAGTCGAGTCACTGGGTGCTGTCAATCTGTCGACATGTTTTTAAAATCCCAGCTAAAATTCTTACGAAACTTTTAATATTTGTCTAGAGAATTACGACGAAACAATCTAGGTAAAAGAAATGAATTGGAAAGAATTCACCTTCAGTTAATATTTTGCTTTCGAAAGGAGATAAAGTTTAATAGAGATGAATTCTATAATAAAATAAATTTCACCGTGAAATATTGTATGTTGGTCGGCCGCCGAAAAATTTGCAAGTCAATGTAAGTACTTAATCGACTGTTTTAAAAAAGACAGCATGAGAGTAAGGATTATTCTAAAAGAAAGAGGAAAAAAAATAGCAATGACCTCCGTGCAACCCACAGTGGATCGTGTTTACAAAATAAAAATTGAGCCTAGAATTGGAAATTTTTTAGGAAGAAAACGACTTGCGCTTATAGTTTCGGAAGCTTTCCAGTCTTGTTTCATGCCCATATTTGGTAAAGAAGTCCAGTGATTGGTCAGAATTTCTAATACAAGCCTGATCGATTAATATGCAAAACACGACTGTCTCTTTAGTTACAAATGTGTAGTTTTAATCTCCTGACACTACAATTAGGGCGCGGAATTTTGCCGAAAATTCTTGAATTGACTTTTAATAGCTTCTAGTTTGCTTTTATCGTCGTCAGCTAAGTGTCATGTTACGTAACTCGAAGATTTTGATAGTGCCAAAGTTCCGTAAATTATTTTGGAGGTTTTTGTTTTGTCTTTATATAGAATTCATGGTCAATTGTCATTCTTTAAGACACTGGACTTTTATTATCAAACTCTTTGACTTCTTCTGTGTTAATTCTGTGGAATCTCCAATGTAGTCATATTCAAATTAGCATTTGCGATCAGAAAATTTTTTCTTGTATTTGTGTATTACAGTCTTCTGTAGAAACTGTATATTCAGACGGAGGCATGGATAGCTCTGTAGATTTCTGGATACATTTTTCCCCCCTCAGTACCCGTGTCCCACAAAGAGATTATTACATTTAATTGAGTTTTTTTCTTGTACGTGATTTGAAGAAGATCACTGGACTCAATAAACTTTGAATATTTTAATTTGTAGTAGAAAAGATTTATATAGATTTTCTCTAAAGAGTTTATTTCCTTTCCAACAGATCATGTTCGAGACCTTCAATTCACCAGCCATGTACGTCGCAATCCAGGCAGTGTTGTCTTTGTACGCCTCAGGTCGAACAACTGGCATCGTATTTGACAGCGGTGATGGTGTGAGTCACACAGTTCCCATCTACGAGGGTTACGCTCTTCCCCATGCTATCCTTCGTCTCGACTTGGCCGGCAGGGACTTGACCGACTATCTTATGAAGATTCTGACCGAGCGTGGCTACTCTTTCACCACCACTGCCGAGCGCGAGATCGTCCGTGACATAAAAGAGAAATTGTGCTATGTTGCCTTGGACTTCGAACAAGAAATGCAAACTGCCGCATCAAGCTCCAGCTTGGAGAAGAGCTACGAGCTTCCTGATGGACAGGTCATCACCATTGGAAACGAGAGATTCAGATGTCCTGAAGCCATGTTCCAGCCTTCATTCCTTGGAATGGAATCTGCCGGCATCCACGAGACCACATATAACTCGATCATGAAGTGCGATGTGGACATCCGTAAGGATCTGTACGCCAACACAGTGTTGTCTGGTGGCTCCACCATGTTCCCAGGAATCGCTGACAGAATGCAGAAGGAAATAACTGCTCTGGCCCCACCCACAATGAAGATCAAGATTATTGCTCCTCCTGAGCGTAAATACTCTGTATGGATTGGAGGATCGATCTTGGCCTCGCTGTCCACCTTCCAACAGATGTGGATCTCCAAACAAGAATACGATGAATCTGGTCCATCAATTGTCCACCGCAAATGCTTCTAAGCATCACTGAAATAGAACTTTTTCCTCCTTTTGGGGAGATTAAATAACAAAACGACAAAAGTATAAATATATAATAGCCGCTGTTTAAAAAACAGAGCTTAAGAAGAGAACACTTTCACTTATTCGTTGTGCATCTTTGAGCCTTATTCTATTTTTGTAGATGTGGTACTGTTCCTAATAAAGATTTTGTTTACATATGTAATATTGGCTGATTGCTTGATCATGACTTCTCGATGATATGGGGACTTAGCTCGGGTACTGTTTCAACTTCACCTCTGTCTTCATTATCTTTTCCTTTTAGGGTAAAAGAGCGGCCCAGCATAATTTTTAGCGGTTACGTTGTTTTATTTGGGAAACTGGCAGATGCTTTGCCCAACTTTGAATCATCTTTTTCCAAGGTTTGCTCATTTTTCAAACTCTCTAGTTGCTGAACATTACCATTCGCTCGGGATTTGCCTGTGATAAAACAAAGCCATAAAAATAACAAAGTGTAATTAGACTCCCGAGTTTAAAATTCTTTAAAGTTTAGTTAGTAGGTTTTTCAATCGCTTTTACTGTCTTATTAAAACCTTGGTTTCGGGCGTCGTTTTGTTGTTTCACTGTTAAAATTGTGTTTTACAACCGACAGTGCTCAACTCAGCCGTTAATTTGCTTATCACGCCAAATAACTGCTGCTTTGAAGGAATTGATCATCAGAGATTTGTTTTGAAAAAGCAATTTTCCTTCGTAATCTACGGTCTTTCACAATGTACATGTTATAGCATGTTGTATACGGAACTGAGCTGTCAGTAGTTAAGGCATGTCACGCAACACAGACCATCGTTCGTTTCAAAAGTAGGCTTTGATAAAAGTGCGTTCCTGAAAGTAGCACAATCAGCCACAAGTGGTGCTCCTATTTTTCTGATATTATGTCCAAAATTATCCTAGTTGTTTTAAAATACGCTGATATAAGCATAAAATGCAGAAATTATGCTTGTTGAAGTCTTTTTCCATAAATATTTTGAAACTACAGGCTACAACACTTATGCTAAAACTTGGTCCTGGACCAAAAACCAGTAAATAGCAACACGTAGTAACACAACAAATCTATTCTTTTCAGTCAGCCAGAAACTTTACCGTGCTTTAGAATTGGCCGGATTCTCTTCAACAAGGAGCCTTATCCTTGGCTACTAGGTCAATCTTCATTATATATTCCTAGGTCACTTCCTGTGTGACCCTGGCTTACTCAGTCACTATAAATCATCTTTGTGCGCAGCAAAAACAGCCAAAAATAAGATAATGCTTGCAGTGTTTTGTTTTGGAGAAAAGTGGTGAAAATTATACTCAAAATGACGATCGAATGATGCACAATACCCCCGGGTATTTGATGACTTAACCCCGGAGGGGGGGGGGACTCCGCATATGAAAAGGGTGAGGATGCTCGTCGGAAATTTTGAACTAAACCCCTAAAACAGACCGATCCGGTCGTAGCTCAAGCTTTTTTTGACCCCTAAAAGAGATCATATTAAAACACAGACAATACAAATATTTTTACATTTTTTCACGTGCAACCCTAAACGAGACCTTCACGGCTTAATATGACGCCGTTTAGCCCAGAACACCCTAAGTGAGACCAAAATCCGAAATTTACACCCCTAAGCGAGACGACGACTGATCCCCACCCCTCCCCATGCGGAGTCCCTCCCCCGGGGACTTAACTTGCACGGAGGGGGAGGGAATTTAAAATCATAGCCTTACTAGAAGGAGAGGAATTGGGTCCCTGCGGCTCGGAATTTGAACCCTCTTGCCTCGATTTCATGTGACATGACTCGGTGATTGCAAGAGGTGGACTAATCCTGGCGCAGGCCGGCATGGCAAATATTAATAATTCCTTCCATTTTTTCAGGGTCTTGGGATCCGGTACTTCTATCTTGTCATATTGAACCTTGCTTCCAAAACTAAAAAAAATGAAAAGGACTACAAAAGCTTTAATTCGTCATCGTGAAGAGTAGTGTAATATGTATACATGTATGTTAATTTCCCCGAGGTAGGTAGAGTTGCATATGATCACCTAAAATGGACCAATTATGGGATATTTGAACGATTTTTTGATTCAGGGGGTTGGGAATTTCAACAATAATTTTCCCAAGCTTCAAATGCCCGGGGGATAACCTAGCAAGGGGATGTTGTAGTTTCGATTTGACCGATACTTAATTACAGCCGACATTTGGCGCGCGACGTCACCACTGGTTTCCCCGAGGTCTGAGGAACGAGCGCAAAAATTCCGTACTGCTGACGTGTTACTACATCTCAGATCTCTTCTGATTAGTTAGACAATGGACTACCCAGAGACGTCATCATTGTGGAAATTCTGTGCTCGTTCCTCAGAGGTCGTTTCGAGAAGATATTAGTGGTGGCGTCGTGAGAAGTTGGCTGTTTTCTCAGGCTTCCTCTTAGGGGAAAGCGAAGAAACGGTTGGGCTACGGGGTATAAAACGATAATGCAGGTATTACCATATTTGGGTATGCAGACTCCACAATAAGTTTCTGAAGATTTTCAAGGTTTCAAGCTCACTTCACTCGCTTTACAGCTTTTCTTCTGTGAAACTTACGAGGTAGGCTTGTGGCAAGTCTACCTGTTACTGCAGTACCCGTCGCTTAATAATGATGAATTTTTACCTCTATTAAATTGATATCAAAATAACTTCCCCTCACAAAACATTTTAAAAGATATTTACATTAGTTTTACCGCACCAAACATCAAAGAGAACTCTGAGGACCCCTTAGGGCAGCAACCTTAATGGAAAAATCTTCCCCCATGAATTCTATTTTTCAAAATGACAGAAAATTTAAGTGCCATGAAAGAGCGTCTTTTTCATACCGGCCTTCAGAAACTTCGTAAATGCAAATGTCGTGTCATACGCCTATTCTAAAGAGTCGCAAAAAATTTGTCCAGTCATTTATAATTCGCTGCTCACATAGCATAAAGTTTCTATGGAAAACACCATAAAAGCGACAGTTTTTATAAGGCAAAGACGTCTTGAAATTACAGTTAATATCGCCAAAATATAAACGCGTGACAATTCACCTCGAAGGCGTCTGTAATAATACCACTCAACCACGTTGTGGGGTGAAAATCCACAACATTTCCATATAAGGTCATAAAGTTAAATTACATTTTCTTTCCACGCCGTTCTTAGCAAGCATCACTTGTACACCCAACCTAAAGAATTTTAAAGCGAAAATGATTTACCTTAAAACAAATAAACTTCTATTTATTATACGGCAAAAGTTATGACCCTTTATCTAGACATTGCAACTGCCTTTACTTTTCAACGTTTATCCCACAATACTGTAAACAAACAGGCTGGTTCGCCCCGCCGAAGACAATAGTTGTCATTTTAAGCCAATCAAATGAGGGTATGAATTAATTTATTTAAACGATATCACGTCCTGGAGCATCATTTCTGGCCATCGACAGTTCAGTATCGTTGTTGTTTCAAATTTATATTTCAACTTATAAAATGGCCGATGAGGACGTTGCCGCTTTGGTTATAGACAATGGCTCCGGTATGTGTAAGGCCGGTTTCGCCGGAGACGATGCTCCTCGTGCAGTGTTTCCTTCCATCGTTGGCCGTCCAAGACATCAGGGTGTGATGGTTGGTATGGGTCAGAAAGACTCGTACGTCGGTGACGAAGCTCAGAGCAAGAGAGGTATTCTGACTCTCAAATATCCCATCGAACACGGCATTGTAACAAACTGGGATGACATGGAAAAGGTGAGTACTTTATGCGATGGTTAAATGATCTCAGTGGAACATCGAGTCACGATGAATTTCCTTATTTCAGATCTGGCATCACACCTTCTACAACGAGCTTCGTGTAGCTCCTGAGGAACACCCAGTTCTGCTGACTGAAGCTCCTCTCAACCCAAAAGCGAACAGAGAAAAAATGACACAGGTAAACAGCACGTTGTTGCGTGGCTTAGTCTCAATAAAAAAAAGTCTGAGTTCTAGCATTACAAATAAATGTTTCACGGACGGTCCGTTATGGAAAAGTCCAGCCCATAAATATAAATCCCGTGGTCTCCCATTCCAACGCTTCCTAAGCGAAATGTATCTCTCCAACTCTAACTATTGTGTCATGAAAAACAATTGATAAAAATGCCATTTATTTTGAAATTTAGTGGATGAAGTAAAATTCAAAAAATATATTTCATCTGTTACTTTGTTCTGTATGCAATTACATAAAACCTACAAAACGTAATTTAAATAGGCGCGGTTTAAAACCTAGCACAAATTTGCATGTGGCTATGTTAAAACTTCATTTTATATCTTTTCTTCACAACCAAATTCTTCCACCAAATTATATCGCGCTGTATTAAACCAAAACAAAACTGAAAATTTAAATTTGCCGTTAAAGATTTTCAAATTTCTTTGTTTTGAGAAAAAACAGCGTCCGGGTGACTGCTTGGTCATATCTGACTCGTCTTAATGCCTATATTTGGTAAAGAAACGCTCCAATTGGTCAGAATTGGAGAGTTTGAAACAGAACTTTTAAGTAGTCTTTTGTCAAAATGTGAATAATTAACAACAGGTGGAATTAATTGAAAATATTCCATGGTTCTTTTTATGTTTAACCTAGCTTCACAATTTTTATTTTATTTTCTCGGATTGGATTTTTTGGGGGGAATTTTCGTTCCACGATAGCTACCACAACATTCGCCAAGTAATCGATCCTCGTCAAGCATCATTTTCAGATTGCGCTTCGAAGGCCGGGTCCCTGTTAATTGTATGCTGACTGAATGACCACGGGAAAATATACTAAAAACCAGCTCGCAAAATACAACTTACAACATGAAATCAGATTTAAATACCAATCAGCCTTTCAGCGCTGTGACCGTTCATATTGCAATCTAAAATTGGTCTGCTCCCGTGAAACGGAAACTGCTCGATTTTTCGATGGCAAACCGGGTTTAGACTACCGACCGATCACATGGTACCTGACGGATTTGTTGACAGGTTGAAAACTTTGACCGCACATTTTGTTCACACTGAACCGGCCAGCATTTTTGCTTTGTTTACGTGGGAACAGACGAACCTGGCTGAACTTTACCTTTTTCTAATCAATGGCTTTTCCATCTGCCAATGCGCAGAGCGCGACCACGAATTTTCCTTCCTCTTTCTAAACTTAAGTGCAGTCCCCAAAAAATCAACTTCAGGAAAATCCGCTTACATTTAACAATTTCATCGAATTGAAATAAACGCGCCTTAGTCTGAAAATACGCGAACTCAGTTTAAAAGTGACGTTTTCGCTGCTGTCGCCGTCGTCGACGCTAAAGCTCCCTAAAATTCTTGATGAGGCTTTTTACAAAGTGTTTGTTGACAATAGCATTACGTCAGGCGTACGAATAGCTCAGTTACCTTTTCCATTAAATTCTTCACTATTTAGCAATAATAAACTATTACCTAGCAAAAAGATTTTTTGATAAAGCCTCAGTGTTTTGCAAAAAAGAAAACACACCTTTCTAGCGTACTAAACTCCAAAATATTACATAGTCATTTAATTTACTTCTAACGAGGTGATTTTCTTTCTCAAAAGATTATGTTCGAAACCTTCAATACACCAGCTATGTACGTCGCCATCCAAGCTGTGCTGTCGCTTTACGCTTCTGGTCGAACAACAGGAATTGTCATGGACAGCGGTGATGGTGTGAGTCACACGGTTCCCATCTACGAGGGATACGCTCTTCCCCATGCTATCCTTCGTCTCGACTTGGCCGGCAGAGACTTGACCGACTACCTCATGAAGATTCTGACCGAGCGTGGCTACTCCTTCACCACCACTGCCGAGCGCGAGATCGTGCGTGACATCAAAGAAAAACTGTGCTATGTTGCTCTTGACTTTGAGCAAGAAATGGCTACCGCTGCATCCAGTTCCAGCTTGGAAAAGAGCTATGAGCTTCCTGATGGACAGGTCATCACCATCGGTAACGAAAGATTCCGTGCACCAGAGGCCATGTTCCAGCCGTCCTTCCTTGGAATGGAATCTGCAGGCATCCACGAGACCACATACAACTCGATCATGAAGTGCGATGTGGACATCCGTAAGGATCTGTACGCTAACACAGTTTTGTCTGGTGGCTCCACAATGTATCCAGGAATCGCTGACAGAATGCAAAAGGAAATAACTGCTCTGGCCCCACCCACAATGAAGATCAAGATCATTGCTCCTCCTGAGCGTAAATACTCTGTATGGATTGGAGGATCGATCTTGGCTTCGCTGTCCACCTTCCAACAGATGTGGATCTCTAAACAGGAATATGATGAATCTGGTCCATCAATTGTTCACCGTAAATGCTTTTAATCATCAAATTAAACTTTGGCTGTTAGTGTTAAGCTTTATTCTATTTTTGTAGATGTGGTGCTGTTCACAATAAAAACTTTGTTAACATAAAATGTATGCTTGAGGATGATTTATAATCGCAGATAATAGATAGAGAGTACTTTAAACTGACTCAAACTCGAGCGCAGTTGACTTATTGAGTGCATATCTTTCAGTCACCACTGACTACTTTTCGTGCCGAGGAAGATTCTTAGCAAATGTAAATTTACTTTAAATAAACGTTGAAGGACTTTTATCGAAAACCTACAACAGGCTACTTCCTTCAGTGTGGTTCTGAGGGCGTTACTTCTTTTCTAGAACGCTTAAGCAACCTCATTCCCTGGCTTCCGCCTTGGAGACTTGAGCAAAGGAGGAGGGGCGTAATAGACTCTTTAAAAGCGGCGACCATGTGATGGCCCGTAGAACCAAAAACCTTAAGTTTGTTTTTAAAACAGTCTTCATACGTACATAACACTGGATTTGCAAAATGTATGGTGACTGTGCATAGTGAAGTAGCCGTGTGATGAAGGTCTATAAGCTTGAAAATTAGCTGTATAGCCTTACGGTAGATTTCCACTGTCGCGTAATTTTTACGCGCGTAAATAAAATAGGGACAATGTATGGAAAGGTCACGCGTAACCGTAAAAGTTGAACCTCGCCCATCTTTTACGTTCACGCGCGGCTTTCACACATTACCTCTTTTTGATTTACGCACGTAATTTTGGCGCGAAATTTCAGAGTTAATTTGAAATTTCACATGTGAAATTACAAAATTGCCATGGCAACCTTCCGTACGTCTCAGTGTCAAGATGGCGACGAAGTTTTAAAATGCCGCGAATGAAGATACCAAGGCACAAAAAGACAGAAAACCTGAACACACGAAAGAACAAGAGGTAAAAGAGGTATTTTGTCTAAAAATTGTGAAAATTCTGAACTTGAGCCAAATTTAAGGTCTAAACCTTGAGAGAGTGGAGGCTCGATCGATACGATCCAGGATAAACATGTCAAAATTCACGATTGCTAACGTAATTCGTCATCAATGATATTAATAAGGAATCAATTGATTACACATACTAAATTTTACGCGCGTTCGCACGGAAAAATTACGCGACACTGGAAATCAACCCTAAGACGGAAAAAAGCAATATTTGCCGGTCACATTTTGCTATGCCTGGTTTCCCCGCGAAATAACGTCTGAAGAACCGGGCTGCTGAAAGTCCATCTTGTAGTGCTTCTGATTAGTTGAAGCATATTTGCGGCATGGCACAACCAATCAGAAACTCCACCCAGATCTGGGTACATAAGTGACACGTCATCAGTATGGAATTTCTGCGCTTGTTCCTTAGAGGTCATTTCGCGAAGCAACCAGTCGCCTCCCTATTCACTCAGTTAGGTGACGTTTCGGCACAGTTTGAAGTTTGATAAATTTTGTGACACTGAGCCTTTAATCATGCAGGTGTACACAGGAGCGAGCAACTTCCATGTACATGTACTCATGTAACGGCGTTTTCTCCAACCAGCCTCACAAACCAGTCAACAAAATATACAGACCCAATATTTATTTTTGAAGTTTTTTTTTTTTTTCATCTCTTATACCTCACAAAGCAAGCGGAGCTTCCACTTTCGTGGGAAAAAGTGTTCTAAAATGAATCTAAAGATATACCCGTCCGTAAAAATGCCGTGACAGGCCTAGTATGGCGTTATATTCTATCACATGACCAGGAGGCGGAGATCCCATAAGATAGCACGGCGCTTGCGCAATCCATTGGATGATTAAAGCGACGAAGGCATCTTTTTCTACCGGAGCTGTTTTCTTTTCGTATTCAATGTCAATTCTGTTCCGTCGTTTTAATCCAAACGAGTAATTCGTAAGATGTTCGGAAATCGTTAGATCATCGATTGATGTCTTCCATAGTCTTCGGACTACTTCGTAAAACCTTCGGAAGTCGAATTTTTTGCTAAGGTTGTCAACTGGCAACTTTTTTTTTCCATTTATAGATAAACCTGGCCTGTCCGCGGAACTATTGTCAAGCGCGATGAACTGCTGCTCCGCTACTTACGTTGTCTCTACAGCAGTAGAAGTGATAATAATTAATAACGAGAAAGGAAAAATTTTGACCTTAAAAGGAAAAATGCATTTCTGCTGTTAAAAAATCACTTGTAAACACATTTTAGGTACCGTATATGAACGTCATTAACGAAACAATACTTTGTTGATCTTTAAAGTAGTCTGCATAAGAGACGATAACTATAAAAAAGAGTGGGGGGTTTCAAGTCTTTAAAATAACAATCTAAAATAAAAAATAACCCAAAACATAAGAAGAGGGTAGAAAGTTTCTTTAAAATAACACGACTGTCAGAAACAAGCGACACCTCGACTCGTTCAAAACGTACACCAGTGCTCAGAATGAGCATTTAAATACAAGCAGGTGACTTTTGAAATAAAAAGTCATAAATTAAGCTGGGTCACAATTGAAGGGGAAGTGTTTGAAACGATTCTTCACCAAACACACAACAAAGACCTGCTCGATCACAATTATGATAGCTGTTACTTACTTTACCGCCTATTGGGCTGAAAAAATCAGTTCAAAATATGTCCATATTTGGTCAGGAGATTGGCCCTATTCTTAATAAAAGCTGTGTACTAATACTCAAAACGAAGTACAAGCTAGAAAAATATATTAAACGCGAACAATCACAAATTGTTCGCTTCACCTGTAAACATTGGGCAAACACGTTACTTTGGTTTGGTCATTTCTATAAACAAACTTAAGCGAGTAACGCGCAAAAATAACGTCTATTGTGAGCCAATCAGTTGAGAGCACGGATTTCGGCCGATTATTTAAACCGTGCCACAGCGAGGGCATTTATACATTACGCTTTACCCATCGTGATAAATTCTAGCTAATCTCGCGCAAAACTTCCAATTTAAAATGGCCGATGAGGACGTTGCCGCTTTGGTTATAGACAATGGCTCCGGTATGTGCAAGGCCGGTTTCGCCGGAGACGATGCTCCTCGTGCAGTGTTTCCCTCCATCGTTGGCCGTCCAAGGCATCAGGGTGTGATGGTTGGTATGGGTCAGAAAGACTCGTACGTCGGCGACGAAGCTCAGAGCAAGAGAGGTATTCTGACTCTCAAATATCCCATCGAACACGGCATTGTAACAAACTGGGATGACATGGAAAAAGTAAGTTAATCTCTTGGTGCAAACACTGAATAAGAATTTTTTTAAAACCTAAGATTTCCTTGGATTTCAGATCTGGCATCACACCTTCTACAACGAGCTGCGTGTAGCTCCCGAGGAACACCCAGTTCTACTGACAGAAGCTCCTCTCAACCCAAAAGCAAACAGAGAAAAAATGACACAGGTATATATAAATGTTACGTTAAACGTATCTGCCGTGTCCAATTATGAGCTCTTATCAGTTAAGGGCTGTTTTATAATGATTCTAACTGAAGTCTTCTGTCATACTTAAAAAAAAAACTAGGCAAGTAAAAAACTAATATTGCCTTTATAAATACACTATACGTGTATGCTAAAAAAGTAGTCCCTCTTCAGGAAACGGAAATCGGTATTCTGCGGCCGACAAGTAGATCGAAATTGTTTTATACGCGTAGTAAGTAGAAAAGAGACACATACATGGGGTGAACATTAGTAGCAACGCGAAGATTTGAGATACATGATGCTTCTCTCCAATAAATAAACAACGCGCGACCGCGTGGTTGAATTCACTCAGAAAGGTAGCATATTGTTTAATTCTAAAGAAAGTATACAATGTCTTGTTTTCGTTTTGGAAGATGATGTTAACATGCTAATGAATGTTTTATTTTAAAACTAAATGCAACGAAAAAGACCTTGTTTCCACATATGGTCATGTCAAGTAATGATTGGTCAGATAAACAAAGCAAACCGTAAGCAGTCCGCTTGTAGCCCGCGGCGAAGTTACGATGTAGAATTCGGTGCAAAATACACTGAACAGAAAAACCGATGTTAAAAACTTGAGGAAATTTATGCCTAATTTTGCCAACTTCGGCATGGTTACAAGATGTCTATGAAAATGCTTAGTGTTAAATTTAGTTTACAATTTTCTGTCTTCTTCTATCCATTGCAATGTACATTTTTTCTCAAACTTGGCAAATCAAACCGATCGTACAAAAAGTTGAAAGACTTATGTGCAATTTTGCAGAAATAGTGACTATTGATTAGACTTGGGATAAACGAGCATGATGCCCGTTGTCACTAACATCGCACATTATGCAGACTAGAGTCTTAAGTTTAAAAGAGACGGCTCGACACAAGAAAAGAAACGTTGGGCCATTTCACACTCAATAATTTATGTCATCAGAATAAAGCCTGTTTAACTTATTATGTTTTAGAATACGATCGGCGACCGATCTGCGTCATATCGCAGTCATATGCTATGGATCGGGTCCAACAAAAGAGGCATGCATGCGATCGCCCATACATCCCCCTAACTTAAATGTGGGACTCCGTCCTTGGGCTTGTGATCATATCGCAAAATGCCCCAGACGGTTACAGATTTAATATATTGAAACCAAGCTTTTTTTTATTCTTAAACAGATCATGTTCGAGACCTTTAATACACCAGCTATGTACGTCGCCATTCAGGCTGTGCTGTCTCTGTAGGCTTCTGGTCGAACAACTGGAATCGTTATGGACAGCGGTGATGGTGTAACGCACACAGTTCCCATTTACGAGGGTTACGCTCTTCCCCATGCTATCATTCGTCTCGACTTGGCCGGCAGGGACTTGACCGACTACCTGATGAAGATTCTGACCGAACGTGGCTACTCCTTCACTACCACTGCCGAGCGTGAGATAGTGCGTGACATCAAAGAAAAGCTGTGCTATGTTGCCTTGGACTTCGAACAAGAAATGCAAACTGCCGCAACAAGTTCCAGTTTGGAGAAGAGCTACGAGCTTCCTGATGGACAGGTCATCACCATTGGAAACGAGAGATTCAGATGTCCTGAAGCCATGTTCCAGCCTTCCTTCCTTGGAATGGAATCTGCAGGCATCCACGAGACAACGTACAACTCGATCATGAAGTGTGATGTGGACATCCGTAAGGATCTGTACGCTAACACAGTTTTGTCCGGTGGCTCCACCATGTTCCCTGGAATCGCTGACAGAATGCAGAAGGAAATAACTGCTCTGGCCCCACCCACAATGAAGATCAAGATCATTGCTCCTCCTGAGCGTAAATACTCTGTATGGATTGGAGGATCGATCTTGGCTTCGCTGTCCACCTTCCAACAGATGTGGATCTCCAAACAAGAATATGATGAATCTGGTCCATCAATTGTTCATCGTAAATGCTTCTAAAATGAACCCGTTTATTAACGTAACGTGGACAATTTTTTTATTATTTATAACGAAAAGAACTAACTTTGTATTGAATCGCATGGCAAAGACTTGAATGTCAATTTCGGGCATCGATTTTCTTGCGACGTTTAACTTTCATACTTTATATTTATAGATGTTCATAATAAAGTTGAACACATTGTAACTGTCAAAAGAAGCCAAAATTCCTAAATGTCTTGCGCCTTTCACCTTCGATTTTCCTGTTGATAGTCTTTTTACCAAGCCTTCAACTTTGCGGCAGTGAAATGAAGTCAACAGGGCCCACTAACACAGAAATTAAAAGAAATATTCTCTAAAAAATGGGTTAAAAAAATACTAAAGTCGGACTTTTTTTTATCACGACTTGTTTTTGACTAGCTATCGAACTATCAGTGACAGACTCCTTTGTTTGAACCTGACCTGTGATTGGCCGATTAATTTTGCGGAGCCCCGGGTACACTGTAAGGCCCTGGAGCCCGTTTCTCGAAAGTCCCGATAATTAACGGGCCCGGTAAGCTGTCTCCGTTTACATTAAAGATCGAGGTTTCAATAATTTTGCATCTAACATGATAAAACTGTCAGTTAATGAAACAAAATGGAGTTGTTTGCTAGCCAGGACCCGCGCTGTTATTCTTTATATTTCGATTTGAATATTTGATTTCGGGCCCGTAAAGTTACCGGGACTTTCGAGAAACGGGCCCCAGTCCACGTATCAGGTATCACGTATCAGGGTATTTTTGAATCCGCAACTTTTCCTTTCCGTATTCGAATTCGCCCGTCCATCCAACAAGTATCCGGATTCACTCCAGTACCCAGGACTCCTCTGGGAATATTGGCAAAAGAGCATGCGTCAAGGTTGCCATATTCACGGTAAAGAACTGGGCTCTATCTTGTTACGTCACCGGATAAAAAAAATATCCGGATTTGGAGTCTACACGATTCCGGATTCCTAGCGTATTCAAAAATTTCCACTCTGGAGAGCAGATTCAAAAAGTTGCGGATTTCCCTTAAAAAAAAGCTCCAAAATTACAATTTGTTGGCTATCAAACTTGAAAATCTGAGAAGCTTCCAAATGATTTAGAGGGATCAACTTGACAGACAGAGTTTTTAAAAAAACTACTGTGTAGGGAGCAGATACGAAGCAATTCTTTGAGTGAACTGGCGGCACAGGAAAGAAATTTCACTTACAAACACTGACACGATTACATAGCACAAATAACCGCATTTATTATACAAAAATAGACTTTCAGGTATTTACAACGAAATAATTTACGCTAATAATTTTGGGAACAATATCAAACAAATTCAACACAACGTGCCAACCGTTTTCCTCTCTCTTTTTCCCTCCAGACGAGTACATCTAACTCTTCGGCCTTCTGTAAGAGGGTCTAACATGAGCTTATTCTACTATTAAAGTAGTTTTGCCCGGACTTCTGAAAAAAAAAAGGCAGAAAAACACAAACTGTGAATGAGCGTCAACAAACTCAACCTTTTTATTTTACCCTTCAGAGCATGCTGTCAGTTTGTTGTCAGTCAAACGAATAATTATCACACCGGCCAATCACAACTAACGCAGCAGGTAATGATTGCCAAGACCGAGCAGAATTCGAGCAGAATTGAGGTAATTAATAAGGGAATTTGAAAATAAAAAGCGATTTTTACGAGCACTGCCGGCAGGCAGAATAAGCCATTTTACGAGCCAAATTTATCCAAGCCTAGTTTCTTGATACTTTCCGTGCCAAAAAACCTATGAGTACAATTAACCATCACACTTCATAGATTTTGATAGCCTAAGAAACTAAAAAACTAAGTAACTTCATAAAACAAAACAACTCGGGCTGGTATTACGACCTTACATGTCTACCACTACAGACAAAAGGTTTCAGCGTTAGTAACGAAACATAGGATTCTACTCGTCTTTGCAAAAAATGAAAAGTTGTGATTGCTTGCTCTCTTTGAAGTTTCAGTTTGTAGTTCCACGAGGATGCGCAGTTTTGGATGTACCCGTTATTTTGAAGTCAATTTTAAGGAAAAGTACTAACCTTAGAAGATACAAAAGAGTCTTTTTTGCTTCCCTGTAAACGGATCAAAATAATAAAGATAATGCATTTCTAAATTTTGACTCAAAATTTTACGACAAGATATTTCAACATTAAAAGTTAAGCTACGGTAAAACGGACACTGCACAAAATCGTGCAACTTGTTCTGCAACATTGCTGCAGAGCGATGTTGCGCTGATTAGGGGCTGACCATTTGACTTTTGAGGGGGTGGGGGGTATGGGTGAGTTCAGAAAAAAAAAAAAACATCCTGCGGACTGACTTCGAGGGAAATTCCTACACTGAAAAAAATACCTTTCATGGCTTGTAATCTTGGAAAAAAAAGTCTTACACATTTGTATGTCGGGGAAAAAAATCTATCACCAGAGGTTTTGGGAAAAAAATTCTTACCCAAACCAAATCACCTATCCCCCGCCCCACTAAAAGTCAAATGGTCGGCCCATTACCACTCATGTTCAAACCTGTCTTGCAACAAATAAAGGTTGAAGAGGCAACTTGCGTGAAAACCGACTTCTTATTAAAAAGCGGAAGTCAACTTTTCGCAACTTGCAACAACCTGATTTGTTGCAACAAAAGTTTGAATGCGGGTGGTAAAACGCGCAACATCGCCATTCAACTCATTTTGCAGCAATGTTGCAAGACAAGTTGCACGTTTTTGTTACCCGTTTTACAGTACCCTTAAGGTAGCAACACTGAAAGTTTCAGCTTCAATAGATATCGAATTACATACCAACTATTTAAGAAGAAAATGAACGATGACCTACACCTCGCAGTTATAACATTTAGCAGTTTTCAAAGAGGCAGAGAACTTAAAAAACAAACTCTTGCTAGACCAAATCTGACCTACAAGATAACCGCAAAGAAGTTTGTTGCGATTAAAATTAAGGACAGAAAATGTGTTTTAGCATGAATGTCGAGAAACACCGAATCGGGGTCTTACAATAAACTTTGCCGAGCGCAGTGATTACCAGAAATCGTCGTTTTTGTTTTGACCTTTACTTTGCGACGATGTTCGACGCGTGTGAAATAACATTTGCGGGTGCAGCAATAATATTGGTACACCGCACTCACTGGGTTTGGTATTGTTATATATCGAGGATTCAGGTGATAGAATGGATGCGAGATAATTGCTTACGCTGCTAGTATGCCCTCGCCCTTTTCTCGCTCTCTTAAACTTCGAAGAATTCGTGGGTCGTTCCATTCCATGTTGCCAAAGGCTCTAACAACCTGGAAAATAAATGAGAGAACCCTTCTACACCACCTTCATATCGCAGTTAGTGATCACAGTGCTGGTAAACATGTGTATCATGGAACAAATCCTTAAAAACTAATCTTCAGTTTACACAGTGCAAAGCCACTGTTATTTTTGACTTGGTGGATAAAACCCGCCAAACGTGTGTCAAGTCAAGTTCACTGAATAAAGTTGCTGCGTTAGCACAAAACAGGATAAAGGGCCTGAGCAGTATTTCAAGGTGATTTTTGATTTTAAAGACCACGAATCTCAAGAGCAAATTTTGCGAGACGAAATTCAACCTGCTTTGTGTCCGTATTCAAATAATGGTAATTTTAGGGAATTTACAAAATAATCCATATAACTTTACCTGAATTCTGACATAAACACTGGAGTCCAGTTCTAATATGTCTAGCAGCGCTTTCATTTCCTTTACCCCTTTCAACCCGAGAGTGGCCTGGAAACAACAAAGCATTGGCCAGTCAAGGCGGGGGAAATAATGACTATAATAATATCCGAGTGTAAATAAACGTCTAGAAAGTCAAAAGTTTTTGCCAGGAGAAATGTTATACTTTTCTGGCTATCAATATTTGATTCTAATTCTCTTCGGCTTTTTCTTTGTTAAGGTTCACGCTTAATTCTCGAGCAGTCGAAGCTGAACTAAGCTACAACGAATTGAAAAGGACCGTCTTTTGGGGGATCTTAAGACAACAGAGAACAATAGTGTGTTGGCGCTAATCCGTCCTCAGAGACCCAGAAGGAGTCCGTCGGGAAGGGAGAAACGGCGCGAGGAAAGTTTCCAAGCACGAAGCTCTTTCGATCGTGCTTGGAAACGTTCGTCGAGGGGTTTCTTCCCGACCCGACTGACTACCCCTGAGTTACTGTAGAACGTCGCTTATAACGGATAAACTTAACCATAAACTTAGCCAGCTGCCCTAAACCTGCCCAGGGCCGGTTTTTTCGAAGCTAGGTCAAGATAACCCAGCGTTAGTGCCAAACTTGATTTCAGATATGAACGCTCAAAATAGCAAATTCAGTTTAATTCTTTTTGTCTACAATTTGACGATTGGATACTGTTAAAAGAACATTACCCGAGAAAGTGATTTTGAACAAAAGAAAAAAAGGATTAAAATTTATCCTCGGGTTACCGCTAATCGGCCTTCGAATAACTGGGGCCAGGTAGTACAGAGTTGACATAAAGACTACGAGTAACCTTTAATACGTGTACTGTTTAACATACCAATGAAATCACTGCACGAGCTCGCACTTCTTCAGCTGGGTCTTCTAGACGTCTATTAAAGAGAGAACATTATGATACGCTTTTTAAAGTGCTAAGTTTTTCTTTGCCTGATGCCAAACCATATCAGAACGGACGAACAAACTATGAACCAATCACGACAGGAAGCTTGGACTGCTGTATCAAAGCGCGGGAAACGCGTACGTGCAACTGGTTAATACTAAGTACTGGTTTATTGACTCCTGATTGGCTTAAATTGACTAATGGAAATTGCCTGATTTAAAATGCACTAGATAAGCCAATATCTCTCAGATAAATACATTAAACGACAGCTTTTAGTAAGCCGCATTACGGTGTATTAAAAACACAAGGCAACAACAATCGCCAAATGTTAAACAGTATTACCAAGCAGCATTTCAAGAGGCTGTATCACGCGACGGCTTTCGGGCTTTCTACTTCATTTTGTCAATAATACTAATTACGTCTCTCTATTCGCTAAGGCACTTGAGAAATTACTTCTGAATAACAATATTAGAGCTTCGTGTCGAACAATATGTCCCTCAAGCAAAATATCAAACGTTACAAACAAGTAAGTCAAGTTTTCAAAAACCACAATAGCGAATCCGTTTCCATCTTCTTCAGATTTGTTAATCAGTGCCTCCTTTTCTGTTTGCTGAGTTATTTCTAACTTCTTTCCATGTACTGAGCAGTTATTTTTTAGTTTCACCCAATCTGGTGGCAGTTCTCACTGTTTGAATTTTGATAAATTTCGTGACACGGCTCTGGCTTGTACGTCATGGTTTATTATATAACATGTACGTGATGAGCAGTTGAGTACTAGAATTGATTTCGCTCTAAAAAGAGCGTCACTTCTAAACTGATGTAGTGCGCTTTGGTGTAAAATCAATAGAGTTGCAGCGGGCAGATATGGGACACAAACGGGCAGCTTCATGAATGACAAAAACTTTTGCACATACCGGAGAACCAACTGAATTGCTCTTTGTCGTAAATCCAGTGACGACAGAGCTTCAGAAACTTTTATCCTTAATTCCTGCAAAAAAAAATAACAGTAAATAAAGCGTAAAATGAGCGGACGCCAAATTAAGCTGATACCCCTTGTTATACAGACACCAAACTCAGAAAAATCCGAAGTTCCTTTAATGAAGCCAGTCAATATGATTAGCAAATTTCAATACCAAATCGCATACCGCAGAAATTATACGCAGCCTCTCAATTATTTTCATACCTTATTCGCGTGATCCCACAGCAATCTTTCTAGTGTGTCAAACACTTCATCGGGACTTTTAACCTTAAACACATCTCTGGCTCCTGTAATAAACACGCAAAAGACAGATTCACGACTGATTCATACAAGCGACGCAAACGTGTTAGAGTAGACAAAAAAAACGCGGGTGAACTACCACAACGCCAACGCAAACATCGACCAAAGGATTGGAGTATTTTGCACCAGGACGACGCAAACGCAAGGTGAAAAATTTTTGCCCACCATTTTTAGATGCAGGCTGTTAAAATGCGCGTGCGAATCTCACCGTGCTACTACACTGGACGGGTGAACATCTCTTGTGCATGTACAGCTGCTTGCATTTGTCATTTGTTTATCACACACCATTCATATCATGGGCTGTGGGTGGGTTACAGCGAGCTCATAAATGTACTGATAGCGGCTGCCACTGGCGCCCTTGTATGCTGACGTACGAGCTCACTGTTAACATGATTTTTAATAACATATATAATTTAAAGAGGACGCGTCCTGTTGTTCTTTAATCCACGACATTACATTACGTAGCTCGTGTGAATGAGACCTTCCCAAAGATAACATAACGTCAAATAAGAACGGAAAAGCACGCGAAAAGTTTGAAAAAAAAACACAATCCCTTTGCTCATTTCAATGCAGATATGGTCAAGTCGGTTTTTACATATGTGTACACCGTCATAACTGCTGCCAAGAATTGTACGTGAGAAATAGCTGAGGTAAATTTTGTTTTGTTTTGATTTTTGTCTGTTCGCTTGTGCCTTTTGTATTATTTTGGCTTTTTATATCAAGATAACCGTTAAGCCGTACTTGCACATACCCATAAATATCAGTAAGTCTGCTGCTTCCATTCTTAGCTGTTCAACAGACAAAAAGGGAAAAGAGTGTTAGAAAAAGCGTTTAAACGATCCTTTTCAAATCAAAGCTGATCAGTGGATCTACAGCTTGCCTTACTCGCCCGCCACTAACAAGTATATCCAAGAGACTATAAAGGGGACAGAGAGGGTATCCCCCATATACACCCTATTCCATAGGTAATTCGTCTCGAGTTATTTTTTACACCACAGATCTCAAGGGGGATTAGACAACAGCCAATCACAGAGCGCAAATGTGTTCCGCGTGGATGACCCACGCTGAGAGCCACGCGTCCTTCACGAAATGACGCAGAACAAAATGGGGGAAGACGCGGAGAGCGATTGTGCTATTCCTTTTGTCGACGAAAACGACTACAGCGAGATTTCTGCGAAAGCTGTGTCAGCGAAACCGAAATTAAAAAAGAATCGCCCTTCCTCTCTTGTATAGAGCTAACAGTAGAGCAGGGAAATCCTTAACACACTGAATATTCTCTCAGGATCATTTATAATTTACAGTTTAAAGAGAGCAATTTCTGGTCTTATGTTTATTTTTTTCAGTCTTTATAGCGATTATTCCTACCCACTTACTTTGTCAATTGTAGGCGAACCCTCCTAAAGCTGAATTTCAAGGGACCATATTCAAGCTCAGAAAGAGAAATAAAATTTCGTCGTTGATTATTTACGTCCTCCAGAAAACGCGAAATTAGGCATTTTCACGTCGTAGTCGTGCAAAAAGGGGAAAGAAATGAACAAAAAAGTGTGTTGCACGTGCGAAGTTGTTGCTTTGCTAATTAAAGTGCCCCTAACCCTTCAATTTGTTTTCTTCTGGTAGATTTCCATATTTGTCAAGAACTCATTTTCGAAAAAATTTTTTAAAAATATTGAATCCTTTTTTTTTACGAGCGCCAAAAGTTACTGAAATTTTTAAATTTTTGCGCGCTTTAAGCCCCGCTGGACAAATTTTTGTCTCGTGGGCTCATTAGGAACGAGCCAATGAGAAGCGTCCGATATTTGACACTTTCTTAGCTATTGTTTTTTTTTGACGTTCTAGTTGTCGTCCGCGTCGTTGGATCTTAAACTCCCTAAATTGTACAAACGACCGGTTTCAATAGACCGGCGAAATTTCTCATTTTATTAAAGCACTGAGGTTACGACAACTTCGAGTTAAACTGATTTCACGGGTTGTCAAAGAGTCCAGCGATTCCTTTTTCCCCGGTGAGCGCCGACTCATTTCGTTTCAATATTCAGGAATGCTCTCGATCTTTTTACGCTTTCATTGCCTCTCGCCCGACATGTTTTGCACGGCGTTTGGTCGTGCGAAACCTCCACGAAACATCCACGCCTCGTGCGAGGTAACTTTATCCCGATTCTAAAAATAACTCGAGACGAATTACCTATGGAATAGGGTGTATATGGGGGATGCCCTCTCTGTCCCCTTTATAGTCTCTTGGTATATCTTGTTAACCTTTACAAGAGTAGAAAAATGAGAAACACTTTCCAGAGCAAATAGGTAGCCAAAATAGAAGTCTTACCTTCCAGTTGTAAGCAGAACTCAGTTGTTCTAGTAAAGCATCTATAACAAGTCTGTCCTTGCAGTTCATTTGTTTGATCAAAACGTAAAGTGCCTGGAGATGAATCAAATGATCATTGAATCAACCAGTCAGTCAGTCAGTGTGACAAGTCGACAAGGGGAATGTTCTATCTCGCATCTGCTCGGGTCCGAAATAACGTACAGATTAGTCTTCCGTTAGTTATGGTCTTTGAAAGAAGCACTCTTTTATTCATCTCTCAAGAAGCTCACTTTGGTTAATTTGATTGTCTGAAGTAAGGCATCGAATTTTGGGCCAGGTCTGAAATAAGACAGGGTAGGAAAACTGGATTCCATATTTTGGTTTGAATTGGGATTAAGGCTTCAAGCAGTTTACCTTTTTCAGCGGTCCAAGTTTTCCGCAGGCAGCCCTCCCCGCCCCGGGTTTATCAGTGTCTCTTCACATAGTGATGGAATTCCTTGAATTTCTTCCTCTAAACCGTGTTTTTTTTTTAAATTCAAATTAACAACAACAGGACCCACCTCTCCTTTTTCGTGCGGAGACAGCCCAGGAAGCCTGGAAATGAGGTACGATTTCGAGACAGGTTCTACCACGCATAGTCGGCCTAAGCTCACTGCGGCGTGAAATGCCATTTCGGGAGACTGAGTTTTTATTGTAAAGATGAGCAAATTCACCAACTTCTTGAATTCAGCTGTGGTCTGAAAGAGCACATTAATATGTAAGCCAAAACAAAGTTCGTGTATCAATTTGAAAAAATAAATGAATAAAGGCAAACTGAGTTATTTCAACGATTAACGAATATAGGTCGGCTTCACTGTACAAGTCAAGCTCCTCACTCAAACAAATTTATATTTTTGCTTTCTTCTACCAATTTTTTAAAATTATTCCTTACTTTATCAACAAATGCTATATCTCTTGCTTTCGTCATCGTTGATAACAATTCCAGCACAATATCCTTGTTTCCTGGGATAAAAAAAAAGAAAGAAAGAGGATGACCAAGAATTTGAGAAAGTGAAATAAAACGAGGAAAACTTACAATACATCACCTTTTTGGATATTTATTTTATTGTATGTGTTATGCTTTTCACACGCCTTTTTGTTCATTTACACAGTCACAGTAGCTTCTGATGACATGTCGACATGACAACGCTGCTTCTAGTACATGTATTCCATGCCAAACAAAACGTTTGACAGTCTTCTCGTGGTTCTTTTTCGCCGCCAAGTTCTGGGCACAAAAATGGGGAGAACAGCGTACAGCGGCCTAGTGTGTTCGATGCTACAACAGCTACACTAAATGCATTTTACGAAAAAAAATCTATGAAACGACAGAACTATTGATGAAGGAATGTGATTGGTGCGAGGTCATGCACCAGGTGTTTTAAGTCCACTCGATACTTTTCGTCAAATATTTTTCAAACTGTTTGACAACCGGCAAAAAACATATGTATTACGTTTCCACTCAAATTTGTCATCAGGCGCATGTTTATCCGCACTTAGTATCAGTCGCATATTTTCCCGTATTTCTCGCTACTTGTTAATTTTCCTTTGAGTTGTGCCTGCAAATGGCTGCGGTACATCTTAAGGTTTAGTTACAAGACCATTTAATCATTTACCTCTTTTGATGTACTGTCTGATTACCCCTATGGCGTATGGATCCCACGTCCCTGTAGAAAAATATTCCAACATAAAATTACCACAAATATAATTCCTCTAGGCTTCTTATTTTCAGCTGCTCTTTAGATCACACGCCAAGTGTCATTCGAAGCAGTTAAGAGGTATGTGCATGAATAGATGGACTGACCTAACAAGATCATTGCTTTGCAGGCTTCGTAACAGACTTTGGGATCTCTCTGTAATTTTATCTGCAAAAAAGAACAATTAAACATGAACACACTACCAACGGAAACTTATTAAGATCAAACTCAACAGCTATAGCCTGCTTGAAGGGGTCGCTTTCATAACAACATAGGCCGAATGTAACCCTTGCCAATCGAAGCGAAGGTTAGTTTTAACCGGAACATATATCTATAGAACCCACACAAAGGATATCCGACAAGGAAAACACCTGAAATTTCTAAGCTCGAGGCCCTAATTTAATTTTGCTTAAACAGAAAAGGTGGGTACTTACCACATGACTTAGTGTATCTACCACACATTTTTCATGGCACTTCAGTTGACCAACAGTCTAGAAAAAAGATCAGCAAGTATATTTTATTACACTGATTGTACTGAAGATGTTTTTTCGCCGTTGATACAATGATATCATAAGTAGAATGCACTTGAGCACAAGACTAAAGGTAGTGGACAACAATATTACAGCTACGTAAAGGGACAACTTGCGGTTGGAGAATATATTTCAGATAAGTCGCCGAAGTTCGCTTTAAAAATGCGGTAAAAACAAAAACCGTACAAACGGACAGTATTCCAATCCCGAGGTCAAAAGTCACACTTGAACGCTAGGGCTAATTTCTTCCTCTAGCAAATGTAAAAAGCATAACGCAGAGTCGCAGACCGTCGACAGGAAAAACCACCAAAGACGCCAGGAGATCCACAGTTTGATAACACTTTCCTGTAAAATTTGTTTGTACATTTAAAAGAAAAGGAAAAAATTACGAGCAGATAAAAATTCGCTAATCTGTGCATTTCAAAAACGTAATTTAATTCTAGTACCCGGGTTTCCCACTCATACAACGTTCTCGGGTCACCTGTGACTCGAGCGGCAGACAAATCTAAGTGAAAGTATTACATAAGTCAAAGGTTATTGCTAACCTTCGCAGCTTCTGCAGCTATTGTTGAATTTGATGACAAAATTCCTCCTTCACCTAGCAGAATCTGAAAAACATTTACTTCGAGAAATAAAGAAACGCTTACAGCATTACTGCAAATTTATAAAAGCCTTCAATATCTCTGCTGCAGGACTGGTTACTAGTTACCAGTGTCTCTGGTCCGTGGCTAATGATATCTTTGAAGATACAGAGTATACAGATTCCCTTCCTGAAGAGGAAAATGACAAGAGGGAGAGAGAATCGTTCCTCTCATTTTTCTCTCGCTGTGGGAGCGATCGAAAAATGAGCGTTCACTTCTAGTTACGGACAACCTACAACAGGCGATCACTTTTTTCGCGGCTAAAGAGTGGTAGCTTAAAAGATAACGGCCTCTTTTTTTCTATTCGACACATGGTATTAACCTGACAGTACCTGGATTCTTTTCCATTTTGGGCCATCACGATCTAACAAGCTCTGTTCTCTTTCCATACTGAATCCTGTACAGAGAGCCATACCACATTTAGTAAGGAAATGATAGAGCGTATATTAGATTGGTTAGTTGAGACACAGGGAAAGGCAAACTTAACAGCAACAATACCTTTCAGAGCAGTAACTATCTTCATTACCATCCATGGCTTCCAAATTGATTCATTGGCAAGATCCCTGAAATGATTGATTGAACATGGGTTAAGATGTGGCCAAAGAAAACAACCGGCATTTGGCGACGCTACCAGTGGTTTCCCCGGGAAGTAACGTCCGAGGAACGAGAGCAGAAATTCAGTACTGATGACGTATCACTATCAATTTCTGCAGTCATTCCTCAGAAGTAGGAATTTTGTAGGTAAACCAGGGTGGCGTCAAGAAATGTCGGTTGTTTTCTCAGGCTAATAAAGTTGCTTATCACATTGAAACCTAAATTAAGCGCAGGCAACCTTGTATTAAGCAGACAAGAATGTGTGAGTAAGTCCCACATTTATTACACCTGAATCCGCTGGGGAGTTAAACACGAATAGGAAAATTACTGATCGCCTCAAACGACATCCCATATTTTCTGCAGCTTTTCAAACGACATGGCATAACCCACTAGATTTTCCAATAAGACTTTTCAGTTTCCCCACTGTAAATGGGAAGCCGAGGCACTTTTGAAGTCAATAAAAAACCCATGTACCGAACGTTGTTAACATATACTTTGTACTTCAACTTCACAACAGCGGAACGTTAAATTTTTAAATAACACTTACAGTTCTGTTGGTTGACGCTCACTTTTTGGACTGTCTTGTTTTTTCGGCAAGTATCTTGGCTGGAAAATTAAGACAAAAGGTTTCTTTTTCAAACATACAGCTGTACTCAATTAAAGTAAAAAAAAAACTAGGGCTTACGATGTTTTTAGTGGGTTTATTATTTGGGTTCAATTTTTCAAACAGCTATGGGACAATAGTTAGAAATTACTCAGTAAAATCAGTGGCCACATGCATGTCAGCATTGTCATTACAATTGACTTTACTTGAAAACAAAGGTATTTGAAGGTTCATATCTTAAACCCTCTACATTCATGCACCTGTATTTATATTCCTTTCTGCCATTCAACTGACTTGTGCTTACTGGACCATTTTATGAAGGACTGGATGCATCGAACTTTACTAATGCAGCGTTCTCAAAAAACTAGTTTTTTGCTGTTCAGGGGCACCCAACGACGGTTTCCCCCTAAATACTTTGAAAACACTTTTTAGGTTATCCAGAGTACTTTTTGATCTCTAGGAATGTACTCAAAGTGGCGCTAAAGAATTTATATCTGTTCGGTCAGCCTAGGGCAACTTGAGTCTTTTCGAAATTACGAGGGCTTCAGTATTATTTTCCCGAAAATTTTAGCTGCAATTTAAAGTTTTACGAAAGTGATAGTTTTTCTGATTCCTCTCTGCATCGCATTTTCGATTCCGAAAATTTTAGGTTTCCTTTCTCTACGAAAAATAGCCTAATCTGGGGAGTGAAACGGGAAAAATTAAACTTCAGAAAATCGTAGGAATTTATTAGATAAGCTTCGAAAATTGTATGTGAATGGAACGGTCATCTAGAAATTTTTAGCCTTCCTCGAGCTATAGAAAATTCTAGGCAATTTTTGCTTCTCCGAACAGATATTTCACGGAAAACAGTCGTTGGGTGCCCCTGGCTGTTCGCGAATAGAAAACTTTAACTTTCCATTACCAAAAGCTCCTACTCATGGGGAAGCGTTTTTGAAAATAACTATTTGTTTTAATCAGTTTACTGCAAGTAGCACAGGCTCATCGTGGGTTTCCTGAAATCTTCCTCAATAATTTTTTGTTGTAAAGGCTTAAACCAAAGGCCTGGAACCATTAGAAAAAAAAGTCAATTGGACAGCGGAATATGAAGAGTAAACGAGGCCTAAATTAACAGACGAATTGTTACGAAAGCCATCTTACAGCCCAAATATACAATGTAGGGCCTTCTAAATTCACAGAAACAGACAAATAATAATAATAATAATAAATAAGGTTAAATCCCTCTTTTATTCACCGGCAGCCGACACGAACCTGCGCTACACTTTTGGATCTGTGAAGTTTAGGGTTTGATTTTACTTTCACAATTCTTGGCATCCGGTTGCCTCTGTCAAGATCATCACACCAGGCAGATGATTGTTGAGGATAAAGCTTCTGGCGATTCTGAAATAAGTTTTTAAAAAAAGTTTCAATGGAAATGATGGGTTATGGGCTCCTGTGGAAATCGATTATACATTATTAAGCAAAGTGGAAGGAATACGACAAATAGCGAGTAAATCGATCTTTCCCCATGCCCATGTACTTCGCATTGACAAAATGGTTCAGTTCGTGGGTTCACTGCATGAAAATATGGGAAAATAGTTCTCCATAAAACGCCAAATTAGGAAGTTTTACGCCGTGGGACAGTCACGCCGTGGTGGTTCCATTTCCCAAACCACTTACTACAAGGGGAATGGGTACAAGCCTTCGGCGCTACGACTTCTGGGATCGTTTGGATGTACGAGCGTTACTTATGACTACCGCATGTCATACCAAAACTATTCCAGAAATCACTGCGCCCAAATCTTGACCCATTCTCTCAAGAGATTCGAAAGCGGGCAAAGACGGCAAAGAAACGTACAAGTTAGACTGCAAAACAGTTTTTCCTCTCAAAACCGGTTTAAGAGCCTTCTCTCCCCAGTCTCGCTCTCCGTTTTCAGCCTCGCTCCAGACCTTTTGTTTGACTATTCACGCGCACTTGAATACGCAAAAATACGGACCGTTTTGCAATCTACGTGCACGCGTGATGCACTTACAAAGTTATTGGTGAAACAGTGGTGTTTTTATTCATTGCATGCAGTGATGAAGAGAGGGGAGACATGAAATTATTAAGGCCGTGCAGTCGTTACCTGCCGTGCAGTTCTTACAGCTGAAGGTTCATGTATGGTTACAGGGTACTTCTCCATGGACATTATACTTTTCTGTCCACCAACTGGGCTGCTAATGGGAGGCAAACTAACACGGCTGGCTTGTTTTGATATCGATGGTTGTGTACCCTGCCGAAACCAAAGAAATCATATTTTAAAAAAGGCGTGTTATATCCTTAATAAGACAGCAGAGGAATAAAATCCTGAATTATTTGAGCTCTTTCTCGGGACAAAGAAACTTGTCCACGAGCTGGTGTCCGTCGCACGGGGCTCTAATAAAATAATGTGCTAGTTAAGTACCTGTTGTTTCTCTGTAACTGAACCTGGCCCCTCCACTTCCACTAAAACAAAAAAAAATATTTTGACATTTCGTTATTAATTCACCAATTGCGTTCGGCGATTATTTCACCAAAAAATCACTTGACAGCTATAAAATTATACATTACATTTTCCACCTGATAACTGGCTAATTCAATGAGATTCAAGACTAACCACTCAACTAGAAGCACAAAATGAAACATAATTTAATGACACTGAACCATTTGCTGTCTTGGAAATGACTGCAGTGTAGCATGGCTCTTTTCACCAATAAGTCCCCTTTCATAATCACATAATTTTGGGTGGTTGCATTGGTTAAAAAAGAGAGCAAGTCACAACTTTGCTTGAAAAGTAATGATCTTACCTCTTCAATGAAACTGAACCTCAAGAAAATTACCGGTAATGAAAAAGCTACTGGTTTATTTAATGTACAACAGCTCTTACACTCCAGCTTTCCCATGACTGTTTCTATTTTTTCAACTTTTGTAGCTGGATCAATCGTTGTTTGTGTTGCTTGGCCTATAGCATCATACATCTTGTGAAGTCTCACCAGTAGTTTATCCAAAGCAATTTTCTGCCAAACAAACATGTATTAATGATCATTTCATGCATCATAAATTTTACCATTGTCATACTTATCTGTAAAGGAGGCAAATGAAAGTAATGTATCAGAAGTGATAAGCCTGCGAAACAGTCGACATTTCATGATACCACCCACTAGTTCCCTTGCGAAATGACGTCTGGACAATTTCATATTGATGATGCATAACTACTAAGATCTGGTACATGTAGGTCTTCTGATTGGATGAAGCAAATTTTTGACCAATCCGAAGTACTACCCAGATGTGAGTTAGCCTACAAGCGAGCTCTCCGGCGTGCTCTAGCGACGGGGCGGGAAAAGGAGGGAGGGCTTGCAACTACGTCTCTGGAATTTCAATATCTGCATCGAAAAAGTCAATGCGAAATGCTGATTAGCGGAGGTTACATTAGTAATGGCATCATTACCCTTGGCAGGTCTTTTTCAATGTTTGTTTACATTCGTGCTCGTTTCCGCTTTGTGCTGATTGGCGGAAATCTGACAGCTTAGAAGACGGGGAGCCACAGGGGAATTGGAGGTGGACTTTAAATTACAGAGACATAGTTACAAGCTCTCCTTTCTTTTCCCGCCCCGCTGTCAGAACGCCCCAGAGAGCTTGCTCGCAGACTAGATGTGGGTAGTGATGCATTACCACTATGGAATTTCTGGGCTTGTTCCTCAGACATCACTTTGTGCAGAAACCAGTCTGGGAGAAACCAATAGTGGTGTCACGAAATGCCATACTGGCTGTTTCCCACCCTCGTGATAAAAAACAACTAATAGCCTATGTAACATTATTAGTTTCATTTATAGTGTCTATTTGCTGCAGGCTGCAAATGAGAGGTGCTTTGAAACTCAGATGATTTACAATTTTCTTAAAAATACTCACATGTACATCAATGACACTATTAACTTTCATTGGCTTCTCTTTCCATGGTAAATCTGGGTCAAAATGTGTTTTTTCTAAAGAGGAAAAAATTTCCTTTTGAAAAATATTATTCACCAGATACAGGAAGATCTCTGTAAAATACCCAACCATCTTGCTTGAAATTAAATTGATATCTAGTGTATATAACAATCCACACAATGATCTACTAATATCTGTATAATAATATCTTTATAGTTTTTGCAGCAAACAAAGGCAACTTGTCATCAGACATAATGAATGACATGATTTTTATATCTTATGTATGCAATCATGATCTTATACTAGCTAATAGCAACACATAAAGATTATAGAGAATCACTGTAAGCACAAACTCTATTTCAAACAGTCATGATGATAAACTATACGACAACAAGAGTGTTTTTGTGGTTGCAAAACATTGGCTAGTTAATAAGGACAGCTGTAGTGGGAGCTCTCAGCAAACAGTCAATCTGATTTGATCTTAAAAGTTTACCGCACAAATCAAACCTGGGAAGGTTATTCTTTTAATGCAAAAAAGGTGTACTTGCAACAGTTGAATACCAACCTTTGGATAAGAAGCTTTCAGGGATACCGAGTCCAAGGGCATGCCATGAACGTGGATCAAGGCTTTGCATATAATCCGACCACTCAAACTTGTGATGATCTGAACCCCAGTATGCTTCAACCTTATCCTCATCATCAGTATCAACGAAAACATCATCTTCCTCCTCTACTGCGTTCATTTTTGAAGCTGCAGTCACATCTTCAAAGTGCTCTGGGCCTGGAAGGAATCACAAGGACATGTTTCCTTTACAAAATCATTTTAAATGGCTTTGTTAATATTCTCTGGTTTAAAAAATTATATCTGTTAAAAAACTTCTTAAGTTTCGCTAATCCTGATTCCACCCTCAAGTCCACCTCACAAAGACAGCGAGAGTTCATGATCACTTTTTTGGGAGATCAGGGACAGCTGAGAGTTATGCTTGACTTCTGTGGTTTTCTCAAGTCTACAACATCCCACAGAAGGAGCACAGGCAAAATCATTCCTAAACAGGGGCTAGTAATAGAGCCCCAGCAGGTAGAATGGGATCATGACTTGGCAAGTACTTAACATGCGATCAAGCTCTCCATTTGGGGTGGAGGGGGTTATTGCAAGACGTAATCAGCAGGCTATAAGCTTGAACTCCTTTCCTTCATCCCAAATGACAAAAACACTAAATCACATGATCTCAGTTGCTGCATACTTTGATCACCACTCAAAACTATGGGGACAGCGTGGCCAAGTGGTTAGAACACTGGACTTGTAATTCGGAGGCCCTGAGTTAAAGTCCTATCCTGACCACCAGCTGGATTTGTACACAGTAGTCTCGAGTTCAAGTCCTTGACCACACTTGTAAAAATAGCCAGCTGGTTCACCTCATACCAGTTGGGATGTTTAACCATGTTATGTTCAATTATTTGAATTATTTGTTTCATTATCCCTGAAAAGCCCCATAAGGGGAGAGGATAATAAAGTATTATTATTATTATTATTATTATTAAAATGGAAAGCTCATTCACGGGCTTGTTAGTACTAGCCCCTCCCACAAAGTATAGGTTGAATTCCAGCTCAGTCCAAACATTCATTTGAGAGTTGAGTTTGTTAAAGTACGCACCACCTTTTCTAAAAACTTTGTTATACAACTCCTTTAAACTACAACCAGGATTTCATGGCCCAAGCATACACAACTGTATAGTAATGGGGTTCCACTGTATTTCGAAATCCATAATAAAACTATGTACCTTTACCTGTTCTATCATCCGCGTCAGAAGGAGTAGTTACTTCCAGTGTTGGAACACTCCTTGCATCACGTTCAGTCCCATCTGCTTCATGAACACCTATTGAACTCACAATGGATTCAGATCTGTGATCATCAAAGTCTTCTGGCTCTGACTGAGGTTCAGCAGTCGTAACTGATTCTTGGTCAGAATGACGATCTTGTGGACTGGTTGGAGGAAACAGTTCTATCATTCTGTCGGAGCCTAAATTATCACCAGAGGGCTTGGAGGCATCTGATCTTTTTCTCTGTTTTCTGTCGAACACAATTACTGTAAGTGTAAGTTGATCTACATGCACTAGTATACTTCTTTTAGGCAAAAAACTTTTCCAATTTGTGAATCTGGTCACCATTAAGAATTCAACGGTCTCTCATTATTTGGAGTAAAATTTTTATTCGTGACTGCAAAGATTTTTAATTCGTATATAACACAAAACAGAAGTTAACACTAGAGTTTCATGTCCATAAAAAGGGTTCTAAAATTCAACTATAATTAATATTTTGCATGGCTCAATTGCACACACCCTACTTTGTACAATCAACAAAGTTTTTTAGACTTAATGGTAACTAACAGAAAATGTCTGAAATTTCACCTGTTTTGTGTGGTAGGTCCAATACCATGTCCCTGTTGTACTGCGTCTGTAATGAATACCGAGACACCTGACTCTTTTTCCTTAAATTCTGTATTTCTGTTCTCACTCTCCACTGTTAGAGCCTCTAAAATTACAGAGTATAGTACATAAGTAAATGCACAAAATTTGCAGCAAATTTGCCAGAATATTGAACTGTTAACCAAGAAGACCTGGTGACAAGGATGAGTTAATTGTTTTGGTTGTGACTAAAAAATGGCAGAATGTTTCACTCGTTTTACGAGGAAGAAGAGGGCCAACTATTGACTAAAACATAGCAAGATCAGTAAGAACACAACTCGATGGACGACATCCGCTACAGGGTACAGAAAAAATATTGACAATTTTTGCAGACCTGAACAACCCTTTATCTCCTAAAAATTTGCCGATAAACATGCACTATCAAAGATGAACGTAACATCGATGGAGGTAAGTATGTTTAATAGCTTGTTTTTAAACTAAAACTATTTTGACTAAATAATAAAGCTGAATTCAATAATTATTATTGAATTCAGCTTTCATTTCATCTGAAGAATTATGGAGATCTCAGTTGGTGTTATCCACCAAGGCCGTATTAAACACCTCCCTCGATTTCCATAAAATTGTTCAGATGATACTCAGCCTCATTTCATTATTGTTAATTGGGAGGACAAGAAGATGGGTCAGAAGTTGGAAGTGTCTCAACTACTTTTGTCTGACATTGTACTGTAGGTTAAAAACATTTTCCTAACCTATTAGCTATAAAATTTAATTTTGACCGGTAACATATGCACCTACCTACAACAAGTTGCTAAATAAGTTAAAGACACTTTTGTAAAAATAGGTTTTCTGGTATGCACCTTAGAGAGGGAATTCTTGCTTGTACAAAAGATTTCCCCCTCTCTCCCATTCATTGTTGTCACTGAGTCCCCCACCTGATGTAGCAATAGGTTTGAGCATTTTCAGGATTGAAGTGGAGGAAAAATGTCAGTAAATGAAGGATAGTGTACATGTAGTTATATGTTTGAGTGGCATTGACTAAAATGCCCAAGATCTACAAAATAGTCGAACAGGACATCAATTACCTGATGAATCAGTCTGTGGCAACTGCATCTTTGTAATTTCCTTCACAATTGGCAAGGCCTGGTTGTCATCCACAATACTAGGTTTGTTCTTTGCCTCACTTTCAAGCAACAGTTGCTGTTGGCCTTCAGAAAGTTTATTCCAAATCTTTTCAGAAATTTGATCCTTTAAGCCAGACTGGGGTGTCTAAAGTTGAAAAGAAATTGTTATAAAATAAACTCTTATCAAAATTAAAAATGACTTAACATAAATTTATAAAATGTAGAGAATCCAATTTAAACAAAATTACAGTCATCATTTAAACACAATGTTACAAGTCAAATTTGACTTCAGGTTAATTTTGATTTTATACCCTATTAACTGTAGTATAGGTTGAGTTTCAATCTCCTAGCCAGCCCTAGAAGACAGTGGAAAGTGAGAATCAACCTACATGTTGTACAGTAGGTTATAAAATATTACCCTGAGCTCAAATTAATTTTGACCCGTAAAGCTATGAGCAAATGGACACAACAACTCCCAAAATTGTTGGCCCAACGATGTTGGGAGTTGTTGCTTCCGTTTGCACAAAGCTCTAAAAAGTTGGCAAACGGACTCAACATGTAACATCCAACAATGTTGCGTCTGTTTGCACTGGGCTTAACATAAACATTGTCTGATTGCACTACCATCTACAGTAAATGTGATCTGGACTGCTCATGGTAGGGCTGTCATCAAGAGCCAGGAGCTGCGGATTTCCCCCAGCTACTAAAATGAACATGGCCCCTGGCTACTTTCATAGGAAAACAGAAGAAAAATTAAACCAAAAGAAATCCCTAGCTGTTTGATTCCCCACCCACATGTTGTATTTACCCATGGAAAGACTCAAATTAGCTACAGGTACTGGGAACTGTACCTTGCTTCTCAGTAAAGATCTGTTATACAAGTGACAGTAACTTTTGGCTGTAAGTAGAACTTTTTCCAGCCTATCTTGAAGCCATTTTACTCTTTTTTTGGCAGCATCAACCTGCATATGGTAGTAATAAAATAATAATTATTATTACATGTGTAAACTGTGTATTTGTATTCAAAATGTTCTCCTTGATTGTGTGCCAGTCCTGTTACTAAACAAAAACAACTACATGACCATCTAAAATCAAGGTTCAATGATAACATGTATAAATACTTTTAAATACATGTAGATAATATTACCCCACAGTTTCCTCTTATGGCCCGTTCTAGATCCATTCGGGCATGTGCAAGTTCATTTCGAATTTTCATTAACACCTGAAAGAGGAAACCATACATTAATTTTTTTTTTCACTGAATCATCAAACAAACACGGTTCAAAGGAAGCTGGAGATTCAAAACTGGAAAGCTTGTTTAAACCTGAAAAACATACTAAAACCAAGTTAACTAGGAAACCCTTTCAGTTCAAACAGTGGCAAGCAGTATTAAAATCCACAATAAATGGTACGATGCAAAAGTTAAATCAAAGAGGTTTATGGTAACACGGACTATAGGATTTTGTTCACAACCTGAAATTTAGAATGAAGAAATGGTCTTACTATAACTCTGTCTAGGATTAAAGCGTTACTGCTTTCTTTTCCAAAAAAATATACAGTACATGTATTATGCAAATCCAAAATTTTTACTTGAGCAGCTGAGATTTATACATGCATTAGACAGCTTTTAATAGTACCTGCACAATTACAAGTAACTCCTCGCTTTTGTCAAATAGTTGCTGCAATTCCTTCTCTCCCCTCAGAAATTCATCCTAGAAAAAACATTTTTGAAGAAGATGATAATTCTAACAATATCATAAAAAAGAAAGTATATTGTACGATTTATCATGTCTATGAAAATTCAATACAGAAAATAATTATACTGTAATACCTTTGATCAAAAGATAAGTTTTGTCTTTTCATTAATAATAGGCTGATTTAGCAACAGAACGGGAATGCCAGTTGACGACGGCGCGTGCAAATCAAACAACTAGCTTGACCAATGGCAGAGCGGCAAATTGAGCACCAGAAGTCGTGTTTAGTCCTTTCTGCACGCTTTCCCGTCGTCAACTGACATTCCCGTCCTGATGCTAAATCAGCTTAATAGTGGGTGCCATGTATGATAATTATGTTAGCATAAAAAATTTATTAAACCTGCAGATTTTTTTTGACAACTGAAGGCGTTTCTGCTGTCCTTCTGTCATTTATGTGCTTATGAAATGTCCCCGGGGTGGGGGCATTTGATCACCTGAATGGATCCTAGTGTGGGGCATTTGAACAGCATTTTGGCCAGGTAGGGGGAAATTTGAACAATAATTTTCAAAAAAGTCAATTGCCCAGGGGGTTACCCGGGGGGGATGTTGAAGCTTCGATTTGACCGATACATTAATTTGGTAAGAGAAGACTGACGGAATAGAAATGACAAAATTTCTATACTTGAGATCTTGAGAAGTGGGCATCTCTGCAACTAAATGGTCATAAAAACTTAAAGGTGACAAGCAAAATTAATGTTGTTCTTTATCTTACCTCTGTTAAAGCCTTTTCAAGGTTCTCTAGAGTTCTGTACAAAACATTCTGAGTTTCCCTCATTAACAACAACTACAAAGACAAAAAAATGCATTAAAGTCTCCAAAAATCAGGGCTTCCGATATTTCGCGCGGTCGCAGACCCGCGAAATTCCCAAAAAAACACGAAAGAAATATTTCCAAATACATGTCTGCAAAACATATTTAATACTTATCTTGGCTATTAGACCTGTTCTATTCACCCCAAACGTCCAAATTTATCTTGAAACTTCGTCACTGCAACGAGTAAACAACATCTCAGAACTACCAGGCGTCTTAGATGAACGTTGTGAAAAACTGGGCACTAACCATAATGTTAACAGCTTTAGCATTCGCTCATTTCTCGAGCGAACTGTTGTTGAAAGAGCAAATGATTCTCCCTGTTAAAAAACGTTAGACAATGCTGGTCATATCGACGCAAAATTGATCGATTTTAGCGAAATTTGCCAAAAAAAATCCATCGAAATTGGCTGTTTTTTACTGATTGTTTCTTGGCGAAGTTTCCCCCCAAAATTTCCCGTGAAATTGGCCGATTTTTCTAAGAATTTGCCCCGAAAATCCTTCGAAATTTGATTTTTTTCCGTTAAAATCCTGCAAAATCGGCCGATTTTTGAGCAAATTTTGCCTTTTTTGTCGCGAAAATCCCATGAAATCGGCCGATTTTTCCACGAATTTGCCCCTGAAAATCCCACGAAATTTTGCTTTTTTTTTCGCGAAATATCAGAAGCCCTGAAAAATTATATGAACACATACAATCATGGAAAAACATGTCTGGATAAAATTGCACTGGCTGTGGTCAGAAATATCACTAAGAGCAGGCCACCAGTTTATTTCACCAGATGGAAAAGAACTTCCCAACAGCTCAAAATTGCTCTGGAAAACAAAGCCATGGGATAATGAATGTACAGATTAAGTCAGCTTGAATAATAGAAAACCTGCTTAGCTTTTCTTTAGCCACATCCTTGAATGGTTTTGCACATAAAACAATCAAACAATCACACCTGAATGAGCTACACTTGCCCTTCCCCACCTTTACTTAGATATATCAGGGCTTCTGATAGGTCGCAGAAAAAAAAGTCGAATTTCGCGGGATTTTTAGGGACAATTTCGCGGGAATTTTCGGGGGAAAACTTCACCAAAAAGCAATCTGTAAAAAACAGTGGATTTTGTGATTATTTTTGGTCAAATTTTGCAAGAAATCAATCACTTTTGTGCTGATCAGACCAGTGTTTTTAACATTTTTCTAACAGAGGTCAGACATTATTTTGCTCTTTCAACAACAATATGCTCCAGAAATGAAACAATGGCAAAGCCTTTAACATCATGGCTAAAGCCCAGTTTTTCGCAACATAATCTATGCCTGGTAGTTTTGGGACGTTGTTTGCACATTTCTGTGATGACGTTTCAAGATAAATTTGCTAGTTTACGGCAAGTAAATAGCCCCAATAGCTGAGATAAGTTTAAAAACTGCTGTACAGACATGTATTTGATAAGATTTCTTCCAAATTTCACGGTATTTTACGTGTTTTTGTGAATTTTGTGGCATTTCATGGATTAACCTGAATTTTGCGGGTCCGCAACCGCGCAAAATATCAGAAGGGCTGATATATGTACATGTACTGGTAGCCTAGTTTCCCTGAAAAATGATGTCTGAGGAACAAGCACAGACATACAATTACTAAATAATGTGTCACTACCCTGGGTAGTGCTTTCAATTGGTTGAAGCAAATTTCACATGCAGCATGACTAATCAGAAGTGCTATCCAGAACAGGGTACTGGCACATCATCAGTATGGAATTTCTGCAAATCCCCAGTGAAACTGTATGCCAGTAGGGGGTGGGGGAGCATGGTAATGCATGTAAGTCAAATTGTTTATGACAATTTGATGGCAACAAACAATAGTAATAAAAAATAATTATAAATAACAATAATAGTAATAATAATAATAATACGAGAGCCTTTGGACTTGTGCAAAAGAGTCAGAGACCCCATACAATGCGTAATGCCGTAGATACTACTTACATAAAAATATTAAATTAATATTAATATTATGTCCTATATACAATTGAAAATACAAAACAATCAAGCACAGTATTACAAATGAACAAGACTCGGCAGTTCCATCGACATACTACGGCCCAAAAAACCCTGCCCGCAACAGCACGCAAAAAGTTGAACCACACATTATTCAAGTATAGAAATTTCGCTCCATGCCAATCAAGAACATTGGAGTGTTTTTTTTTTTAATTTATCTACCTGTTCCTCGATCATAGCCTCTGATCGCTTGTTCCTTTCCTTGAGAGGACGAAGCCCTATCACTGGTTTATTGACATCTGATATCTTTGCCGCCCGCTCGCTTCTCATTCGCGCCCTTGGTGTGGACATGTTACCGCAAACAGCCACACGGTTTCACCAGAATAAAGGAAAACTACCCTCACTCTAATTCACAAGGCTCAAGAAATCTCCAAATGCATGATTTCAAAGTTTCCATCAAGATAAACACTCGCACATTGTCCACACCATCCGCCATTTCGGGTCCGTTTCCATGACTTCACCTGGAAGCTGAGCGGTTACTAATTCAAGGCCTGGTTACAAAGCTAATCGATCAATCACGTGGAATAACTTTCAAAATGGCGACTTCAGAAGAAGTGGAGGATCAAGCTGTAACCTTTGAATCTCTGGTAAGGGTTTTCCTTGCGTCTTAAATTGCAGTCTAGTGATTTTAGGTGCGTAAAGGTATAAAATTTGATCTTTTTTCTAGGGCATTGTTGACGTTCTTTGTGAAGCTTGTCAAAAGTTGGGCTGGAAATCTCCGACCAAAATTCAGAGAGAAGCGATTCCCGTGGCTTTACAAGGTATTAGAAAGACCTCAGTTCAAATCAGTAATCCTCTATTCTTCTACTTTTAATTTTTTACAGAATTCAGTACCTACTAGTCCAAACTCTTTGAAAATTATCGCTTTCAACAAATGTTAAGTGATTATATATTGTGTATCCCGCAGGAGATTGATACGGTTATCAATTTCCATCTAGATTTATTCAATATTGTGGCTTCAAAAAAATTATATGTCTTATATGGAATGCCAATTCAGTAATCTCTGCAATTTGATAGTGAAGTTTTTTTACTTCAGTAGTTAATCACATGTATGTAATCAATCTTTTATAACAACAATATACTTCTTTAATCAACCAACAAAGCACTATCTAAAAATAGATACAACAAATCATGGTGAAATACATTTGGCCTGCGAATGTCGCCATCTCTCGTCCCAAGTGGCGAGGAGTGAGAAGAAACGGCCATCTTCGCAGGCTAATGGAGAAATGGTGAACATGTTTTTGTGACAAAGGTGGTGACCAATTCTTTTCAAGGAAGTTGAATCCTTTGAAAAAAGAATGGTTTCTGTGAAGTGTCCTGAAATATAATTTTTTTTTCAAAGACTATGATTGTAAGTCTTAGCCCCCAAGAGCCTTCTGTAGCTCAATGGGAGAGAGTATATTATGACGTAATGATCCGAAGGTCATATATAATTATAGTGGTGTGACTCCTTTCGGGAGAATCCAGTTTTTTTCGTTTGTTTTGTTTATGATTTTTTTTCCTTTTTGCTCAGGAAAGGATATTATTGGTTTAGCTGAGACAGGATCTGGAAAAACAGGTGCATTTGCACTGCCAGTTCTTCAGACACTGCTAGAAAATCCTCAGAGGTTATATGCTCTCGTTCTTACTCCGACAAGGTTCGTCTTGGCCCTATGCTAGTTTTACATAAGGATTATACATATTTATATACATCACATATTTAGACTACAAGATTTTTTTTACCTTTCCTGTTTTGCAGGGAACTGGCATTTCAAATTTCGGAACAGTTTGAAGCATTAGGGTCAACTATAGGAGTAAAATGTGGTAAATGTTGTAGTTAATTTTTTATCTCAGGTAGTTTATATTTGTCCTTTGTTTCAACTTTACTGGCATACATTACCATACCTAAAAACAAAAGAAAAACCAAAATTACCTGAGATAAAAAAATAGCTTCAACATAAGTATTGTTAATAATTTTATTGTACACACACTGGTGCTTCCTAATAACCTAAAATAAATGCTAATGTCATGTTTCACAAATTAAATGCAGACATAATTACATTAAAATTAATAAGAAACAATAATGAAATAGGCCATCAAGAAATGATGATATAGGTATTTCCATTTTTATAGCCTTTTGTAGCATGTATTGGTTAGCTGTGAGCTTCAACTTTCAATAGTTTCTTGGTGTTGCAGATGGTGTAATAAGCAAATGTCAAACATGTAGACAGAAAAAAACACTGAACAATGCCTACACCACCCCACAATACCTAATCAACATTACAATAAATAAGAAGAAACACTAAGAAACACTCTCACTGATTTCCTCATGATCAGAGAAATAAAACAATAAGTCTTACCAAGAACTACAGTACATTATTTTGTGTACATGCAGCTAACTTTGCCTAACAGTAATATTTTTGTGAGGTTGGTGATACATACAATGTACATAATGCAACAAAGACTGATCATGCTTACACGTAGTCCCAGACCCACTGCAGATTTCTCTTAATTTGTAACTTTTTTGTGACCATGTCCACTGATCACATCAATCTGTTTGCAGCTGTGATTGTAGGAGGAATTGATATGATGTCTCAAGCTCTGATGTTGGCAAAGAAACCTCATATTATTATAGGTTTGTAAAATGATGTTTTTAAACGTCCTTTCCTTTTTTCTTTTGTAACTTTTCAAACTTTGTTAGTACATAGTTTGAAAATTTCAAACCTGGGGACTAAATAAATAAAGTATGTTTCCTTCATGAATTACTTAAATTTTACAAGTTGTTTTACTCTTATTAACTCATTTAATGTAAATGTTTCAGCATCTCCAGGAAGGCTGATAGATCATTTGGAAAACACAAAAGGATTTAACTTAAGAACATTGAAGTATTTGGTAGGTTACTAATCTTCAAACTGGCTTTACATTTCATGCTACTAATAGAGCAAAAATTTTTTTAGATCATTGAATAATATTAACTAAATAGTTTCAATTTTGGTTTTCCTTAGATCATGGATGAAGCTGACAGAATATTAAATCTTGATTTTGAAAAAGAGGCAAGTGAATATTTTACCTAGACATGTACTGTAGCTAAAAAAAACCATTCCAAGTTTTTCATCTAGATTATTAATTTACAAAAGAGATGATCTTACAGTAAACTTTCACCACAAACATTATATCGTCCCAACTAACTGCCCCTGGGTCTCCGAGGATGCAGGGATTGTATCACCTGCAGAGGTGCATTTTTGCAGCCTGGGTTAAGACCCTATTATTCAAAGACCATGTCCCCCCAAACTATCCAATAAATGCTTGCATACCCTCTATAGATTCCAGGCTTTCACTATTTTCTAAAGTTTGCTATTAGTATTAAAGCAGACCTTTTGCTCAGCAAGTTTAGCTTTAACCCATTCGCCCCTTAAACACCTGTAACTGCCCTGCATGCAGATCCATGGATTCCTAACATAGCACTTGTGGCGTATAAGTTTTTAACACACACACATTGACACAAATATATTGCCAAAAATAAATGTAGGTGAAGTGAAGGCTAAGATGATGTATTACGTGTCATTTTCTGGGTTTCACATTAATTGCCTTTTTTGTTCATTCATTGTGGAGCAGCAGTGTTTTGTGAGGAGTTGGAAAGGCTACTGTCATTTTTTGTGGGTGCATCTTGTGCATTGTATTGATGTTTTTCCTTTGCTGCGAAGAGCTGTCAACAACGTACTACATCTCTTCCAAAGCTCGCATATGCAAGGAAGAAGGAGTCGCAATATACTTTTGACTAATTATATTGATCCTCTCTCCACTATTTATCCATACTTTATTTTACACAAGCTGCTAATTCTTTTATCCAACCACATTTATCAACTAAAACTGCCCATAAAGTTCACAATAATGATTCAACTCATTTACTATCTGCCTATTAATCATGTCAAGTGCACTCCCTAATGTATGGTTACTCCTAGTTAACTACATGACTGTGAATTTGGTGTAGGTTGACAAGATATTAAAAATCATCCCAAAAGAAAGAAGAACTTACTTATACTCTGCAACCATGACAAAAAAGGTATCCATCTTGTCAATTACTTAATTATCAGATAGACAGTGATCTCTGTGTGGAAGTTACAGCTGTACAGAAAACCTCTTGATTGGATCAGTTCTCCCAGTCCTAACCGGACCCGTGTCACAGACGAAACTGAACTCTAGTTAAGTTCATCTGCAAAACAGCGCGGAAATTATTGTTGTGGGGCCCACCTGTGTACCAGGATTTGAGTACATGCCATGATTGGCCTGTTAAACAAGCTACTGTTGATTTGTCAATCAAGATGAAAGGAAATTCAAAATGCACTTCTGGTAATTTGTTGAGTCTGTTGGAGGCCCAGAACCAGGATATCAGGGCTGCTTCACAGATGTTACTAACCAAGGTTAAATTATGTCTGTGATGCAGGCTACCTGGTGCCAACATTACATGTAGTAAACTATATTAATTAATTTTTTAGTAAACTAAATTTAATTTATATCAAATATTATTAATTTGGACACATATGTTGTTTGGTGTCCTATATTAAGAATGTTTTAGTATTGTACTTTGTGAAACATGTAAGCCCATTGCAGACTTCAATCTAAGGTCGGTGGAACCAGTTTGTACTAACATTTCACTTGCCTAGAGTCCATTTGAATCCCCTTTCTGTATTGTTATCCTTAATTGATGTTTGAAGTATCAAAACTTGTATAATGTTATCCCTTTTCATAAGAAATGGTCTGCAAATTTTCTCTTTCTCTCTCCCTTTTCATAGGTTCAAAAACTTCAAAGAGCATCCTTACAAAATCCAGTCAAAGTTGAGGTTGCAACAAAGTAAGTTTAAAGTATTAAATGTTCTACTCATGCATGATTATCCTATTTTATCAGAATGAATGGAAACACAAAGCTGTGTATGATGTAATAGGGACTTTACGATCCCACGACATGAAAGCAACGAGAACATCAAAAACATCAATAGGTTATCAATATGACTCTCCATGACTTCTTGGTAGCTCAAGTGGATAGAGTGCTCTCCCACTGTGTGGGAGGACATAGGTTCGAATCCTGTTGCGGACTCAGATTTTTTCTTTGTCCCACGCTGGTGACAGGCTGATTAACTCATTTTCACATCGATAGGTTTAGTAGGCAAAACAACAACTTTGCATCTCACTTTTTTTGTACATTTCTTTGCTGTTTTTGAACGACTACGACGTGAAATGGCCTAATTTTACTTTTTAGGGAGGATATAAACAAGCGACGACAAAATTTTGTTCTCTTTCGAAACTTGAATGTGGTTCTTAGAAATTCAGCTCCGGGAGGGTTCACCTACATTTGACAAAGAGAGTGAGTTGGAATAATCGTGATAAGGTCCGAAAGAACGCAAATTCATTTTTGAAGCGACATTTTCACTGCCGTTGCGTCATTGGATTGTAAAGTCCCTTATGCTGAAAAAAGAAAGCACAGCTTCCCATTCTTCCTTAAATTAAACAGGTGGCTTGTGTTATTTGTTAGTATGGCTCAAAAAGGAGGGGTACATGTACATGCAGTTTGGAGAGAAGTTCAAGTTTAAAACTAAACTGGGCACTGTGAGGTCTCTAATTGTCATTTAATCACTGTTATTATATACTTAATCATAACTATAACAAAATTGTCAAATCTGATTGGCTCTCAACTGCCCTGATTTCAGCCTTAATTGGACAGTTTAATAGGACAGTACGCGTCATGCCTAAGTAATTGGACAGTACGCGCCATCACGCGCACGCTTAAATGGCTTTTTTTTCACTGCCAGCAAAACAAAATTTCAAATTTCATGTGTTTTGATTTTAAAAAAAATTGCCTATTATATCACAAACTTTGTTAAAGTTATGATTAATTGGTAACAGAACTTCGTGTCGTCCAATTCGGTCTGTAATCATACTCGTGATTAAACAAATCGGACTCCCGCTGCGCGGTCGTCCGATTTTGTTAATCACTCGTATGATTACAGACCGAATTGGACTCCACTCAGTCCTGTTACCATTACTTGCAATGAGTCTTGTGCTCTTTTTCTTTCTAGATATACAACAGTAGACAAATTACAACAGAGTTATTTATTTATTCCAAATAAATATAAGGTAATTGTGGACCTTAACTGGAGTACATGTACATGTATTATTTACTTTTGGAAATTACTGTTGTCGCTGTATATAGCAAAAACAGTAATAATAGTAAATACAATAGTTGATGTTGGTGTGATTCCTGTAAATGTAATTTCTTACCTGGACTTAAAAATTAATACAAATCAGTTGGTTCACAGGTAATCATTTTCTTGCACAAACAAAATACCAATTAAAGCTACCTCATGGAATAACAAGCCGGAATTCCAGCTTTTTTTCTTAAGCCCTGACTACAATATTCTAGTTAGCATGCGGTGACTTCATGTGCTTCAGCATAAACTAATGACCACTAATCATTTATATTTGCATAAGCTCTTTCTCTTCAACACTAGTTTTTCTTGTTTCTTTACACAGGACTGTTACCTTGTATCTGTTCTTAATGAATTAGCTGGAAACACATTCATGGTTTTTTGTGGTACATGCAATAACGTGCAAAGAGTTACACTGATGTTGAGAAATCTAGGCCTTCAAGCTGTTCCTCTTCACGGACAAATGAGTCAGGTAAAAACAAAATGTGTCTTTTATTATCAATCTGCAAAAACATTGTCTTAAAGAGAGAAACTAGGGTTGAGTTTAACCTTAGAAAAGAGCGGACATTTTGTGACGCCATCACTGGTTTCCCTGCGAAATGACATCTGAGGAAATTGTCTGCGGAACTACTGTAGAAATTCAATACTGATGACGTGCACTACCCAGGTTGGTCTTGCTGCGAGGGAAATTCTCTTCAACCAATCAGAAGCACTACCAAGATCTGGGTATTGACATGTCATTAGTATGGAATTTCTGAAGTCGTTTTCGGCGAAACCAGTGGTGGAGTCACGAAACGTCGGCTGATTTTTCCTTTCCTGCCTTTCTGGCTACCTAATCTTTATTCAACTTGTCATGGGCTAAACCTATACTAATACCTTGAATTAGAGTACATGAAAAGTTCAATGTCTTAATCAATTAGAGAAGGCTACAGCTCTGCCTCTTACGTCTGGATTAAGACGGAATTTCATTTTTGCAGCGGCTTTTAAAAGAAATTAGAAGCCCAATATGCTGGTGAATTGGCAGACTGTACTTAGAAAGCTTGCGACGAGCGACTTGAAGAATGCTTTAATTTGCTTGGTTTTAATTTACAGTCAAAGCGACTTGGTACTTTAAACAAGTTCAAGTCCAAGGACCGTTCAATTCTGATTGCAACAGATGTGGCCAGCAGAGGACTGGATATTCCTCATGTGGATGTTGTTATTAATTTTGACATACCAACACATTCAAAGGTGACTATTAAAAAAAATGTGTTAGTAAGGTTCATGCATTACTTGGTAATCAGAGACAGACGTTACTGACCTCCAAAAAGGACCTTTAAGTCATACGCCTTTTTCTCAAAGGGTTAACAACGTTATCTATCTGGGCTGGGTTGTTCAAAGCTGGTGTAAGATAACCCAGGGTTAGTGCGATATTTGAATTCAGATATGAATGCTTAAAAAGCGTCAGCCCCGGGTCAGTGCTGATTGGCCTTCTAACAACCGGCCCAGATAAGCCTCTTCGTGCCCGTTAGAATCGTTGCTTGACAAGCAAAAAGAATGTCTGTGTAAAACTAAGGGGGTACGTAGATAAATCGCTCTCCAGTTGATGAGCCCGTGTCAACCAATGACTGATTTTATTTGTTGTTCGCTGGAAAATGATTTAATGCAGTTGACAGCGCTTTCCTTCTCTTCAACTGTATCCAGTCCCCGTCAAATCAGTATAGAACCTATTCACACGTACGTGACTTGCTTCCTCTGCTGTTCGCAATAACAAACTATTCGCACCAACCAAAACCAACATCGCCCCAAGATTGTGCCCACAGCTCACTCGTAACTTATTGACGTTATTCATTTGCCTCTTTTTTAAGGATTATATTCATCGTGTTGGTAGAACAGCAAGAGCTGGGCGCTCAGGCCGCTCAATCACCTTTGTTACACAGTAAGTTATTTACTTCTTAGACCGGGCGGGCTTAGACCCTAATCTGTTTTATGGTGAAAGCTATTCGTAAATGGCATGTGACAACTAAGAGACTCTTCCACGGTTTTTTGTTTGTCAACGGTCCAATCGCGGTAAAAGAGCAACGGCTTCCATTCGCGGGAAAATGAGCTGTTGCTGTTAACACAAGTCAAAAAGCGCGGGAAAGAGAGTAACACGCGTTGCCATGCACAGTTCGACAGTGACAATGCATTGTAATAAGTTATCAGAACTTGAAACCAAACCGTTTGTTTCGTAGGTACGATGTGGAACTATATCAGAGAATCGAGCAGCTAATTGGGAAGAAACTCCCACTTTACCCCACAGTAGAGGAAGAAGTGTTACTACTGATGGAGCGAGTCACGGAGGCTCAAAGATACGCGAAGATGGTAAGAAAAATACGTATAAACCTTCCGTAGAAAAAGTGGAAGGTGCTTGGACGCGCACGAAACCAGCTTTGTCCAAGCCTAACCTTGCCAGGTCATTGCTGTTTCATTAAGGCGGGTAGACAGTTATAGGGAGTGAAGTTTCTTGCCCAAAGAAACAACGCAATACAGAATTGAAGATATGCCAGGTTATTTCTTGAAGTACTTTCACACGAGCTACCTACTACACCTCTCTATCATCATAACACAGCCGTGGGGAAGAGTGAAATTATATGATGGGTTGTTAATAATAATGGAAACTGATCTTCGCAGTAGAATGAACAACCAAAGCGGCTGAAAAAGAACCTGAAGAAAGTCAGGCTTGACCGGGAATGGAACCCTGACCTTTGCGATGACCGGCCACATCGCTTTATCGATTAAGCTAATCAAGCCAACTGTGTTGTTGTCTACAGGAACTAAGAGAGATCCAGGAGAAGAAAAAAAGGCCTTTAGAAGAAGAAGGAGAGAGCCAAGAGATTAGAATGCCGAGCAAGAAAAAGAAGTTTAATAGCGCCGGAAAGAAAAAGGGAAAGAAGTTTAAATAATGTTCGACATTGACGGAGAAACAGAAATTATGCGCGTGAGAAGTCATGGGCTCGAGAAAATGAAAAAAAAAGTTATCATCTAATTCAATAAACAATAGTGTGAACCTTCGGCACCCAGCGTACGGATTTAGAGGTTGAAAGTTGGCTCCGTGATTTATCGTGAATGTTAACACAACATATAAAATAACCACCCTATATTCTTCTAGATACCTCTATTTCAGCTTGAGTAAAATCAGGGAACTTGGCAGATAGGTCCACACATGATTTTTCACTTAACTCTATAACATATGTGCATACAAAGAGCACTATCTCTCGTAGAGCAAACATCGTACGCTTTGCCGGCGAGTTATGAAACAAAAGCGATAAAGTTTTTACAACCAGCGGCTTCTTTACCCCTCGAAAATTTTATGAACAGTAAACAGTGACATTACCTTCATCGTATTTATTAATTGGATAGTTTTCTTCTTTTTTTTTTTAATTTAAACTACAATACATGGACTTACTTACGTCACTTTTTTGACATAAAATATGTCTTTAACCGGTTTGCTCCCGTTGTTGTTGATGTTGTTAGTTTTGCATGGCTCGATTACCAGCCGATTTTCGGGAAATGAACCCTTGCTCCTTACCCGAAAAGGGAGAAGCGGAAAACAAACCTTATGTTATTTTCGGCGTCTTTTTGTTGTTGTCTTTGTTGTTGTTGTTTGTTTGTTTGTTGTTATTTTATTTCGTTTTTTTTTCTCAATGTAGAAAACTTAGTATAAATTTCAGTAAAGAGCTGAGAGTTCCAGTTCATCAGTCTTTATTTGTACTCACTCTTGCTCAAAAATAAATTACAACAATGAAAATATTAAATGTAAAAATTAGAGTACTGGCTGCCTGAAATAACCAAGGGGGCTAGCGGAGCCAGGCAGCCAGTTGACATCAGCATTAAATGAAATGAAATTACCTAAAATTCTTTATACTGTACTCGGCAACTACACCGTATGTCTCTTGTTTCAGTCTGTTTTTAAGTTCTTCAGGCCGCGCATGCGTTTATTTGCCCGTAAATAGATCTTTGATAAATCTCGCGATAATCACTGATCAAAGATTTACAGTGTAACACTTCCTGAGTCGATCATGAAGATCCTATTGATGCGAAGCGTTCCTAGAATCGAAGAGAGGCTTACTCGGTAAGAATTGTGTAAATTTATGGCTGCTTACTTTTAAACCAAACCGTGCAAAAAAAGGTAATTTGAAATCAGTAAAGGCTTCGAATGATCTCCACAGGCAAAGTTGTTCAGCTTTCGTTTCACAATCTTCAATCTTGCGTCTGGAGGACAATTTTTGGATTCTCAGCTCATGGAAGAGGAAGAATGTACTCCGTGTTTCATGGGTACGAGGCCTTGATTTAAATTCCTCTTCTGGTGTGGCTTTATGGGCGCGACGAATACATTTTCGATGCCAGCATCTGATGGTTCGTTTATGATTTCTTCAAGGTATTGTATGCTGACGGTCATCTACTACATCTGCAAGAAGTTCTGCTTCCATTTTGAGAAGGAAACTCCAGTCCAACCCTTTCTGTGGATTTCTCGAAAGTACCTGCATACGGAGTAATGCGGAGACCTATTTCAGAATAGTTACGACACGACTAACGTTTTTGTTCTCCTTGCCCATAATTTGTGATAATGATGGTGAGAAGAAAGAAGAGGAGGATGATGATGATGATGATGATGGGTGGCTTTAAATAACTAAAACGTCAAACCTTCTATACCTTTTGCCGTTTCTGTTATCATGTCTTTCGCTATCTTTACGAACAGCTCTCCTGAAAAGTCACAAATACAAAAATAAGCGAGAGCGTGTATTACGCAATGTGTGAATGGTATTTGCACACCACAAAACTGCCTTCTAAAACACTCCACTGAATTGCCCATAATAATGTTGATATGAATCCATAAGCCTTTTAGTTTTCGTCCAGCAGATGGCATGGACGAAAACCGAACTTTAGTACTCTACATGAATTGTAATATATAAATAAATTGTTTTGAAACTAGTTTTCAATTGATGTACTTAACTCTGTGGGAGCGGACTTAACCAAGTAGCAAGTGAGATTCATGAACAGGTGAAAGCTACGTTTTCTTCTTCTCCTCCTGGCGCTCTCCTGCCCATTCTTCGCGTAATGTTGCATCACCTCGTCCCAGGAAAAAAGCACGAGTGCGACTGCTTGCAGTCTACACGCCGAGGTCCAAAGCATTTCCTCAGTTACATTATGGAATGGCAGCAAACAAAATAATACTAACCCACATTCGCTCCTGTTTTACTCGATGTTTCAACCACTATTCCGGCTCCTATATCTAGAAAAAAACAAAACATAAAAATAAGAAATAACTAGGCAACGACCACAGCTTTGAACCCTGAGGTTATCGAGCGATAAAACCGCTAAGCTGGGCAATAAAAATGTAGTCTAATACTAAGCTCAATTAGTGGAGATAAGGGACGTCAGGAAAATAATTTGGAAACTACGATGGTGACGGATACCAGAACGTCAGAAAAGCGATATAGTTTTTATAAGCAAAACGTCAACTTTGTACTTTATGGTACATTCATTCTTTGCCGTCATAAACGAAAAGGACCGACTGTGAAACGTTCTATTGTGACGTTTTGCTCCGTTTTATGAAGGACGTATAAAACATGATAGGGAAATTTTCGTATTCTAAATTCCTGAACTTGGAAACGGTCCTTTGGTTCAATCCACTCTAGAAAAATTCCCCAACATTTGCCAAATGTGTTGGAGAAATTGAGAGACGGGACCTCCGCCCGTAAAAAGTGAATTCGCGCTATCATATGATTTCAAACTTCATCGCTACATGTCCCACCTCGCTCAATTTCTCCGATACATTTGGCATATGTTAGCTAGGGACTTTTTCCAGAGTGCATTGAACCAAAGCGTGACCGTGTCCAAGTTCAGGAATTTAGAATATGAAAATTTCCGTATCATGTTTTATACGTCCTTCGGGCTAGTTAAACTTGAAGAATAGCGCGCAAACCACAAATTTTCAAACTTT